CATAGCTGTCAATTGTGTTATTCCACGTTTTATAGTGACTGACGTTTCATGTCAAGTCCCACGGGAATGCTGTCGAACAGGATAAAAAGTATCCTATTGCAATTTCCTGGTTCTAAACTACCTCCCTGCCAATTTTCAGCTGAATCGGTTCAGCCGTTCTTGGGTTATAAGTGAAGTCACTAACACGACTTTCTTTTATATATATAGATTATTTTATGTATGTAATACATACATAGATACATACAGATGGAAAATATTTTCTTAACCTGAATTGTTTTTAGTAAATTGTCATTTAAATATGTGAAAAGTTTCCATAACGGTTTAGTGTTAAAGAAATATACCAGTTCCTCACTTTACAATGACGTCAACAATTCAATAAATACGAAGTTCTGTAACCAAGTTCAGAATTAATTCCTCCATTTTTTATTAAGTTGGTGTCAACTGTTGACACTCAAAAATGTTAATATCCTTCAATTCATAGAAATGAATTGAAGGATATTAAGGATTGAAAGAATTCAATAAGATGAAAAATAATATTAAAAATTACACGACCAAATCATACATAATTGTTATTGTTATGTTAATGAGAAGAATCTTGAAAATTTTTTGCCATACTACATGTTTTGTTAGTCTAAACACTTCATTTCCATTAAAGTTAACGCCAATTTATTACAAATAGATATCACTGATGATGCTTTTTAAACCTTTGCGAAACACATTTAGAGAAATCTGATCGTTTTGTAAACACATGCAATAGATTTATTTTCGAACTAATCAAATTTGTTGACATTTCCAATTATAGACTTCAGTTAAAATGGTTACCAATTTATTTAATAGAAATCTTAAAATAATATTATTCTATTAATTAATTGTCATGACAGACAGATTCGATCTTCATACAATTTATTGCTTCAAACTCCTCTTTATCGATCCGAATTTCTATCAGTCACTGGGACGATTTATCAAGGTTTATACGTAAGACTTATGTAAGACTTGTGTATATATGTGATTCTTTTAAAATATATAAAAAGCAGCATTTCCTATAGAATCATTTATGTGACCTTTCTCTTCCACTATTTAAACCATTTAAACTAGCCTTACAATTATTTATACTATCATAATTTCCTTACAACTACGCATGAAGTTGACCTTTGTGTAATATTTATACACACATATATATGTGTGTGCAAAGAAGTTAAATAAATGAAATCGTCAATCAAACTATCTACCAAATATGGACTGATACCATTACCAAATTAACAAAACCAGGAGAACCGCATATTTATACAGCTTATCTTTGCTTTATAATTCATTACTTTAGTATAAAAACTCATAAATATAATTAAATTTAAAATGCTTGAGGTCACTGACGCCTGAAAGCATACGCATAGCTTTTATATAAAGTCGTCTGTGTAAACACTTAAAAACAGCAGATCAAAGGCCATCCAAGATTATTTTGCTGCAGACTTCGAGCTTGCTTAATTACCGACTATAAGATGTTGTAATTTGATATAATTGGACTAAGAATTCAATTATTTAATACAAAATTTTTGATTGGCCAGTTTTTTAAGTTACAATCATAAAAAACAATTCGATCTTAGTATAGTTATAAATTCAAAAATTAATGAAAAACATATTTTTATTTAATCTTATTTATTATAGGTAAGATTTTGTTACTGTGATTGTCACTTTTATAATTCGAATGTATATTATTATTTATATCATAAAATAATCTATATATGTATATAAAAATGAATTGCTGTTTCTTGGTCTCACTAAAACTAGAGAAATACTGAACGGATTTATCTTATCATAGTATTGAAATGTTTGTTGAGGTTCAGGGAAGGTTTAAAAGCTGAATTTTTTTTATTAATTTCCGGGAAAAAGCTAAAAACAGCGATTTTTTACTTCCCATACAAACGGTTTTTTGACATTAGATTTGACGACTAACTGATATGTCAATCATTTTGTCGCACTTCAGAATACGGAGATTTATGGCTTCAAAATAAACATCAAAAAAATAAATAAGACATAATTTATTTCTTGATTGAGGCAGTACGAAGTCTGCGGGTCAGCTAGTATATACCTAATATAATGTTACCATTACACATTTAAGCGACCTTTAAAAAGGTTCTCAATTGCACTTAGTTTTTGCATATTTGTTGTATTTGGATAGGTCTCAAATAAAATACCCAAATTGTTTTGTATTTCAGAAAATAATTAAAAACTAAAGATCATTTTGATTTTTATTTTACTTTCTTTAATGAGATATGTGAACTTTTGAGCTGGTGCCATTTTAATTTAGCATTTAGTTTCGCAAAACGAAATATCTTTTCATTTTATCAAACGATCATTCCACTATATGTAAATCAATTTATACAATGATTTTTTTTGTTTGTACGTTATAGCTTTCTAATAGATTTATAGCTTTCTAATAGCTGTTTTGTAGAAAATTCAGAAATAACCATAATATATTAACTTATACGAGTACTCGTACAGTGTTGGTTCCCTTTGACAAAAGTTTTTGATAAGGACTTACAAAATACATTTTGTTTCCTACTAAAAAAAAATAACATGTATAAAGAATATGAACGAGAACAGACTTCAAAACTCTGCCTCTACGTTCAAGCTTAAATAAAAAAAGTAATACTTTAATTCCTCTATACCAAGAGCCTTAATCAAAATAGTTATTGATAGTTAGAACTTATTAATATTTATAAACTATATTTTATAGAATAACCTTCTGCATTTAGATTTTAGATACTGTCCTCACGTGGCATGCATCTTACTGGTTTTGAGAGTTCGTTTTTAATAAACATAATTTAATAACTGCTTTAGTGAGATATGTTTGAGACTTTTCATGGAAGAATAGCCATTTCGGTAGAAGTATTTTCATAAAGTAATCCCTTGAAAATAAAATTAAATACGCTATTACGAAAAATATTAGTCATTACTTCTTATTAATTGTAAATAAAATAAATATAGAACCTTAATAATCGAAGGAAAGTCTCTTTTTATATAAAAACTCTAACACTCACAACACATTATATGAGCATAAAAAATATCTGAATATGTAAATTTAATACATAGTTCCACTCAAGAATGTTTGCTGTAAACTATAATCGATATTAGAACACATTAAAGGCGCTACGTTATTAAAACTTTATCAGGAATAAAAGTTGTAATAAAAATATATGCTGTTATATAAATGAACGCTAATAATATATTAATATCATCAAATTCTTTTAGGTTGCTGATGAAATTTGATACAAAAAAAAACATATAAAGTTCTAACTACTTATCTTTAACACTTTACGCAAAGAAAGAAAACTAAATTTGATCTATAATATACTTTTAGGACACTGTTTAAGTCATCTGCACACAAGTATTGAAGTTCGTAAAATACTAAACTAAAAAAAACAAATATTTGGTGTTATGTAGTATAATATACTTGCACATTTTTTCGATTTTTAACAAATGTTTCAAAAGCAATGTATTTCAACCTCAATACTGTTGCTGTATTTCTACCAGAAATATACACAATGATGACTAAGAACATTCTTAATTATTTGTTTTTATTACAAATCAGAAAATTTACTATTAACACTAAACATCTATGACCCAAATGCTTTGATTTTGGACGACAATTATTTTTATTTTATCATAATATATGTACAATTTTAAACATACTACTACTATACATAATAACATAAACTACTTAATTCTATTTTTATCCATAAAACTTCTCAAATACTATGAATAATATTACCGTTTAAATATACCTAATCAGTTTGTTCTAGTTACTGTTAATTTATTAACAATTTAGTAAAATTTTACAAGATTAAGAAATAATAATAATTATTAATAACAAAAATCTGTTATAAAATATATAAATTGCATTTTTAAAGATTTCAAAAACATCAAACTCTCATCTATTTCAAAGTATAAACGCATTTGCCAAACGAATTCAATTATTCTATTATAGAGAAAGGTATTTGAACTAGCAATTATAAATATAATTTGATATTGGAAATCTAAAACTCCCACTCCTTTATTTTAAAAACAAGTCTGCTCAAAAAAATATCTTTAAAAATATACCTACAATAAATAAAAATCTTTAGTCTAAATTTATAACACAATTAATTTTCCAGACCTTCTTATGTTCGGCGTTTGCGTTTGTCAAACAAAGATAAATGTATAATATCAGCCCCTGTTATAGATCTATTCATACCCCTAATGAGAGGGTCAAATTCATTCTGCGCTTGCGTGAATCAATAAATTGCCCCATACAAGGCTATACAAGGGAGGGTTACAAAGATACATTCATTGCTGGTTACATAAGTCAAACTGAGATCTACAGGTAAACAAAACTCGCAGTGTATTCGTAATCAAAAATTATCAACGTATATGTAGTAATAAATGTCGCCTTATAATAGTTTGATATCGCGCCTGCGCCCTGCATCCGTGGACCATTTCGACCAAGTGTACTCCAATAAAGAAGTGCTTTTTGTGTTAAAATCTTAAAATAATCATAAAGTAAGTTTTAGTTTTAAAACGTCATGATACTAGCAATTGTACGACACAATTGTTATTTTCTCGTGTCTATTTTATAAATAAATGTAATTATTTTGATAATCTTACGACAAAAATGAGATGCTGTACATAAAACACTCGCCATTTTATTTTTGTTTGTGATATTCAACAAGAAGATAAACTTGAAATATATCAGCATAGTTTCTTGGTATAAAATATACTTAATTATGAAAAACAAAAACAAAGAAAAATATTACTCTATTAAGATTAAAATTTAGTTTTTTTTACAGATTGCGATTTTTTATATAAAATAATTCGGAAGTATAATTTTGTTTACCCAAATTATAGACCACCATTCAAAACTTATCTGTATTAAAGGTATTCCTATTCTAAATATGTATAAAAGCTTACTAAGCACAGGGTTCATACATTTTAGTATCTAAAATATTTATACTCTTTGTTTCAGAATGTCGTGTGGGGCAGAATGTCTGTCCCTTGGACCTCCACCGGACTCAATCGTACATATGCCGCCGCCACCGTTGCCAGCATTTTTGGCTAATATCGCTAATTTAACACCCCCTTGTAGGGCAGCCAAATGTCCACCTGTCCATAATACTGAGGACAACGCATTATTCCCTGGTGTAGAGTATCATGAGTTGCCTCGACACGGTAAGAAAATGTAGTCAATAGTAAATTATTAAAATTACCATACAACGCCCATATATTATTATAAGACGTCCAGATAATTAAAAAAAATTGTTGATGCTTATCCTTGTCTTCGTTAACATGGTGGGATACAGGGCCAAGATAAAATGTTCCTCACTGGACATTTGGAAATCTCTAAACCTATGCTATCATTTATCTCTATTATTAATCTGCTTTTCATGCTTTGTATGACAGAACCAGCTGGCAATGATGACACATGGTTTCTCGTGCTAATCACTTGTTGCGTGGCTGTACTGTGCATTGCTGCACTCCTGGCTTTATTCTTGCTTAAATGCAGAGAGTAAGTATTCAACACTTTTTAGTACACATTATTTCTCTTTAAACTAAATTATCTTAATATTAATATAATATTCTACTACCTCGTTTCACATAATTCAACTTTTTTTCTATAATTCAATATATAATACAAGTATCAGTTTTTCTATCAGAGGCCGTGGCTGCAAAGCGGGTGCCACAAAAGCACCGACGTTATATGGCACTGCCCTGGACTCGCGAGTGTTGTGGGCAGCCCTCACTCCACGCGGGACTCGTCACTTTGTAGCTGACACCTATCCCCATGACGAAACAGAAGACCACCACTACGAATGTGTTGAACCGCTGTATAAATTAGCTCCCCCAGACCTAGCCATTACAAGACATTTCAATGTGGAATACGAAGACCCCGCTTTGATTGAGAGCTATGACAGAACTGACTATTTCAGAGGTGAAACAATTAGGAGGGGAAATAGACCATTAGTATCATCACCAACTAGAATTGAGAGGCCGAATTTGCCCCCTTTAAACCTCCAGCCGAGGACTCTGCGCTGCGCACCCCATTCTCGTCGTGTTAGTGATGCAAATAATCCGGAAAAATCGGCTATCTGAACCGAGAATGGCGCGGTATTTTCCGTCGCCGATTCTACAGATATCGACTATGAGTGGCCGATTAATGAATCCAATGTCGATAGACTCGTCTAAATCTAATAGATCTGCTTCGGTCAATAGTCATTTTTAAAAAGCAATAGTGACAAAAAGGGACTATTTTTAATTTATTTGCTCTTTTGTTCAAAGCTAAAGTCTAGTCATATATTTATAGCACAGACTATTTGATTACACTTATTTTAGTTAGGTAAACAATAGCAAATAAAATATATAAAGGTCATCTTTTAACTGATGAAATGATGTAATACATATAGATTATTATTTATGCTCTGAATTTATCAAATAATTGTAGATGAAACTAAGTGGTATTTATTTTCTTGTATATAATAAAATTTAATTTATAATTGTGCAATGTAAATGCTAAATGTTGATATTTAGAACTAAGTTATATTCTTATCCCAAACACTGACACGTGTCTAGTCAATTTAAGTTAATAATTTATTTCATTAGATGTTTTTTATTATCTTCATTAAGGATAAACAATTTATACATTTTTTTTATTGTTTTATAATTAGGTGGTTAACCTCTGGATGAATCTGAGATGCTATAGTAAATACTTTTAAATCTAGTCCATAATAATTTTGTACTAATACATAAATAAAGTATTTGATCTAATTTAATCTTGTTTTAATATTTATCGTGACTGAAATTTTAATGTTTATAACTACTAATATTTTATCAAAAATGTAACATATATCGAAAAAATGTTTTTTTTCTCTAAAGTTAAAATTTTCACAGATTTTATATTATACCAAAAATATATTATAATAAAATTAACCTGTACACCACAGACAGAAATGTCATTATCACTATTGATTCTTAGGCATTCCTTTGTAAGCAGATTTAAAAAAATATTCTCGTAACTTATCTAAACGTTTCAAAGAATTATAGCTTTTAGTATAATTGATTCTTAGAATTATCAACATCAAACTAAAATTACTAGTTGATCTTTTCTAGACTAGAAAATTAATAGGAGTAAATTTTAAGAAAAACACGAATTTTCTATCATATTAATAAACTAATATATACCTCTAATGAGATAGTTATAAAGTACCTTCCTTATTATCACATTAATGTTTATTAAGCAATGCTTCAATTTCTCATTTTCTAAATATGTAATTTCATTTATTTTGTTGATAAATAATATATTATGTGAAGTATTTATTCCAAAAGCACTCATGCAACAAAAAAATCGATGTCTCTTATTGTATGACCAGTTAATTAAATATTTAACTGCTTAAAGTTAGCCATAGTAGTTCTAAATTTAAGAAAATATAGTATCAGTAATTGCTACGCGTGTTATATTTTTAAAATTTGTTTCTATATCGTACATTAAACTCGATTCGCTACATTGTGTAACTAAGACTTTCGATATCGATATTAGCATTACCGTCTCGGCAACCGTTATTTAGACACATCGAAATTAAAAACGTAACGTTTTAATATATCAAACATCTCTAGTCGGCTGTCACTTGTCATTGTCAGTCGGATCTTTCACCTTTGTGAATCAAATGTGCAGTTTGCAGATGATATTATTCTTCAGTTTTACTGAAAAACGGAGCAACTATTAATATCATCAAAACGAAGGAATAAATCGTTACTTCAGAAAGTAATTGCACTCATTCAAAGTATGCTATTTTATATTACGACATATAAACTTTACGAATAAAATATAACCTCGAATATTCTTAACATTTAAATTTGAATATAATATAAATATGGCTAAATCGTCGACAAGCAAAGCCGGAAAACCAAAGACCAATGAAGAAATTTTTGCTGGTTTTCAAAATCTTCGTAGTGAACAAAGGCAACTGGCGAACAAAATTTCAGAACTTGAAATGGATCTCAATGAGCACAAGTAAGATGGACCCTGAATAACTCTTTTTATTTCATTCAGTAATGTAAGATCATTGACGATTATTATTTTTATTACAGAATAGTAATAGAAACGCTGAAAGGTGTAGAAAGTGGTCGAAAATGCTTCAGAATGGTAGGCGGAGTATTAGTTGAAAGAACTGTAGCAGATGTACTACCAGAATTAGAAGGAAATAAAGAACGACTACCTGCTGCTCTTCAGGTATAATATAAAGATAATTTACAGTCAAATTCACATTTAACTTGAATGTTTGTCCTCGTTTTGTATACTACTTAGCATGTGTGGTGGAAATAAATTTTAAACCTGCAGCTTTTTGATAATATGAATAGGTACTTTATAACATTATTTTATTTATAGGCATTACATGAACAACTATCTAAAAAAGGCCAAGAGATCAATGAGTATATTGAGAAGCATGACATCAAGGTTCAACGTGGTACCGAGAGCGCTGAAGCCCCACCAGCAGACACTCCAGCTAAATCCAATGTCCTCGTTGCTAGCAGTTAAATATGAAATTAACAATTTGTTTACATTAATCACTAAATTTAGTTTGATATCTTTTATTTCATTATTTAAATTCATATTCTCTCATTGAAATGTGTGTTTATATCCAAATATGAGCTTAATATTCAAATGTTTATAAAAAAAATATTTAACTATTACTAATAGCATTCACCATTTCAGAAAACTGCTATTTATATTAATTTTCTTTACTTCTTATATAACAATATAAGTGAATTTTCATTTTGTCATCTAACAACAGTAAATTTTAGGTTCTATTCAACTTTATATTGATAAATAAAACTTTTTAAATTTACAATAGATTTCTTTATTTTTGTATATGTATATGACTATAATATAATCGTGAAAATAAAATTATAAACTGATAAAAAAATCACAACTCAAATGTTTATAATATAATCACAAGAGTGATGTCTTAAATTCGTTTTTTTTTTTAATGTGCTATAAAAATATGAAATTGTTCTTTATACTTTCTAAAGTCTTATTTGATATAAAAAAAAATATATAATATATGGAATGATATCCTTAGTAAACATTAGCACCACACATAAAAATAAATATCCCATAACAATTATGCCTAATATAGTCTGTAATAGAATATTTTTTTGCTTAAAATACAATAATAAGATCATATGTAAAACGATTAAAAAGCGAAATCGTAAACATAATATAAAATAGAATTAGCCAACGCTTATACTAAAAGTATAACAAATTAGTAGGGACGTATGTCTCTCCGGGTGCATGCGGCGACGTATCATGTTCGCGTACTTTAGGTCCAACATCCTCTTCTTCCTTCTGTTCTACATCACCCCAGGAACTTTTGCCACCAGTCTTCGATATCACCTTAAGGTCAGTAATCTGCATGTTTTTGTCCACGGATTTGCACATGTCATACAAAGTCAGCGCCGCTATGGAACATCCAGTCAGCGCTTCCATTTCCACACCAGTTTTCGCTGTAGCACGCGCCTGGCACGTCACTCGTACACGGCCCCCTCCCCCGCGCTCACTCTCCTTTGGTAACATCACTCTCACACGAGCCAAGGTCAAAGCTAGTGGATGGCACATGGGAATTAAATCTGATGTACGCTTAGCCGCCATTGTACCGGCTACCTGAGCGACTGTCAGCGCGTCCCCTTTCGGTACGCCGGACGAGCGCAATAGACGTAGCAGGCGTGCTCCTACTACAAGATAGCATTCCGCTTCAGCAGTTCGAACAGTCACCGGCTTTTCACCTACATCGACCATACGAGCTCGTCCCGACTTGTCCAGGTGCGTCATGACTCCGTCCTCTTCAGTCTCCTGAGGCAGACGGCGGCGGGAGGGGGGAGGAGGGGTTTGATGGCTGGCACTGGTGCAGAACGCCCGCGCCTGCAGTCGCCGCGGCTCCGCTGTGGAGGCGACACGTCTGAGCGGCTGCTGCTTAGCCGCCTATGAGAATCATGGGCCTATTCTTCGAGCGGGCTAGATTCTCCATGCCTACAAAATAGCCTAAACATAGTCGCTCAACCCATTTAAACCCAAGAGCGATGTTTTAATTATATGAATGCGTATGAAAATGAAGTGCAAAATGATTTTTTGTGACACATTTTTTTTTGTTAGAATTATGATGAATTTAATAAAATTAAAAATTCAATTCAATTCTACCCTTGCCTTACGCATAGCTAGCTCTAAATATAGTGCATTTACATAATTTAGAAGATAGTTTTAGACTGCTCATTTTTTAAAATCTCTTGTAATAAATACACATAAATATGTTTGAAAGTTCTGGTATACACTAAATCTTTCATAAACTAAAGTGTGTGGGAGGTTTATGTTTGTAATGATGGCGACTTGATGTCTACAAGATGGTTAAAATTAATAATAAAAGTATATTCTCCGGTCACATCGTTTACGACTACAGAATATTCCAAATAGGTGATATTATAGCAAAGCTTGATATTTTACGAATTCAAGACCTTCAACAATCCTACTAATATTATATTTGCGAAAGTTTGTGAGTGTGTGTGTATGTTTGTTACTTCTTCACGCTCAAACGGATGAACCCATTTTGATAAAATTTTGTATACAGAAAGCCGACGTCCAGGAATAGCACATAGACTACTTTACATCCCGGAAATCCGCAGGTAAAACCGCGGGGCGCAGCTAGGTATAACATAAATTCAACCAGCACCAATACTAGCTTTTATCATACCAGCATGTCGTGGTAACTTCCTTCTTAGAGCGCTTCGGACCAAGGTCTCAATATCATCATCGTTGACACCAGCTCGTATGGCATCACGGAGATTGGTCTCCGATTCCCCAAACAGACACACCTACAGAAAAACATATAAACTCACACAATTACTTTAGAAAAACTATCATCACATCAAATGATTATGTTAGGAAACGTCGAAAAAATGTGGAATAATACAATGAGAAGTAAATCTGAAAGGCATAGTTTTATTTATAATTAAGTTTCTATAGATAAAGATATGAAAATTGATAAATTTGGCCTTAACTATACGGGGTGACTGGTGAATTACTATCAATATTTAAGGAGTATACTCGGTACATGATTCTCATTCGAATTATGTAAAAAAAATAGGCACTTAATTTTTGACCAAATTTCCGTATAAATAAATAAAGTGTTGACACGTTCCAAGTGTTCCAAGCGTGGACGCGTGCGGCGGCGTAGTGTTGTATCAGCACGCGTGTGTGAGTGTGTGTGTATAGATAATCTGTAGGGTGTTCATACGATGCGTAATTAATTACATAACTTTTGGTTAACTTTACTTAGAAGTTTATTAATATTTATGTTATATTAATTTTTATTTTGTCATATATGATCGTCAAATATCACGTCGTCAAATATCGATCGTAATTCACCAGTCACCCTGTATATAGTTAGCAGTCAAGGATTCACTAAATCTTAAAATCTTGAAATTAGTTGGATAATGTTGGAGTTGGAGAATCATTTTGTTTAATTTACTTATAGTATTTTTTAACACAATTTTTACACTTAAAAAGTCACGTGGCTAGAATTGTTAATGACTTTCATAACTTTTATTTTAAATTTTTATCATAAAATAAAATAAAAAACGCATTTATTGATATCTAATCACTAATTTTGCAAGCAATAATAATAGATAACACCTCTGTTCAGATATATTTAAGTATTACATAATATAGTGCATAATTCACATACTCGAATAAGGACACGATAGCCTAGTTTGAAAAGTGATTGAAATGCGATAACCCATGATACAGGTTCAAATACTGCTTTTTAAAGTTCATTACATATTATGTACTTGAATTTTATTTCTTGAAATTAAAGATGATTTAAGCATTAAAGACAGCTTTGGGTTTTGAATACACTTTTCGAACCGATACACTGTTTATAAATAAGTACCTTGGGCGTTACTAGTTCGATTTACTAAATATACGTCAGTATGATGGAGTCAATAAGTTTATTTGATATACCTGATAAAAAATACATTGAAGCAAAATAAATATTTCATACAAGCATTGCATTTTAAATATATATGTACATATATTAAGCAGCGTTCAAAATGAAAATAAATAGAAACAGACCTTCAAATTACCATCAGCTGTGAGTCGAAGACGATTGCAAGTTGAACAGAACGGCTTCGTCATGGACGATATGAAACCGACCCGACCAGTGTAACCTGGCACTTGCCACAGCTGGAAAACATTACATATTTCATTCATTATTATATATCTTACATATTTTTTTTCTTTTAATAAATTACTTTTATATGGTTCATTAAATTTTACAGTTTTATTTTATTAACAGTAATAAATAATTATAAAATTATGAGACTCAAATATTTTTATGTACTGCGTTATATATTATTACAATACCATTTTTTTCTGTGTATTTATTGTATGCTTAAGGCGTAACAAAGTATAAATACTTGTAAGACTAATTTCATAAATCTTCGAAAAAAAATTATGCATATAATATATGCGTTCGTGTAGATTTGTATGTTTGCTTAATTAGATCAAAGATTTTCGCGAGCAATCATTGAAATAAAACTAATATCTTTCGAATTTACTATGCGTTTATAATTATTTGTAACAATATACTTCCGACATCTCGTTTGCCCGTGATCACGGTTGCTGCAAAGTAACCGAAACGTCGGGAGTATGCTGTTAATAATAACTATAAACGCGTATGTATGTATGTATGTTTGTTTGTATACCGTAGCTGTGCGACACGGTGTAGGAGGAAGCGGTGTCAAATCACCGTATCTCTCGATTGCAGCAGAGATAGCATCCTTCTCACTAACCATACGTTCCCCTTTCTCCCAACGATTCCCAGAGAAAGGCATGAACTCTATAAACCTGTAAAATTATCGCAACCCATAAAGTATTTATCAAAACATCCCGTTATATACTTAATTGCTAATAAATTGGTTTCATATCGAACAATATATATGCGGTTAAAGAGAATGTTATCAATATTTGAACAAATGTTAGATATTTTTTTTTTTATTATATTAATTACTCATATACAAACCTTATATCTATATCACGGTCGCGAGTTAGTTCAATGAAATCGCAAATTTCGTCATCATTAAAACCTAAAAAAACACGAAGTTAAAATATTAGCTTATCTAATTTTTGTCTAATTATGACGTCACAAAGGCGTGGCAATTAGTTTGCAAAGTTTTTTTTTATTTTTAAAATTAGGATTTAAGTATGAATAGTGGTATTTTTTGGCGAATACCTTTCATAAGTACAGTATTAATTTTAACAGATTTGAAGCCAAGCTGCAGCGCCAAATCCATGCTGGCCAGCACATGAGGTAAGCCCTGAGAAGTTAAAAAAATAAAAATTATTAATTCCTCTGAATATATAACTTTTTATTTATAATTTAAGAAATATGTCAATATCAACATAATATTTTTATTTTTTTATACAAATTGACACATCCTTGAGAAGGTTTTATGGACATTACAGACATGATCTAGAATTTCAATATCAATATTATGTTGACGACTGATTTATTAAATTGCAAGCAATGACAACAAAACTGAGTTCCAATATCTACCGGTCTTCGTGCCATGCGCTCAAAACGTTCTGGTTTCAGTGAATCCAAAGACAAATTTAAAGCTGAAAGACCGGCACGTTGTAACGAAGGTAATTTCCTGGTTAGGGCTATACCATTAGTTGTCATTGCCACTGTCGATATCCCATGGATGTTGGTCAATTCCTCTATTACATATAAATGATATAAAAAAAATCATTAATAACATGTCATCATTTTATCTGTTTTAGTATAAGTGCTGATAAGATTTTTATTTAATATTATATTATGTATCTATAATCAAAGGTTGCGGGGTCATAGACAATAAATAAATACGTACGAACAATATTCACAAGGTCTTTTCTCAATGTAGGCTCGCCACCAGTTAGCCGTATTTTATTTATACCAAGTGCGGCAAACACTCGTGCCAATCTTAAAACTTCTTCATTAGACAATATTTTGTCACGGGGACTAAGCTTAACACCTTCGGCCGGCATGCAGTATTGACCTAAAATAACTTGAAATTATTATTTATAACATAGACAAAGACGAAGTCTTTTTTCATAGAAGTGATTCTTAAGAATCAATTCTGATGATGTAACTCTTCCTTCATTACACTGTCATTAGTAAAGTATATTATGATAAGGTAAACTTTGAATTTGATCATAGGAGACAAATAGTATATGTAGCATACACATCATACTATTTTCGCCTTAATCCTCTCCCACTACTAAATCTCAAGAATTTTGTCAATGTCCATGACATTATTCACCTTTTTTCCACCATCCAAATCTGACTATAAAAGTAATTTATTTTAGCTTTGTAGATTCATCCAAATTTTCACTGCCTTCATTCTTCTTTCAAGTTTTTCATGACAGTTTAAATACATTCTAATGGCTCTAACCATACATACTTATTCACTGTAGGATTTACTGTTCAATCAAAATTGGGGTATTCCAAGCATAACTTACATAACGATTGAAAATATTAACTTACTAAGTTATTTTAAATATTGCCATATAAAATTTCAATAACTTACAAAAATTAAAATCATGTTACATATTAAAACATCTTTACCAATTCTGTTGCTTTATTATCCAATTACTTTATTTTAACAGCATTTTCCTTTTCTTTTTTTTTAATATGCACAATTCAATAACAATAAACATATAAGCAATTACAAATATAAATCGCTCCATTCTTATGCTTTGAACAAATTGTTGTGATATGTCTATGGCAAATACTAAAAATCCGTAGACTAAATACTGTCACCATCCCTATGAGTATTTATGATTTTCAAACCATCAATACTCTATTACTATTACTCAAACACAAGCAAAATAGTTAGTTTAATAGTTATATATAAGAAGATTTAAGAAGAATGCATTGCAATGCAAGTATATCTTTCCATTAAATATAACACTGAAGTCAGCCATAAAAACATTTAATAGTGTATTCATTTTAAAATCTATTTACAAAAAAATATATTTGTGACGAATGACATAACATTTAAAAATTAGTAACTATTCAACATTACTTTTATGCAATATACAATAAACAGACTATAATACATAAACACATCAGACTTTTTGAATGTGCTCCAATTTTTGTGTTAATTTTATTTTTAGAATTATAATTATTCAGTCTTAAACTTTTTAATTCGATTTAATTTTTTCGGTAATTAATAAAACATTGAAAAAACATATTTGTCTATCAATTTTATCGTAATTTTATGACGGAAAACATGTAATATGTAACAATTTTTTAACTCTATATAAGACCAAGTCTTCATAGAACCTGAATTGATAAATGAGTTTTGATAATATAGTAGTAATGAATTAACATTGTCTGGATTAAGTATGAAAGAATTATATACATTTGGTTTTTTAAACCTTACCCATTACACACAGAAAATTTTAACCACTTATGATATGATACATTGATAAAAGTTGTAGAAGAGCCAAAAATATATTATTATTTAACTTTTCAAACTATGATATGTAAAAAATACTAATTCCAATTGTAATATATTAATTACTTACATCTTAAATTGCATTTTTCGGTTAGGGAGATTCGTAAATAGTCATGTTTACGTCCATATAAGTCAACAAGTGGTGGAACATCATTTGTAAGTAATAAATTTGCAGTTTCCTGTAATTAGATTGAAATATATTGTTTACGTCAACTTTATGTATACGAATTAAAACAAGTTTTTTCTTTTACTCACTTTTATATTTGGTTTTAGATCAGAATTTATAAAACGTTTTAAGCTTAATGTTTGATAACTACTTGAGTTTTGAAGTAATTTGGAGTTAAAAAGATAAAACATTTTAGCTTTCATATTAAAACACGAATAAAAACTACCACAAAAATTACTGAATAGGTTGAAAATACAAGAAGTATAAGTGCAACGAAGAATTCACCAAATTATAGTAAGACTACATACGTGTTCATTAGAAACTAAACATTATTATAATGCTAATATTTACTTTTGAAATTGTCTATTGCAATTAAGTATAATAGCACTACTAACTTCTGACAACTGACAGACGAAGACAGGTGTCTCGAAATATATCGAATATTTGTAATAACTTATATTTGTCGTGACATTAAGTCTAATATTTATTTCCTAAATTTAAATGAACCTTGTCAGACCCATTTGTAAGTACTCGTTTTATACGGCTGGTTCGTGATTAAAAAGTAAAACCATCTGAATTTTAGATGTCAGTAACTTTTTAAAAATGCCGTTTTTATTATAGTGTTCATTTATGCATTGACCCTAACTGAATAATTAAGAAACAATAAAAGTTCTGTCTTACAAATACTTTATGTTTCAAGTTTTAGAGTTTAGTGGGAAACTGATTCAAAAAGATTTTTCAAAATCGTTGTGAATATCGCTATTTTTTTTTCATAAGGTGCACCTTCTCTTTATTTGCCTATAATTAAAAACTATTTATTCTAAATGTGTAAAAAATCAAAGGTATATGTTTTAAAATATTAGCAGGCATTTATAACATAGTAATGTGTAAATAAAATTTTAATAGATTTCCCTAAAAATAGAAATGAAATTATTCATTACATAGTTTTCTAAGAGATATGTTTAAATTTTTACGTTGACGGATGATTGTTGCTAAAAATATGGCATAATTGTGAATGACAACAATGTTTGACAATTGTCGTTTACATATTAGATATTTGATTCCTTGTTAAGTTAATCAAATTTAAGCCATAAAAGTAACTATGTTGAGAAGAATAGCACAATTTATATTTATATAAATATAACTAACTTATTTGTAAATAAACATAATAATATGTGCCATAAGTGAAAATAATATTGTATATTATTTGCTTTATAAGTTATAAAGTAGGCGTTGAATCTTATAAAATTTGTAAATTATTGAAGATGAAGCTAGAAGAAGTGAAAACAAACATAGGACTGGACGCAGCAGTGAGTGTAGACGTAGTAAATGCGGACGGAAAGGCACAAAAACTGAGTGTGGAAGGTGGAGCACTAGTTCTTACGGAAGGCAGTTCCCGGTTACGATGTTGGCCTATACATAATATTAAGATAAAGACAGACTTGTCGGTGAGTTATTTATTACATTATTTGCTTTTTTATAAATACTCCCTCCATATCAATGCAGATTCTTTTCCAAGTATGCCTTGGGAGTTGGGGTGATTCCTATTAATAAATGCCTACACCAAAAAGTTCATTGGAAGTAACAAATTGGTGATAGTGAGTATTGTTATTAGCTTTATTTGAAAGTTGAAAAAAGCTAAAATTCTTTTTTTTAAATAGGGTGGAGTGAGCATTGAAGCCGGAGGAGAAACTCTATCGTGGACTAGCAACATAGAACGTTGTAAAACATCTTTGAATAGATTAACACAAATTGTAATCACAGCATCCTTGCCAGTTGGGATGGGACAGCCCTCAGATGCAGCTTTAGCTGCTTTGTTGGAAGATTCTGAACCTGATGATACAGATGCTGAGAGAAGAGTCAAACGGCTTGGAGATAGATTAGCACGACTTGATGCACTTAATGTAGCTGGAATGCTTGCAGCCGCAACTGAAGGTGGTGGGGCTCAATTGGCAGCTAAACTGGAAGGTAGATCTCAATTTTAAGTTAAGCAAATGAGGTGGATATTTTATTGACACAAAATGTTTGCAAATTGCAGTAGACACTCGATTATTCGGCCCTCAGTAATACGGATTTGCGATTATCCGGACTACGGACAAGTCCGGACAAGAAAAATGACAAAGCATAAGAGAGTGATGTGTTGTTAAGAGTAGCATACCTCAAATGACAATTACCAAATATTCTAAACCAAATTAAACTTATTATTTTACTTCATGATCATCAATTGCAAATGTATCTTTTAATTATTTATTAAAAAATATTGATTTTCGTTGATATGCATTTGTTACTTTTTTATACATATAAACATATTATATTAGGTACTACATATGCAGAAAACCAGCTTTTCTTCATACATTCGATTATCCATATGCCTATCGACAACAATTAGCCCGGTTAATCGAGTTTCTACTGTACTACCAAAATGTTTCCAATATTTTTTCCTAATTAGCAGCTTATTATGGAATGAATTAAAAATCAGTGAATTAATAAACAGTGATCAGTATAGGTTAAACATTAATGGTTTTTATTTCATCCAACATATCTACTCAGAGATTTACCTGTTTTCAATTATAATTTACCGAGATTTTATATTTACGCTGTAGCGGGAAGTGCTGCAGGGACTGCACTTTCAACTCGCCTGTCTCGACTAGAAGCACTGACTCGTGCAGCACCCGCAGCATTGCACGCGCGGTCAGGGGCGGCACGTTCGGACGCAGCAGCCCGTGCACTACTTGTCGAACTTACTGAAATATATGAATGGCTTGACAACCCTGCTCTTAAAGACCTTGACACACTATCAGAGGTATGCCGGAGAATTCTTAAATACATCTTATGTAAGAAATCGAAAACAGCTGATTTTTTATTTTTGTCTAGATACATACTTTGTTGTATAGTTAAGCATTTATATCTTAATTTTTTCAGATATCGTTGGCTACAGTTGATGGTCGCGCACGAGCACTACGGGCGGCTGAAGCACTACGTAACGCATTGAGGGGTGAAAGAACAGCTAGTACTGCTCGCTTACGGCTGGGGGCAGTGCGTGAACGGTTAAGAAGATTGGCTCGTGCGAAAGACAATTTGGCTGCTTTATTAGCACGACATTTGAATAATGCTCTCATACATTTAGCAAATGAAGCCCACGCGCCAACTCCCAATACTAGACGTTCTCATCATTCTGAGCTGATGCCTTATGCACCATTTATGCGATGGCTCAAAGATATGGACGATAAAGCCTATGATGGTCTGGTCAAGGTACATTAAAAATATTATCTTTAAATATTATTGTAATGTTTCTAAACAAGAGGCATTTTTTGCAAAAAATCACATATATTAAAATCTTATTAATCTGATACACCAAAAGACATTCTCTCGAATTTAATACATAAATAGAGAAAACACATATAAAAATATTATTTAAATAACATAGATTTCTGACAGCACACTCATAAATATTGTTACACAGGTAGATTAAATGGTTTGAGAAGGATTAAATAAAAATGTTGTTTATCAGTACAATATGTATATTTATTAATATTATTTACAGGTGTATGTGAGCACATGGTCGCGTGTACACGAGCGAGAGGCACGTGTTTGGTGTGACGGGGCACGAACATCACTTAACACACAGTCAGCCACTGTAGATGATCTATTGGATGAGGTGTGTTCAGCTAATTTGTTAATTTGGAGGGTTCAACAGTATGTTCTTATTCTCGTCCATGATTAAAATCTTAAATGACTTGGTAATGTCTTAATATCACTTTAAATATGAGTATTGGTTTGCCCTAAATTAGTAGAAATGTTTGACAAACAGACTATGAAATTGGATTTTGTAAATTAAGTTATTTATTTTATTACTACATTTATATTTGTAACTATAAATGCTGTGTAGGGAAGTATACCTAATATTGCAATTCCTTAAATACCTTTAGTAAAATTATTATCATAAAAAATGGTTTTGACTTCATCCTTTTATTTCTCAATTTCTTTAAAAAAATTATGTTTTTAAGACTATCACAGCATACAGTGTTGCATAACATATTTTCTGCATATTCTACTGCTTTTATTTCTAAATATAACTATTTGTAAAGATGGTTCCATGTGCTTATTACTTAAAAAAATCAAATAAAAACCAGTTCTTTAACAGTTTAGTTTTAAAATATATTTATTATTTTATCTATTTATTATCTATTATTTGGTATTTGTACGATGCTAATAACATATTATACTTTTTGGGTTACTTTTTAACTGTTTGTTAAAAAAGATAAAAAAGATTTGCATTTCAATGATCATACAATATGTTTATTTTGAATTATAGAATCAATTATACAGGGTGACTTGTGAATTACTATCAATACTCGGTACATGATTCTCATTCGAATTATGTAAAAAAAATAGGCACTTAATTTTTGACAAAATTTCCTTATCAATAAATAAAGTGTTGACACGTTCCAAGTGTTCCAAGTGTGGACGCGTGCGGCGGCGTGCTGATACAACACCACGCCGCCGCACGCGTATGTGTGAGTGTGTGAGTATACCTAATCTGTAGGGTGTTCACATGATGCGTAATTAATTACATAACTTTTGGTTAACTTTACTTAGAAGTTTATTAATATTTATGTTATATTAATTTTTATTTTGTCATATATGATCGTCAAATATCACGTCCTCAAGTATCGATAGTAATTCACCAGTCACCCTGTATAAAATCAGTCATACTCTTTTTCAGGTGCTAACAATGGTAGAAACAACTTGCAATGCTGAACAAGACTTTTGTACTCAATTCTTCTATTTGGATGTTGATGTTAAGGTATTTATTTATTAATTTTAACCACAATTATTACCCTTTCATCAAAATTATGCTTTTAATATTTAACTTATATATATTTTTGTATTTGTTCTTGTATGATTAAGGATGTTTTGCTTAAGAAAATTAGATTTTTGTGTTCCTATTAGATTCATAGATCATCCAGTAGAAGAATTCATTTTTAAATAAGAGATAATGCTTTTTACTACATAATTTAAAGGTTTTGAAATTTTGTTAAATTTCTTCATTAACAATATTCTATTCAACACTAGTTCAAGACAATGAACAATAGTTCAGGAGTTGTACATTTATTTTATTGTTATTGTATATCATTTTTTATGTTCAGGATTTGGACATATATTTTACTTATATTTACTTTATTCGAGTTGTACATATTAGGACTGAACTAATTTGTATTATTTTATTATTAATCAAAATGTTACAGAGTGACAATAGTGACGGCGAACGTAGCGAAAAAAGTGATGGTGGTGAGAGAAATGAACAGAAGAAAAGTACGAGCGAGACGAAAAAATTGTTAGGAGAACTATTTCCAGCACTGGAGACGGAGTTGGTGTCACTGGTTGGAAGTATAGAGAAACACGAGCCGTAGTAAGTCGAAATATCTAATGTTAGATGATTCTAATAGAGTCGGACAATTTACATACAATTTATTGACTTATAATAATCAGTATTAGTTTGGTAAAAAAAATCTTAAGATTTTTATTTCTTGGTCATCAGAAAGTATGTTATGTATAAATACGTATGTGTATGTAAAGAAAAATAGAATTTTCTTCACGGGTCATAATAATAGACAAACACGAAATATTTTCATCTGTGGTTTATTTAAAATTTGTGTCGTATAACGAAGTTATTGTCAGGAAGTGAACTTGTATAATAGATCAAATTTACATATTTTAATCAACATTTTAAATTAATAGTTTTAAATGTCGTTTCTTTTCTTACATGTTAGTCTTGTAAACTTTATATTGTGAACCTTAGAGGGTAACCAGTATCGGTTGATTTAAAAATAAAATCTTTTCTTACAGAGAAACTCATTACTCTTTGATTGTGTCGTCCAAATCTCGCTATTATATCTTATATAATTACTAGAAGACCCGGCGAACTTCGTATCGCCCTATAATCAAGAAATATCTGTTACGTCTTTTTATAAATAAATTTAGGTTATACCTTAGCCTCAGAAACACGTCGTGGTGATACTATGTATTATTAAATAGTCGCTCATATATGTCGTTTGTATTTTTAACATAGCGCCATCTATTGAATACTTAACCCAGTCATCAGATAATTGTAATAATGACAAATAATTTTCTTTAATAGACAAATAATTTGCAATAAATTAATATTGTGACTATAAATTGAGATGTAAGCTATCCTATCTTTCAAGTTGGATCACAATGCACACGGAAATCAAATCAAATTAAAAATTGGTTTAGTAGTTTAGGAATCCATCGCGGACAAACACGTGACACGAAATTTTTATATATATAAAGATATATTGCTTTCTAAATAGTGGTGCTATGCGTGCTTTGGCCTGCGTGGGTCGACGTGTGCTCGGTGAAGGAGGGGAGGGTAGTGAGGTGTGTGCGGGGGAGGCGAGGTGGTCGCGGGCGGCGCTCGCCGCAGTCGCTGTAGCAGCCAAGAGGGGGGCGGACAGGGCCGTCGCTGATAGACTCGCCGCGTTGAATGACGCTGTCAAACAGGTTGGTGATGACTTGTTGTGAATTAATTAATGGGTGGTGAGTGAATGGTGTATACATATATTATTATTTATTTTTCTTGTCTGTGGTCTTTTTATACGACCGTCATCAGTTTTTTTTACCCAAATTAGAAATTTACGTTATTGTAATATTATAACCTGGTATAGTGCGTTTGATTTAAGCTGAGCTTTGCATTTGTGTAAGTGAACACGGATAGTTAGGTGTGATGTAAAATTTTTGAATGCCACGTTCTTTACTGCTTTTACTCCGCCCCGCAAGTTCCACACTTCACCCTTTGTACTGGTAGCAACATCAAATGTTGAAAACGTAATGTCAAGTGAAGAGAGATTTTGTATAGTTTTTTCAAAATTTTTGCTAATGAAATTTTTTTTTCCCATAATATTCATAATATTTCCATCTGGCCTTTTACAAGTTTTGCTTATTTTATAGCACTTGTATTATGTATCTGTTTAAAATATAATAAAATTGAATTCTATAACTTTTTTGTCTAACTCTACTTTTACTTTCACTAACACAAATGCAAAGCTTAACTTAAGTCTAATGGACTATAGGTGTCCAATTGTGGTCCAATTTTGAGTTTTTATACATTAAATAATATTTATGTTGCCATAATTTCTAAGGCCTTTTTGTATTAAAAATAAAATATTTAAATGTGATGTATGAGTTATAAATCTCTCAACTTTCATTTTCAGGCGGCAAAGAAACCGAAATGTGGCATCCTCAGCTTCATACCGGAGCTGGAAGAGATGAGTTCAGTGTGCGAGTCGATATTCGCTCGCGGCCGGCGGGCTGATTTGGACCGCTGGTATCTTTCCTTGGCCACTGCGATGTTACGTACAATCCAACTGGCCGAACACCCTCGAACACCGAGAGCTGTAGTACAAATGGAGAACTACCATCGGCTTCATGCTTGCGTTTCTTCGTTGCGAGTGACGGCCTTGGATAGTTTACGTCGGGACGCACGCATGCGATACTCCGAAGCACTGAAGCAGTATGTCACACAGTACTTCGGAAGGCCATTAGAGAAGTTGGCTCAGTTCTTCGAACGAGTTGGCGAAGCGGTGGCGAGCGGTGTGAAAGAGGACGAGGTTTGTTACAGAACCGCCTTCAGCAAACACGAGCTCAGACGGCTCTTGGCGCTGTATCCAGCTCATGAAGGTTAGATTTTAATAATTAAGATTAAATATCAATAATAATAAAATGCTGTTATATTTAGTTTGGGATTAGTATGTATAAAGAAAATATACTTTTAACTCCCTTACGTGTGTTACTCCCTTAAGTGTTCCTTTAAACATAAATAGCTTATGGTGCTCTTATAACACAAACAAAACATTCATATCTTTTTGGAGATGTTATGATTGTTTTCAAAAACACATTCCAATGAGATCTGAAATTGAAAACCTTCAAATATTCTTTTTTGGGAATTTAATCCAACGCGACGTCTAAAATACATTGCACTCATTATGGTCACGAATAGACTATCGTGTAAAATTCTTATTGAGAAAAACTGACTTAAATAAAAAGACACTAATTAAATTCTCAAAAGTAGTTTTATAAATTGCCACAGCTGTTGTTCTAACAACATTGTCAATATCATTATTGAATATAAGGAAAATATTTAACGAATATCTTAACCATAATTCCTGTATATTTCCCTAGTACGCAAGTCCCTACATCGCTTGTATCGTACAGTGGAGAAGCATCTTAGCGAGGAGGGTGGATTACTGCAAGTAGTTTGGAGAGCTATGCAGGAAGAGTTTATAGCTCAACACGTGGCTTTACAGGTAGACTTTTGATTTGAATTACTTACACTTATACATTGAATTACTGAAACTTATATGTACTTTGACTACTTATATAATTTATCTACTATCAATTTAATTTTTGTTGAAAATATGTTCTTGTATTAGGACTACTGCTATGGAAGGTAAATTATGCAGAGCTGTATTTTAGATAGTTGCACCTTATTTTAAATACCTCTACCCAAATTGTCTGGTCTTACCTATAGGTAATCTACTATAGTAGATATTAAGCAATTTGACAAATGGGTTTCCTTGCTCTGGTATTTGCAATATTTACATACTGTAAAACAAGTCTATGATCATTTTGTTATCTACCAATGAAGTAGCTGATATAATTTTGATTTCAACATAACTTTCTTATATAATTTCTACCATATTTGAAAAATATCAATTAAAAATTTGGTATATTAGTTTTAAAAATTAATTTAATTCTATTATAAGATATAATTAACGCCCAAAAAGAATTCATAAGTTGTTCTTCATAATGATAATACAAAGATAATATTTTTATAATGTAATTATATTTAATTTCAGGCTCGCATCGCTTCTTGCTACCCGGGTGCAGGACTCACTCTGCCTCTCAGTACACAAGACATACTCGATGCATTCTCTGACATCGCTAGGGAACATTAAATCACATAACTGTAATTTCTTAATTTGCTTACCAAAAAGTTTTTAATCAAAATAGAACAATGTTCTATGTTTAAATATTTTTTTTATATTGGTTTTGTCTAAGAATATTATAGATAAGGTTCTAAGGACCACATTTATTATAGTTTAAGATTATAAGAAGAAAAAATATTAGAAAATTATTTAAGAAATGCTTAAGTATTAATTATTTAATTTATATAGTGGTCCGAATATGTACTAAATTATTTAAATAAAAAAATATATTAACTATTTTTTTTATTACATTTTAGATGTATCTATATGTAGGACTATTTCAAAGCTGTTGTTTATGTCGAATAATATTTATAATGTCATTAATATCTTATAAGATAAACTACATAATAAGTAACGAGAAAAAATGGGGATATTAATTCAAGTTGAAGGTGAAGGACCTACAGTAGGTGCTTCACCTGATATAGGAACCGATGATTATGTTATAGAAGTAAAATCCCCTTTTTTTGAGAATGTAGTGAATCACATACCTATTAATAAAGAAAACAGTTTCTTGTAAAAGTATTTTTTCAGAAGAACAAAATCTTGGTTTTGAGCGATTTTAAGTGACCTTGAAAGTTCTTAAAATATTATTATTATTGAAAAATAATATTCTTATGTTCTTCTATTACAACAAAATGAAAATATTACTGTTATAGTTACAAAAATTCGGAAATCTTTCAAATGCTTCGTTGTTATTATTCCGAGTACAAAGTGGCGTCACAAAATAAGTACCCCAAAGTGTTTAATCGACCGAAAATTATAATAGTTAAAATTATTTGTTTTAAACTTATTTAAAATAATTATGCAAGTGTTATATTTTTTTCACTTATATAATTACTAATAGAATGTATTTAAAAAATCATGCATATTCCCAATAATTCAAGTATATTGCAATTGTTTATAAAAAAGTAATTTGATTCCTTGTTAAGTTAATCAGATTTAAGCCATACAAGTTACTATGCTGAGAAGAATAGCACAATTAATATTTATATAAATATACGAACTTATTTGTTAATAAACATAATAATATGTTCCATAGAAAGTCAAAATAATATTGTATATTTGCTTTATAAGTTATCAAGTAGGCGTAGGATCTTATAAAATTTGTAAATTATTGAAGATGAAACTAGAAGAAGTGAATACAAACATAGGACTGGACGCAGCAAAGAGTGTAGACGTAGTAACTGCGGACGGAAAGGCACAAAAACTGAGTGTGGAAGATGGAGCGCTAGTTCTTACGGAAGGCAGTTCCCGGTTACGATGTTGGCCTATACATAATATTAAGATAAAGACAGATTTGTCGGTGAGTTATTTTTATTACATTATTTGCTTTTTTATAATTAATTCCTCCATATCTATGCAGATTCTTTTCAAAAGTATGCCTAGGTGTGATTCCTATTCAAAAATGCCTACACTAATAAGTTCATTGGAAGGAAAAAATTGATGATAGTGGGTATTGTTATCAATTTTATTTGAAAGTTAAAAAAGCTAGAATTCTTTTTTTTAAATAGTGTGGAGTGAGCATTGAAGCCGGAGGAGAAACTTTATCTTGGACTAGCAACATAGAACGTTGTAAAACATCTTTGAATAGATTAACACAAATTGTAATCACAGCATCCTTGCCAGTTGGGATGGGACAGCCCTCAGATGCAGCTTCAGCTGCTTTGTTGGAAGATTCTGAACCTGATGATACAGATGCTGAGAGAAGAGTCAAACGGCTTGGAGATAGATTAGCACGACTTGATGCACTTAATGTAGCTGGAATGCTTGCAGCCGCAATTGAAGGTGGTGGGGCTCAATTGGCAGCTAAACAGGAAGGTAGATCTCAATTTTAAGTTAAGCAAACGAGGTAGATATTTTATTGACACAAAATGTTTGCAAATTAATTGTTAAATATACAGTAGAAACTCGATTATTCGGCCCTCAGTAATACGGATCACGATTATCCGGACTATGGATAAGTCCGGACAAAATAAAATGACAAAGTGTAAGAGAGTGGTGTTATTAAGAGTAGCGTAAGTCAAATGACAATTACGAAATATTCTAAACTAAATTAAACTTATTATTTTAAATCATGATCACTAATTGCAAATATATCTTTTAATTATTTAATAATAAACATTGACTTTCGTTGATATGTATTTGTTACTTTTTTATATAAACATTAAACATATAATATTATGTACTACATATGCACAAACCCAGCTTTTCTTCATACATTCGATTATCCGGATTTTCGATTATCCGTATGCCTATCGACAAAGGTTAGTCCAGTTAATTGAGTTTCTACTGTACTACCAAAATGTTTCCAATATTTTTTCCTAATTAGCAGCCTAATTATGGAATGAATTAAAAATCAGTAAATTAATAAACAGTGATCTGTATAGGTTAAATATCAATGGTTTTTATTTCATCCAACATATCTACTCAGAGATTTACCTGTTTTCAATTATAATTTAAAGAGATTTTATATTTACGCTGTAGCGGGAAGTGCTGCAGGGACTGCACTTTCAACTCGCCTGTCTCGACTGGAAGCACTGACTCGTGCAGCACCCGCAGCATTGCACGCGAGGTCAGGGGTGGCACGTTCGGACGCAGCAGCCCGTGCACTACTTGTCGAGCTTACTGAGTTATATGAATGGCTTGACAACCCTGCTCTCAAAGACCTTGACACACTATCAGAGGTATGCCGGAGAATTCTTAAATACACCTTATGTAAGAAATCTAAAACAGCAGATTTTTTTATTTTTGTCTATATACTTTATGTATAGTTAAGCATTTATATCTTAACTAGCTTTCCGCCCGCAGCTTCGCCGCGTGGAGTTCGGTTATATCGCGTTTCCAAGAGAACCTTTCAAAAGTCTGGGATAAAAGCTATCCTATGTTCTTTCTCAAGGTCAACTCTATCTCTGTACCGAATTTCATTAAAATCAGTTCAGTGGTTTAGGCGTGAAAGCGTAGCAGACAGACAGACAGACAGAGTTACTTTCGCATTTATAATATTATAAGTAGGGATTTTTCAGATATCGTTGGCTACAGTTGATGGTCGCGCACGAGCGCTACGGGCGGGCGGCTGAAGCACTACGTAACACATTGAGGGGTGAAAGAACAGCTAGTACTGCTCGCCTACGGCTGGGGGCAGTGCGTGAACGGTTAAGAAGATTGGCTCGTGCGAAAGACAATTTGGCTGCTTTATTAGCACGACATTTGAATAATGCTCTCATACATTTAGCAAATGAAGCCCACGCGCCAACTCCCAATACTAGACGTTCTCATCATTCTGAGCTGATGCCTTATGCACCATTTATGCGGTGGCTCAAAGATATGGATGATAAAGCCTATGATGGTCTGGTCAAGGTACATTAAAAATATTATCTTTAAATATTATTGTAATGTTTCTAAACAAGAGGCATTTTTTGCAAAAAATCACATATATTAAAATCTTATTAATCTGATACACCAAAAGACATTCTCTCGAATTTAATACATAAATAAAGAAAACACATATAAAAATATTATTTAAATAACATAGATTTCTGACAGCACACTCATAAATATTGTTACACAGATAGATTAAATGGTTTGAGAAGGATTAAATAAAAATGTTGTTCATCAGTACAATATGTATATTTATTAATATTATTTACAGGTGTATGTGAGCACATGGTCGCGTGTACACAAGCGAGAGGCACGTGTATGGTGTGACGGGGCACGCATATCACTTAACACACAGTCAGCCACTGTAGATGATCTATTGGATGAGGTGAGTTCAGCCAATTTGTTAATTTGGAGGGTTCAACAGTATGTTCTTATTCTCGTCCGCGCTTAAAATCTTAAATGACTTGGTAATGTCTTAATATCACTTTAAATATGAGTATTGGTTTGTCCTAAATTAGTAGAAATGTTTGACAAACAGACTATGAAATTGGATTTTGTAAATTAAGTTATTTATTTTATTACTACATTTATTTTTGTAACTATACATGCTGTATAGGGAAATATACCTAATATTGCAATTCCTTAAATACCTTTAGTAATGTTATCATAAAAAATTACTTAATACTTTTTTCTCAATTTCCTTAAAGTTTTTTTATGTCATAACCTTTCTCAGACTATCACAGCATACAGTGTTGCGTAACATATTTTTTCCATATTCTACTGCTTTTATTTCTTAGTAAAACTATTTGTAGAGATGGTTCCATGTGCTTGTTACTGAAAAAAAAAACAAACAGTTCTTTACTAGTTTAGTTTTAAAATCTATATTGGTATTTGTACTATGCTAATAACATATACTTTTTGGGTAACTTTTTAACTCTTTATTTAACAAGATTTATATGAATAATACATCTCGAATCAACATCATACAATATCTTTATTTTGCGATAATAGAATCTATTATATAAAATCAGTCATACTCTTTTTCAGGTGCTAACAATGTTAGAAATAACTTGCAATGCTGAACAAGACTTTTGTACTCAATTCTTCTATTTGGAGTTTGATGTTAAGGTATTTTTATTTTAACAACGATTATTACCCTTCCATCAAAATAATGGATTATATTTTTAATTTTTAACTTATTTTTGTACATATACAACACATATGTTTTAGTATGATTAAATATGTTTTGCTGAAAAATTAGATTTTTGTGTTCCTATTAGATACATAGATCATTCAGTAGAAAGATTCATTCTTAAATGAGAGATAATGCTTTTTATTACAGAAATTATAGGTTCATATTTTTTTTTTTTCATAAATATGTACTATTCTGTTCAACACTTTTATTCAGGACCTGTATTGAACAATAGTGAACTAATTTTATTGTAACTATACAATGTACATACTTTTTATGTTCAGGACTTGTACATTCATTATACTTTATTCAACTTGGGATTGAACTAATTTGATTTATTTTCCTATTAACCAAAATGTTACAGAGTGACAACAGTGACGGCGAACGAAGTGAAAAAGTGAAGTGATGGTGGTGAGAGAAATGAACAGAAGAAAAGTACGAGCGAGACGAGAAAATTGTTAGGAGAACTATTTCCAGCACTGGAGACGGAGTTGGTGTCACTGGTTGGAAGTATAGAGAAACACGAGCCGTAGTAAGTCGAAATATCTAATGTTAGATGATTTTAATAGAGTTGTACAATTTACATACAATTTATTGCCCCTCGTAATCAGTAAAAGGTTTATTATTCTAGATTTTTTGGCCTTCAAAAAGTATGTTAGGCGAACTTATCATCATTGCTTTCCTATAAATATATGTACAATATTTTCCTTTCTAAATAGTGGTGCTATGCGTGCTTTGGCCTGCGTGGGTCGACGTGTGCTCGGTGAAGGAGGGGAGGGTAGTGAGGTGTGTGCGGGGGAGGCGAGGTGGTCGCGGGCGGCGCTCGCCGCGGTCGCTGTAGCAGCCAAGAGGGGGGCGGACAGGGCCGTCGCTGATAGACTCGCCGCGTTGAATGACGCTGTCAAACAGGTTGGTAATGACTTGTTGTGAATTAATGAATGGGTGGTGAGTGAATGGTGTATACATATATTATTTATTATTTTTCTTCTCTGTGGTCTTTTTGTACAATCATCATAACTTTTTTTTGTACAAAATAGATATTTACGTTATGGTAATATCATACTCTGGTAGGTGTGGTCCAATTTTGTGTTTTTTATACATTAAGTAATATTTATTATTAATGTATGTATGTATATATGTATATTTTGTTATCTTAATAATAATTAATATATATTTATGTTATTCCATTTTATTTACTTGTTTTTGTATCTTTTTATTTCTATATTTAGGATTAAATACTTTTGAGCTATTTGTAACATCTTTATAAAGAACACGCCATCTACCATAGGTGAAACTTGTTATAGTTAATCGTAAATAAGGCATCCACGACACAAGCTCGCTTAGTGTGGACGCCCCTGGAAATCGCGAAATGTTATCACTTCAGCAAAATATTGTTGTTTGTAATTATGTTCCCTGTTAACATTGAGTTATTGCTGGTAATAAAGTATTTTTCATTTTCATTTTTTCATTTATGTTGCCATCATTTCTAAGGCTTTTTTGTATTAAAAATAAAATATTTAAATGTGATGTATGAGTTATAAATCTCTCAACTTTCATTTTCAGGCGGCAAAGAAACCGAAATGTGGCATCCTCAGCTTCATACCGGAGCTGGAAGAGATGAGTTCAGTGTGCGAGTCGATATTCGCTCGCGGCCGGCGGGCTGATTTGGACCGCTGGTATCTTTCCTTGGCCACTGCGATGTTACGTACAATCCAACTGGCCAAACACCCTCGAACACCGAGAGCTGTAGTACAAATGGAGAACTACCATCGGCTTTACGCTTGCGTTTCTTCGTTGCGAGTGACGGCCTTGGATAGATTACGTCGGGACGCACGCATGCGATACTCCGAAGCACTGAAGCAGTATGACACACAGTACTTCGGAAGGCCATTAGAGAAGTTGGCTCAGTTCTTCGAACGAGTTGGCGAAGCGGTGGCGAGCGGTGTGAAGGAGGACGAGGTTTGTTACAGAACCGCCTTCAGCAAACACGAGCTCAGACGGCTCTTGGCGCTTTATCCAGATCATGAAGGTTAGTTGTTTATTTATATAGCGTAGCTTATGGTACTTTTTTAATATAGACTATATAGATATAATTTTTTCGAGATGTTATTGTTATGGTTTCGAGGACTAAATGACATATTCTATAGAGATCTAATATTTTCCCGAGTACACATTTATATAATTTAACCCCACGTTTAAAATTTTTGTTAAAAAAAACTAACTAAATAAAAAAAAACATGAATTATATCCCCAAAATGTAGTTTTTTTTAATTGCCACAGCTGTTTGTCTAACAACATTGTCAATATCATTATTGAATATAAGGAAAATATTTAACGAATATCTTAACCATAATTTCTGTATATTTCCTTAGTACGCAAGACCCTACATCGCTTGTATCGTACAGTAGAGAAGCATCTCAGCGAGAAGGGTGGATTACTGCAAGTAGTTTGGAGAGCTATGCAGGAAGAGTTTATAGCTCAACACGTGGCTTTACAGGTGGACTTTTGTTTTGAATTACTTAAACTTATAAATTGAACAACTTAAACTTATATCTTGACTACTTATATAATCTATCTATCAATTTAATTTTTGTTGAAAATATGTTCTTGTATCAGGACACCATGATATGGAAGGTAAATTATGCAGAGCTGTATTTTAGATAGTTGCACTTATTTTATATACCTCTACCCAAATTGTCTGGTCCTACCTAAAGTAGATATTAAACGATTTAACAAATGGGTTTGCTTGCTCTGGTATTTGTAATATTTACAGAGTGGAAAACAAGTCCATGATCATTTTGATCATCATACCAATGAAGTAGCTGATATAATTTTGATTTCAACATAACTTTCTTATATAATTTCTACCATATTTGAATAATATCAATTAATATTTTGTATATTAATTCTAAAAATTAATTTAATACTATTATAAGATATAATTGACGCCCAAAAAGAATTCATAAGTTGTTCTTCATAATGTTAATACAAAGCTAATATTCTTATAAGGTAAGCTAATATTCTTATTATATTTAATTTCAGGCTCGCATCGCTTCTTGTTACCCGGGTGCAGGACTCACTCTGCCTCTCAGTACACAAGACATACTCGATGCATTCTCTGACATCGCTAGGGAACACTAAATCACATAACTGTAATTTCTTGATTTGCTTATCAAAAAGTTTTTAATCTAAATAGAACAATGTTCTATGTTTATAATTTATTTCTCATATTGTTTTTCTCTACTTGAATGTTTCCATCAATAAATATGTTACGGTTCTAAGGAACACATTTATTATAGTTTAAGAGTGTTTTTAATATCCTAGTAAATGCTGGAAAATTTTGTATAGAAAATTGTAAAAAATTAATAGAAGATTATTTAAGAGAGGCAAAAGTATTAATTATTTTATTTATATAGTGGCCCAAATGTGTACTGAATTATAGAAATAAAAAATTATAATAACTCTTTTTTTCCATGTTAGATGTATGTATATGTAGGACTACTTCAAAGCTGTTGTTTATCTCCAATAATATTTAAAAATCTGGTTACCGAGCTTTGCTCGGTATGTAGCAATTATAGTATTTATTTGGTGTTTTTTTTATTTCGTTTAGGCATTTTTAAGTGAACACGTTAAGAAGATAAACCAATATGAATCAACAATTAATTTCTTAGTCTAACCTCACAACAAACACTTCCTGGTACTTAAAAACGACATCTGCTGTTGTGTCGTTAAAGCAATTAGCAAAAAATAGTACTCGCCAACAGATGTCAGGAAGAGTCATGTTTTAAACGACTCCTTTTTGTAATTTTTTTAAAAATAAAATATCATTTTCTAAAAATGATTCCTAGCTACAATAGATCAATTTATCGCCCCCGAAACCTCCTATATACTAAATTTCATGAAAATCGTTGGAGCCGAATCCGATTATTTATTAATGTTACATGTACAATAATTGCTCATTTAAAGATATAAGATATTGTTATTAATATCTTTAGTAGATAAACTATAAGTAACCGGAAAAAATGTGGATATCAGTTCAAGTTGTAGAATGAATGCACAGAATCCTTTTAAGCCTTCGCTGACAATCTCGCAATGCTGACACGTAACCAAAAAAACTGTCAAGTAATTGAATGAAGTGGATAAATTCTGTTAGTGGACGGATGAATTGAGCACCAGATGATGGAAGAAAACCAAATTAATGTTACTGTATGTCTTGGTAAGCGGAATACAAGATATACCTCATAAGGATCGGAATGATCGTTATTTGGTCAAGTCTTTTTCTCCGGGTACGGAAAATGCTCCATTTAAATTTCTCAGTTGCATGATTGATAATATAGGTCATACTCCATCTTTAGAAGGAATAGTAAATAGCTTTTTCAATGATCTAAACAAAGTAAATAACCAAGCCATCAGTAATGTCAAAAAGACTTGGAATTAAGATGATCACCTAACATCAATTTTCAATCGGCCTTTTCTCGTTTACGATTTAAACCATTTTGTCAACGCTAAATGTAGAGGTCATAAAGGTGTTGAAGTTGGCTCGCGCTATCATATATAGAGTTTGTTTAGGAATCACAATTGTTTTGTGATGAATCTAAAGACTAAAAAGGTCATCGGAGCTTTTAAGACTTTTCAAGTCAACACATATTCACTCCTAAAAGACAAAAGTTGCAAAGAGCTAGAGTCAAAACTTTAATTCGATAAACAGTTTATGATAGGGGCACAAAGTGACAGAGTAGGGTTAGGATATCGTAAGAAGGTCGAAAATATAGATATATTAAAGTCTTTTGTTCGGCAAGACAAGAATGATAAATAAGTGGCTGTAAGCATGCCATTATTTTCTTAGTCTGGCTTCATAGACTCAGCAAGAATCCACCATCTACCTACCAGTGTAGTGTTATAGACAAAAGTCCAAGTTATCTTCATTAGGCAAACGCTTAAAATTCATGAAACTTAAACAGATATGTTCATTACCGATGACTAGTAATGCTTCAAAGAATCGACGAAGTGTCAGTATCCTCTAAAAATTTTGAAGATTACAGTAACATATACTTATAGTATGTAAACATATGAAATATTACAAAGAACTTAAACATTTGAAAATTGAAATATTTAATAAGTAGCATGGAAAATAAACCTAATAATATTGTAGAATTTACTTCGTTTTGTAAACTTAAGATACATAATTAGATACATAGTTATTGTGAGGAATCAGTACTTGCAATAGGGGGCAAAATTGGTTGTCCATTAAAGTATGAACTATTTGTAAGATATTCTCGTTTTACTGGTTCAAAAGCTCACGAAACATTGTATGGTATGTACTGAATCTAGACTAGGGACAATTAATTTAAGACGGGAAGGCTATGAAAATAGGTCTTCTTTTCAAAAAAAAAAATTGACCAAATAAGAAAAATTCAACTATATTTAAAATAAGCTGAGGTAACTCTATTGTAGGTGCTTCACCTGATATAGGAACTGAAGATTATGTTATAGAAGTAAAATCCCCTTTATTTGAGAAAGTAGTGAATCCACATATGTATTATTATATAAAGAAAACAGTTTCGTTAAAAAACAAAGCACAGACCCAACTGCAAATGTATTTTTAAAGAAGAGCTAAAGCACGGTTTTTAGCGATTTTAAGTGACTTTGAATGTTCTAAAAATAGCATTATTATTGAAAACCAATATTTATATGTTCATCCATTACAACACGATGATTATATTAATCTTATAGTTACAAAAATTCGGAATTCTGTGAAATCTTCAGTTATTATTTAGATTGAAAAGTGACATCACAAAATAAGGACCCCAAAAAAAGTGTTATTTATTTCGAACTTATTTAAAATAATTATGCAAGTGTTATATTTTTTTCACTTAGGTATATAATTACTCATAGAATGTGTTTAAAAAAATCATGCATATTCCCAATAATTCAAGTATATTGCAAATGTTTATAAAAAAGTATTTTAATAATTAATATTAGTATCATAAATGTTTTTTGACAAATGTTGCTTGCTCATACAAAAACTCGTGAGTGGATTTTTATATCAGAATCCCAAAACTCCATATATTTCCCACAGCATCACAGTATAAGTTGTCTGCCCTCACATTATATAATATGATTAACTAATTATTATTAGTATTTTAACCCAATTGTGAAGTCTATGCAGAAGTGGTTGTCAGCCAAAAAAGTATTTAAAAGGTCCTTATTTAATAAAAAGATAAGTTATATAACGATTTACATTAATTATATGATTATTATTATTTATTCCTTTTTTTGTTTACTATGGAAAAGGTAAAGTATATAAATAAAATAATGTTGATGGGTAATTGATACTCTATTTAAAGTTAACTAGTTTTTTTTAAATACATGTTCACAAATCACTTAGGCTTAATCTAAGGACTTGGGGGGAGAGTAGTTCAGGTACACCAAGCCAGAGGCTTTAGCCTGAAATGAAAATATAAAAGTATTCAGAAATATGCATATAAATCATGTATTTAGTAATAACATAAAGTAAATCTAACAATAATAAATTTAACTGCGAATAGCATATCAATGGGCAAAGTGCAAATCCACATAACTACCATTGGATAATTCCATGTATTATCTACATTGGAAGCAGAATATCAGAAGAAAGTTTAAGCTGAAATATTTTCTACATTAAGGTAATTTTTTCACAATTAGTAGTTATTTTGTGTTTAAATTATTACTTAATTGTGAAAAAAATACCTCAAAACTCAGCTCAAACTTTCTTCTGATATTCTACTTCTAATGTGGATATGGGGAATTATCCAATGGTAGTAACATGGATTTGCACTATCCCAAACAATATTGGTAATAAGACAATCGAAATTTATTACTGAATATGCTTACCACAATCAGGGAGCCAACACCAAAAGCAATTCCAAAGAGCAGAATAGCATTATAGCGCCTCTGGTTGGCGTCATACTGAGCTTGCCAAGATCCCTGAGGGACAGGCAGCTCATCCATACTGGGAGGCTTGAAGTGACTCTCACCATGGTAACGACGGACTGTGAAACGGAAAATGTTATTGTTTAAAATTCATTTTTATGCATTAAAATTTAAATAACTATTTACATTGAAACAAAAGTCTTAAGACCCAATATTATTTTTATTTAATTTCAAAGAAAACGTACACATAACATAAAATAAGACCAATTTGTCATCTATAAACTATAGAAACGGAAAATAAAACAATCACAAATTTTAGGTTATTTAATTGTTATGTAATGATAAAATAGGACAAAACTACATAAAAATTCATTAAGATTTATAATATTGTGTATGTAAATTAAAGAAGCCTCAAATGAGAGAAAAATAACTATTAAATGAGGAAATGACAAATATAACTAAGAAATGTTGTTAGACCAAATACTAGTAAATCTTGTTTTGTAATATTTACCAGTTTGTTGCAGTAAGCGGGAGATAATGGGTCTTGAGGCGAGCATTTTCAAAATTTAGTGGTCAAGCTGTACAACAAATCGTATCTTTTAAAGTTTAAACGTAAAGGCTAGAATTTGGGTGAAAATTTATGACAAAATACTAGTTCGATATCTTAGTTGTTGTGTTGCAAGGTGAAAAATATAAGAGAGAGATACTTTTTGTATTTTTTATTGTGTATCCTTTATGTTATTTCTTTCTCATACTATAATATTAATCAAAAATTACAGACTTAGATAGATTTATCCTTTTTCCTACATTATCTGGCCTATCTACAAAAAAAAATTTAGAAGTGGCAGCCCTGGATAATTATTTTATATAATGGGCTCAAAAAGACTCGTAACTGTAAAAACATTTACAAGCCCCAGAGCCGTAAAAACATTTACCAAAAAAAAAATATCTTTATGTACATCAAGGAAAAAAAACGCGGTAATTGAAACGTTGACGCGGGCTTTTTGAAAATTTTAATTATTTTAAATAGTTTTATACTATAATTTTCAAATTTTTGTTTAGTTTATTGTAAAGAAGTAAAACTTAGTCTGTATGTAAGTGTTTATGTAGAGAGATGGTGAAAAAACGTAAAAAGGAGGATTCGGATGAGTCCTTGCCTTTCAGCACAAGCAGCGATTCCGATTGCGAGGATTCGCCAGTATTGCAGGATGCAAATGCCTTCGCTCCCTTTAGGGTCGCTGATTATTGTCGGCGATACCCTGAAGATGCGGAAGCCAAGTCTGAATTCATAGTATTTGTCGAAAGTACTAATAATGTCCCACTCAGTAATAGGGACATGATGTCGCTTAGTAGGTACTAGTTATACGATCTGTGAAAGGTATACAATATTAAAAAAATAAAATAAATATAAGGTTGGTGTTGTTTTCCAACTTGCGAATTTGGCAAATGCCTTTTTAGAAAATACTACATATCTTAAGGAACAACGATTTAAAGCTTCAATACCAGCAGGGGCCACCGAACTATCGGGAGTTATCTCTTCGGTTCCCACTCATCTATCCAATCATAAAATATATAAAGCAACTAGAAGACCCGGCGGACTTCGTATTGCCCTATAATCAAGAAATATCTGTTACGTTTTTTTATTTATATTTTTGGAGTTAACTATTAACCCTTATTCAAATATTGGGAAATTATTTCCCACTTGACAGTACCGTAATATTTCTTTATTATTTCTTTACTGGTAACTCTAATCAGTACCAATCCAGGAACAAAATAATTTTACACACTTTTTAAATATTTTACTTGGCAACATTTTGGACAAAATTGCGTAATGTCATCGTATGTCAATGTCAAAGTCACAATTTGAATTTTTTGGTGCACAAAACCGGTTCTCGCGGGACTTTCGAAAATTTTTGTAGAAAAAAAATCTGGTAAGTACATAAACAATATATTGATGTAAACTAGACTTATTTTCTGAATGCTTTTTACGGTTTCTGTGCTTTTTGCACTGATATTTCTTGGATTTTATTAGGTTTAATTAGGTGGGAAATAATTTCCCAATGTTCGTTCCTGCTTTGATAAACATCAGTGTCTTTATATATATAAAATTGTTTGTCAGCTGTTAGAATAACGGTATAGGAACTTGTAATACGATAGTATTTGAAAAGTTCTTAATAAAATATTATTTGTAACATTCTAGTTTCATTTTATTTTTATAATTTTATTCAATCACTCAATCATGTTATATTGATTTTTTTATATAAAAAAATAAACAAGTAAAGTAGGAGTAAGTAATATGTATAGAATTTGTAGTAAAAATGTCCCAAAAAAATGTAACCATTCCGGATGATGGGAAATAATTTCCCACTAACTTATATTTTGCTTTTCCATACTGGATAATGGGAAATAATTTCCCACCGTAAAACCCCCATTTCCCCTCTTTTTATAAAAAAAATGATGTTTTTTTCGAAATCTACAAAGCCCTATTACCTAGTAACCATGTTTAATTCATAATTTTATTTAAAAAAAAATCCATTTCATTAAGGGTTAAAACCATAAATCTCCGTGTTTTGAAGTGCGACAGAATGATTGACATATTAGTTAAATGTCAAATCTAATGTCAAAAAAAAAAAACGTTTGTATCAACAACTACTACTAAATTAAAATTTTATTTGAAAAAAGATTGTCTCCTTGAACACACAAAAAGAATTCATCAAAATCGGTCCATTCGTTTGATAGAAGTTCGGTGACATACACACTCACAGAAGAATTATATATATAAAGATATCAACAACAAAAAAAGTCAATTCTGTCCGACGCATAATGCGTAAAGTAAAAGGAGAAAATAACACCTTCACACTGCAACCTACTCAGAGCGTAGTAATAACTTTTGCGTCTGCTACGTCACTGCCGGACTATGTTCACATTAAGATGTGGCGCCTGCCTGTCTCCACATATGTACCACCTATAAAACAGTGTTTTAATGTTTACGCTATGAACATCTGGCTAAGTTTTGTAAAATTCGCCGCGATGCTCCATATGCACAGAGGAGCATTCTTTCAAAGAATGCAAGGTTAACATTGAAAAAGCTAAGTGCATTAATGGTAATGGCAATCACATTGCCATCTCTAGCCAGTGCCCTGTAAAGCATAAGAAAATCGCAAACAGTAAACCCAAGTCATATGTTGACACGTTAAAAGATTGATTAAATTTTCCCTCCCTTAATAAAAAATTAAATACCCAAGAAGTAATCCAAGCAGTACTATCAAATTCTGAAGCAATGACTCTATAAACAGAATCTATAGTAAAAGTTATAACTTTAAATAAAACTCAAAATATAAGTATTAGTTCACAATTTATTAACTCAGCTATTAAAGAAACCATCCAGGACAAAAATAGCAAATCGTCACATCCAACCACCAAATCTTAAATATTGTACAAAGCAATATTAATTAAAAATTATATACATTTCTCTAAACTAGATACTTTTTATGATGATTTGTTACAAAATGTAGTAATTATTATTAAACTGAAACATAAATGCATTTCTTTGGTTAGTTTTTACAGTCCTGGTAATAGTTTTCCTGCTTTTGAAAAGGCGAAGTTCGATCATTTATTGTTCAGTATTCCAAAACCACTGATAATTGCAGGCGATTTTAACGCCCATCATACTGTTTGAGGTTGTAGTCGCATAGATTCTCAGGGCAGAGCTATTATGGATTCTATGGATGACCATGACTTAATACTTTTAAATAATGGTCAACCAACAACTATAGGCTCTCATATTTGGAAACCAAACTGTTTAGATTTAACTATGGTTTCTTCTTCTTTATTTCTTTCTTGTGACTGGCAAATTCATCAGGACCCTTTAGGCAGTTATCATCTGCCAACTATCACAAAGTTTACTCTCGTAAGATGATCTCTTACGCCCTCTATTTCCTTTAACAACATTCCTTTTCACAGCAATCTGAAATTAGTAAATTTGGAAAGTTATGAACAAATTGTTAATAAAATGTTAATGAACTTTAAAGTTGACAATAGTGATCTCCTTGACTCATACAGAAAGTTTTGTGCAATTATTCTATTGGCAATCAAATTTTCCGGGCCCAGCTTAAACCATAACACAACTGATAGTAATAATAACTGTCCTAGAAAAAGGTGTCAAGTGCCTTGGTGGAATGATAAATGTTAAAAAGTAGTAGAAGACTGCAAGAAAGCCTACATTAATTTCAAAACTAGTCTTAATAGTAAAAATTACATTAATTTCAAACGCTCACAAGCCTTTAAAAAACGCACTTTAAAAGAAGAATGTTGTAAAAGTTGGTCTGAATTTTGCTCATCAATAAATCGTTTGACATCTACAAATCGCATTTGGACTAAAATAAGAAAATTCAAAAAAAGCTTTCCGAGTTCTAACTTATTTTCTGACCTCAATTGGGTTCAAACATTTTTATATAAATACACACCGGATACTGTTTCACAAAAGATAAGTATAGAAAATGTTCTTGGAGTAAATAGTGATAATTCATACATGATCGGTTGTTTTACTATGCAAGAGTTAAATTCATGTGGTCTGGATTGGCTTTCCTACAGAATGTTTAAAATTTGAAATGTTCAAACTCTAACTATTTTTTTAAATTTTATTAAATAGTTTATGGTCGTCTTCTATTATCCCAGAGGATTGGAAAACTGACTGTTTGGTACCAATATTAAAACCTGGCAAAGACTTTAATTTGGCTCATTCTTATCGTCCTATTACACTAGGTTCATGTGTTGGAAAAAATTTCGAACAATTAATAAAACAGAGATTAATTTTTCACATAGAAAGTAATAATCTTTTACCTAACAATCAGTTTGGCTTTCGTTGTGGCCGTTCTGCTTGTGAGAGTCTACGTCATTTCTGTCTGGATATCTACGATGCTCATTCAGTTCTGAGAATAAAGTACTAGTTGGTGTTTTTCTTGACATTGTAGGGGCTTTCAATAATGTAGATCTGAACAAATTATCCTCAATATTATTATTACTACAGGTACCTGGAAAAGTTGTAAATTGGATTTTTAATTTTTTTGAACTACAGAAAGGTGTTTGTTAAGGTTAACAATCAGTTATTTGGTCCAAGATATTCTTGTAGGGGTGTATCACAGGATGGTGTATTGAGCCCATTGCTTTTTATCCTATTCATTCATCAGCTAAATTTAACTCTGGGGTGTGAAGATTCTCATCTGCAGTTTGCAGATGATTTAGTTGTTTATTGCTCTGATACAATTTTTTTACATGTACAATCAGTCCTTAATGTTGCTCTCCAAAAACTAAAGAACTATTTTGATAGCCTTGGGCTGGAGGTCAGCAATGAAAAAAGTAAAGTTGTTGTCTTTTCAAAAAATGGAATTAGAAATAGGAATGTAAATATTTTGTTCAATAATAATGTAATGTCTGTAGAGAGCTCTGTAAAGTCTTTAGGTGTTATTTTTACAAACAATTGTAGATGGAATAAGTATGCTGAAACTCTAGAATCTTGAGCTTTAAATACTTGTATTGTTTTAAAATCTTTAACAAGCACATATTGGGGTGCTGATCCAAGGATTCTATTAACATTGTATAAATCATTAGTAAGGAGTGATTTTGAATATGCTTTTTTTTGTTTTGCATGGGTAAGAACTATAGTAGATAAATAAGAAAAGATACAAAATAAATGTTTGTGTATTATAATGGGTGCCATGCGAACTACTCCCATAGTGTCAATGCAGGTGGAATGTAATACACCTCCATTAGCACTTAGGTTTAAATACTTACAATCAAAATTTTTGGCAAGGTTGCTCTCCATTAGTAACCATCCACTTCTTGTTAAACTGCGGAACACTATTAACAGGACTGCCAATATTAATTCATATGTGTTTCAAGGTTTTTCTGAAACAGAACAAATTTTTAATAAACACAATATTTTTTCTAGCATGGTATGGCCTTGTTACTCTGGGTTATATGAATCAAAACTTATGCAGATTAAAATGTAGTCATAAATCTTCTAAAGTATAAGGAAGACATTTATAGGGAACTTGTTAGGTGGCAGGGATATCATCAGATATATACAGATGGATCTAGGAAAAATGAAGCAGTCTCTATAGCTGTCTATGATAGCCAGATCAAAAGTGGATTTGGTCATAGGCTGAATCCACTCACAAGCATATACTCCGCTGAATCCATAGCTGTGTATAAAGTTATGGAGCATATTCAAACAGACTCATCCAAAGCGGATTATAATAATGGATAGTTTATGTTTATTAACCGCACTACAAAATCCACAATTTAAGTCAAAAACTAACTATATTATGTATAAAATAAGAGAGTTGTATCACCTGCTGTCTCAAAACAAGCAAATAGTCCTATTCTGGACACCAGCCTACATTGGTGTGCATGGTAATGAGAAAGCAGACTATTTATCTAAATTTATTACAAATCCAGCCCACAATCAATTAAGTCACAGCTTTTTAAATTTCCCAATTCCTTATTCACACGCTCTATCCCTCTTCAAACTCAAGTTACAAAAAGAATTATACAACTTATGGCATCAGGTGGTAAAGGTAAAAGGAAAATGGTTAGCTACAATAAAGAAAAAGGTCTCTTCCCCCTGGTTTACCCGGGGTTATGACTATAGCCATAGAAAGTATTATACCACAATCTGTCATTAGCGTCTGGGACATTGTAGTTTTGGTGCTCACCTTTTTAGGATTGGTGTTTTTCACTCTTCAATTTGTGGATATTGCAATAGTGCTGATGAAACCCTCGACATATATTTTTTGATTGTCCACAGTTTAGTATATAAAGGATGGTCCTTGTACATCAACTTTTAAGTATTTTTAAAACTGCTGAAGATATCCCGCGCTCCCTTGAGCAAATACTAAGAATTCAAGAATGCTTCTTGCTAGTTTATGGCTTTATAGTTTCTACTATAAATGAAATCTAATTGTTATATGTACATACTAGAAGACCCGGCGAACTTCGAATCGCCCTATAATCAAGAAATATCTGTTACGTTTTTTTATTTATATTTTTTGGATTTAACTTTTAAAGCCATAAATCTCCGCGTTTTGATGTGCGACAGAATGATTGACATATAAGTTAGTTGTCAAATCTAATGTCAAAAAAAGTTTGTATCAACAACTACTAATAAATTAAAAATTATTTAAAAAAACATTGTCCAGCGGACAAAATTGTGAATCTAAACCATTCCCAGATCCCCTTGAACACACACAAAAAATTTCATCAAAATCGTTTCAGTCTTTTGAGATAAGTTCAGTGACATACACACTCACAGAAGAATTATATATACAAAGATGTATATAATAATAATTTTTTCGTTTTGTTTAAGATATTTGCTTTTCAGCTATTTCAGCTATTTTCAGAATTTGACCGTTTTATCGATTGTGACAAATGAATTGTACTAAAAATTACATTACAAGGACTTGACATTGAAAAAAGACGGAATGTAAAAAAAAACAAGAATTTGACAAAAATTTTTTTTAAAAAAGACATGGCTTCGGCTTTATAATTAAAAAATGATTTAAGAAGTAAAATTAAAAGAAGACATGGCTGCGGCCTTAAAATTAAAAAAAATGATTTAAGAAGAAAATTTAAAGAAGACATGGCTTAGGCCTGATATAAAAACTTGAGTCAAGAATAAAAAAAAAGATTAATACATTTAAAAATAATTAAAGATACAAAATACAAAAGATATGGCTGTACGGGCTTTGTTCTCTTTGCCTGTTATGAACGGAACGAACTTAACCAAAAAAAAATCATAATGTCAATCTTGTTAATGTCAAATGTCAATTATAAAATACGATTATTTTCAATTTCAAAAATTTGTTTAATAAATTAGGCACTTTATTTTATAAATCATAGTTCATACATACTTTATGAATTAGAATTTGAGGTATAGATTAATAAAAGCTTATTGTTTATCCAGATTCCAGACACAGTAGAAATTTTTAAGACATATTGAAAAAGAGCAAGTGTGGCTTTGTACCAACTGGGAACTTGTAAATCGAGTGATTTCACAATTAAATACCCTATTTTTAAGTCATAAGAACTATAGCTGCAACAGATACGGTTCTTTTGTAACTTTCTTATTGTTAGTTACCGTTGTGTTTTCAATAAAATTTCCTTCGCTCTTAGATTAATATATGATAGGTATTTTACGCATACAAACATTATTCTATTCTTACACAATTCCACATAAATGGTTATAAAATATACTATTATATTATAGGACAGTAAAAATGTAGCAATACCATGTTTTATACACATCCATGCTAAATATTAGAATAAATGGCGCCTTCCACAATAAAATAGCAAATATGTGTAATGACATATTGGAAATTATACAATCAAAGTCAAATATTTATAAATTATCATAAAACCCATTTATTTTTCTTTGTTTTATATTCTTGAAAAGCAAGGGATATATTTGTATATCTATTTACTTTTTTTTGCCCTGGGTCTGTTGACCCTTAGCTAATGTTGTCCTTATTGTTACCATACCACTGGCAACCAGTGTCGTCACAATGAAGTATCGTAGAGAGGGAAATGATGCCAACGAAACTTGAAAGAATTCTTTAATACTAGTTTTAAAGCAGAGCGCGCTCAGAGCGCATGATTGTACCCGACGTAATCTCGTTTTCTTTGTTTACAATTCAAACGACGAATTGTTGTGTACAATGTGTATCGACGCGCATTTAATAAGTGTTTGTAAATACAGCTGACAGTGTTTTTAATCATATAGACAGTAAAATGGAATGGTTAAAAGATAAAATGGGTTTGGTGGGTCGAAATAGTACAGAGGGCGATGCGCTGGAGTCAGCCCAGGAACGTCGAGAGCGATGGAGGAGTGTTTATATCATATATTTCACTATGTTCCAAATGTCACTTGGTTTCAGTATCGTGCTTACTGGCGTGTGGCCTTACCTTGATAAGGTACATGAGTCTCGGATTATAAGATTACATTATGTATATTTAGTATAAAGAAATATTTTATAAAGTATTAATATTCCGTTTAGAATTTAAATAGTCTTTGTACTCCTTTATCGTTAAACTATGTTTAAAAAAAATTTCGACCATATACGTAGGTACATATAATAAAGTAAATTCAAAGGCTTCTAAAACATCTCATAATCATAATGGAGCACCTAGTTACAAGCACATATATTATTTAAAAGTCATTAATATTATTATTTTAATATATATGTACCGACATTAATATCTTTGAGTTTAACGGTATTCGGTATTGATATAAAATTTTGTTATCATATTGAAGTTCTTATCAAAATGACTAATTAAGTTTTTGTTTGTTTAAAAATGTGATTTATGATTATGAATACATTTTTGCAACATTTATTTAACTAGCAGCTATTAAATATAAATGTTATTATGATATTTATCTATTAACACTTGATATTACTAAGCAACCAGACAACATGATAAAATATTACTATTATTATGTTTACAAAGGCAAGGTAAACAGCACATTTGAAATACCTTTTACGTTGATTACTTGAAGGAAAAACAGGTAATGTTACGTAAGAAATACTACATGAATATTTAGAAAAATATTGAATTGATTTTATATTGGTAAGGATAAAACTAAAACTGTCGCGAGAATTAAAAAAAAAGATAAAGCTTATTGCAAAATTTTATACTGCCATTCCATACATCGTTTTTATATGAAAAAAAAACAGACATTACATGGGAGAAATAACAAGTTCTAGCTAGTACCGAATGAAATACTTAATAAATTTGGTATCAAATCAGTAGGTATATCTCATAAAATAAAGGTTTATAATGTGAAGTCAAAAACAAGATTGTTTGTAAATATCTTTGTTATACATAAAGCAAATTTATTAGAATAATAATTACCTAACAGCTGTTTATATTATAGATGTAAACAAACTTTTATATTTTATTTACTTTAAGAAAAATCGGAGTTTCCATTTTGTTTTATATTTTCCTTGTTACGTTCATTTTTTTGTTTCGTTGTCTATAAGAGATTAATATAAATGCAAGATTAATTAAAAATAGCAGGGTTTTACTTCCGACAACATATAATTATAGAGGACAATGTATAAATAATCGAAAGATTACCAGGTAGTTTGGAAAAATAGAACAAATTAGGAAAGCTTGGGAGAGTACAAACACTGGCAATTACAATGCGTTGATTAATAACGGATTAAGTTATTTTTTTAAGGCACCTAATCTAATTACATATGTTATATTAATTATATCCGATTTAATCATTATTAACGCTTTAGCTCCCTTAATTAATTTTCCCTTTGTTATTTGTTTATACATATTTATACTATGGAAAATTTAATAAAGCTGGAGTTACTAGCAATTTCATAACATGAAGTTTCTTAATTACTTCAACATTACAAAACCTTCATTAAAGTTGATACCTAAGTATCGTTTATACATTCTTGTCATTACTAATTTGTATTCGTTTATTCGGTTTCGAATTCATTTTAATTGTAGTCATTATTTGGTTTTGAAACAAGTAGAATATATGAGGATATCGCTACGTTGAAACAATAAAATTAAATTAATGTTACAAAAAGAATACAAATATTTACAAAGTTGTTTAAATTAAACAATACTGTAACACATGTATAAGTGGTTACTGTAAATGTTATTGTACTTTTGTAAGATATGAGAATGTAAATAGAATTTCTATAAGAATATTAAGTGAATAACGAGCACGCTAGTTAGTTCATTATCGTCGTGATAACAAAGTAAAGATAGTTGTGGAACGCCTAGTTACAATCTATTGATAATAATTTATTGGAACGCTAATAAAGACACGTGTAAATGTGTTCGATGAATAATATGTATTAAATTGAAAGTTTCTATTCGATTTCTAGTATTGTATAGGAAGTTAAATTGATTATACTCCACTGGATTCTTATAATATATTTTTATTACACTACCTACCAAAATTAAAAGAAGTATTCTTTACAGTTTACTCTATGAAATATTTCTTATTTTTACGTTATATTATATGGAATATGGTACATTTAACTGTGTACTGGATATAATTTGTTTCACTGGATATGAATGTGTCCAGATTTAGGACTTTTACCCTTCCAGCTATATTTGATGATAAATATGGAAAACGGTGACGGCTGGTAATAAAAAATGAAAAGTAACAAACAAACAACGATCCGACAAATATTTTAGATACGACAATTTTGTATGAATTCAACTGAAAAAATGAATGAATTTCAACGATTGGTACCTACACGTATACTTAATAATATAGATCAAGATATTTAGATTGAAATTTATAGCTCTTGCGGAAACAGGACCTAACAATTGTATCTTTTGTCTACCTTACTAATACAATCATTCTGTTGACTGTTTCAAAGCCACAGGATAAAATCAATTTCATTTCAAAGAATATTTATGTCAAATAGTTGTTTTACTACCCATTATCAAGTTTATTTTCGACTAAATTTAGGTGTTCACCCGGATTAAGTCTCGTAAATACTAGTAAAAAATAATTTAACCGCAGAACGAATTTGCCTTCATACGCTACGCCATCGTAGTGTACAGACATGTCAATTAAGAAATTACAGTAAACGTGTCTATTACTGTTAATACGCGTTTTATTCTAACATCCTCAATTTACTTCTGTGATAGCTAAGGAAAATTCAAGATGAAATCGATAGCAAATTTGCTAGTGGGTAAATATAAACTTTTATTTCCTTTTTATTATTTATAATTTTTTAACTTAATGTAACTGGAGTAGATAAAATATCATTAAACCAAATAAATAGTACATCAAAATATAAGTAGGTATTTTCAAACAAGCTCTTTTATTGCTGTGATTTGTTAACACCTAACAATAACAAAAATGCTTACTGTGCCATTTTGTTAAAATCGTCCTAGACACTATTTCACATTATGTTATGATTCATTAATAAACAAATGTGTTGTATAACTACATATAATTTTAAGTACTATTCTTTGAATATACATTGTATAATGTCATACAATATTCTTTGTTAATTAATAAACAGAATAAAACCACAGACATTTATATTGATTGATATTTAAGTAAACTAGCAGCATAATGTCGTTTGATTACAATATAAAATTATAATATCGATTAAGAAGTCGGTGGACTTGTTAATTGTTAATATATTAAAAAAATGTTTTCAAGGACTTTCGAATTGGTAACAATAATAATCACCCTTTGATATCAATATGTAACGAATAAAGTATAACCAAAGATGTATGGATGCTATTCCCCAAGCGATGATCTCCACTTCCGTTGCGTGACTGACGGCCAAACAATTCATGTATATTTATATGTCTGTGGCTATTTGCCAGACTCGTGTTGCCTATTGTGATGAATGTAATAAAACGTTATTTCTCGTATCCTTCGTCAAAAAGTTGACAAATTGTTAATTTTCAATGTGAATGAAACGTAACATTTTTATTTTTTCCGTTTTTTAAATCATTTCAATAAAAAAACGACGTAAAGACAAATAATTGAACGCAAACAATTGCAAGATATTGAACGTAAATAATTTCATATAACAGCAATAAATTGGTCGAGAGATGTAATATGATGCAAAATCAATTGTAAATATGAAACTACAACCAATGTAACTAAAAATGGATACACATTTCATGCACGCATTATTTGATTCTTTCATGACATTATCCTTTCTCGTCATTACTATCTTAACATTGATTTTTATCACATCAACCTGATATGAGAATAGACAAGTATTTGGTCTTACTCGGTGCTTCAACTTTGAGTTGTTCCATAAAATTTGCTTAATGTTCTATCATTTTATAGATATAAATACATATGTATATTTACACTTTTAAATTTCTATAAAAATACCCTCGCCACAGCCGTTAATCGGTTGGCAGAGATTTAATTTAAAAATAGCTGTCATATACGACGTTTTCTTAATAATGTTCGAGTAATATTCTTATTCATTCAGATCTCTTTAATACAAACGAATTGATTTTAGGAAATAAATATTCTAGCCAGCAAAATATCGAACACACTGCATAATGGATACTATATTCAAAAAATAATAATTATTTAGTCACATTTCAGTAAACAACAAATATATAGTATATCTGTGAAAGAATACTTTTCTATTCATCATAATAATTAATGATTTGAATTTAAAGTTAATTAAAATCATACTGTCATAGTTTTTATGTAAAAAAAAACTATCTTATGATTTGTAATAAGATCTGTTACTGTCGGTTTTGTGAAAAAATCTTAGAGAATATAAATAACAAAGTTATAAATATTTCCAGTTGCAGCCAGGGTCCAGCAAAGAAGCATTAGGATTGGCAGTTGGAGCCAGTCCTCTTGGTCAACTCGCTGCCTCGCCTTTACTAGGTTTTTGGGCAAACCGAGCAGGCAGTGCCCGTGGCCCAATGTTAACAACCCTGGCATTGTTCGTCATGGCCTCAACTTTATACGCACATTTACACTTGACACGTCCATATGCTCATCATTGGATGCTGGCAGCGAGAGCTCTCGTTGGAGTTAGTTCAGGTAGGATGGATTAACATGTATCATTTGAGAACGAAACTAAAAAAATATGTAATTACGTTTATTATTTCTTACGCAGTTATTCTGGTGTTTAAAAAAGTTTTTCGTATAATATATATTTTTTTATAAAAAGTAATGAGACTTGTTTAAATACATATTAAAATTATTAAGCTGTAAAATCAAAAATTCGAAATAAGTACCTATTTTATTGAGTTTGTATCCAATAGTTATACTTTAAATTCAATAATGTTGACCAGTGACGCAATATCAGTTCATACTTATTTGTTTTACTTTAAATTAATTCTGACCTCGATGTGGTAACTGTGACAGTGTTTAAATAATTTGTTTCAACCACGTCCGTATCTCTTTTGTGTAGTACAAATATTTAATTTTTTACAAACCAAACATTCAACTCGTTTTATTATCTTAAAAATAAGTCTCTAAAACTTTAAGCGAGACTATTTGACCTTGTTATTTAATAGACATAATTATTTTGTAACGAGTGGCTACATCATTACTGACATGCTACCTTACAAATTAACCAAAACAATAATTTGTAATATAATACTATAGCATTACCTAGCCCACTAGCTAGAAAACACATTAAAAGAAAAAAAACATTTTATCCTGCTGTAGTTTGCAAGACTTGTATTAATTTTTTTAGCGAATGTGGCCGTAGCAAGGTCATATTTGTCGGCTGCAACCCGTGAAAGCGAAAGAACGAGAGCTGTTGCTGGAGCATCATTGGCCCAAGTCCTTGGTTTTGTAGTTGGACCAGCTCTACAGGCTGCTGTTGCCCCTCTCGGGCCTGGAGATTCTTATCCTCCACTTGGGCAATACAATCATCCAATAAGGTTGGATATGTACACAGCTGCCGGTTGGATTAACGCAGTATTGGGACTCATCAATTTTATTCTATTTCTTCCTTTCTTTTTTAAAGAAAAGAAGATAGCCGCCAGAGAAGCTATGTTGGCTCATGGCAAAGAAACGGGTGATTAATTTTGATTTGAAATTTAAATTAAATATTTTTATTACGTCATATTTTTTAAAAATTATAATAATTTAAAAAATATATTTTTATTAATTTCAGAAAAAGAAGCAATGAAGGCTATTAAGCCGGACTATGTCAGTAGTTGGATGCTTGTTGGTGCCTTTTTTGTTTTGGTGTTTAACTTCGTTCTGCTCGAAACTCTGGCAACTTCCCTAACTATGGATCAGTTTGCATGGAATAAGAAGCAAGCATTAGAATACATGGGAGCACTCATGAGCGCCGGCGCAATCGTAGCTTGTGTAGTGTTCGCGCTCATTACCCCACTTACTAAGTTATTCGAGGAAAGGTACACACTAAGTTTACTTATAAACTAAAAACTAGCAGCCTAAAAAAATTCCAAGTCTATAAATTCTTTCATTATTTTCATTAATCGTAAGTAATTGTAAGTTCTGCTGCTACAGTTGTATGTCTTATTTTACAGAGCATTGTTACTCTGGGGAGGTTTTCTATTAACTGGCATGGCGTCAATACTATGCATTCCCTGGGGCCCGGGACCTCCACCATTAGCGGGTAATTCAGGTGTAACGGAGGAGGCAGGTGGTGGCTGCCCTCAACACAGCCAGCCCTGGTGCGAGAATTCACGCGGTTTAACTATAGTGCAATTCTTGTTGGGATACGCCTGTGTATCTATTGGTTATCCGCTAGGAGTTACACTTATACAAACTATATTTTCTAAGGTAGGCATTGTATATTATTTGGAGAATAATAGAATATATCAAAATAGAAGCTAGCTAAAGAAGACAATAGACGCCATTCAAATTTTAACAGTTTGCGGTAAACTTTCAATCTCTTTCGAGTCACACAATTCAATAATGCATTGATTGTTAAATAACGATGATGATTGATTGGAAATGATCGCAGCTCAAATCTATTTCACTATTGTTCTGTACTTATAATATTTTTGCTAGTACTTCTCGTATCGATGGTATATTACACTTTATTTTTCCAGGTTCTAGGTCCTCGACCTCAAGGCGTCTGGATGGGAATCCTCACAGGAGCGGGATGCGTCTCACGTGCACTTGGTCCAGTGTTCGTGTCAGCAGTTTACGCTCGACGTGGACCAGATGCAACCTTCGCTTCGACTGCAGCTTTAACCTTCGTAGCGTTGTTAGCTTTGAGGCTCGTATACTCCAGGCTAAAACCACCTCCCAGCCCAGAGGTCATACCACCGAGGGAGATGATGCCGTTAAAACAGAATGAAAACGTATCGTGATCTTGAAGAACATCATTATTTAATCATGATCAAAAATTTAGATTAAAAGTATACAAAAATAGAGGATCTTAAAAAATATCAAGCACAGCAATTACTTGAAAATAGTTAAAGAATATATTTTTAATGTAAATTTATAATATAAATTTTTATTGTCCTCGCGTTAATACTAGACACCTGCTAAAGTTTGCACGGGGCAGAACGGGCGAGGTAAATATAAATATGATAAGCTTGTTCATTCTACTGTTATATGATAAATGTTTTTGGAATGGTTAGTTTTTAATACACAAGATATAATATTCCGTGATATTTTCAGAAGAAAAAAATTGAAAAGAAAAATATGTTAGTAGTTATGCTTACACGGTTGTTATACAAAAGGCTGGTAGAAAAGCATGGTACTCATGTATGTGCTAATAAACACAAATTGTTAATTAAGTTACTTACTTAAGTTTTAGAGGCTACGGGAGTATTAGCTCCGTACTATTATTCGAATTGGCAGTGAAGGAAATTGTTTTCGTAAAATATACGTTTATTAGGAGGTGCAAATTCAAAATAAAAAAAATATGGCAAACAAAATTTTAACTAGGTGAGTGAAACATTTAACAATTTAACTCTGTCCAAAGCTCAACTCTTTTGTGACCTGAAATATAAAACTCAGGCCAAATACGTATAGCAACAACAAAATATTAAAGGACCGAGGTCGTTCTTTCTATCATTGTTCACCTTTGTAGCTCAAATAATATTTTTCCATAAAGGGATTATTAAACATTGCTTATAAAATTCTGAAATATATATTTAAAAAAAAACAACAAAATACTTTTTTACTAATTTGCGGAAAATCTATGTAATTTTTTTTAAAGAAACAAAGACATGATTGTCAATATTTTTGTATGTAGAAAGAATAATTAATCAATACTTTTAAGTACCTATATATTTTTGAGTAGGCCGAAAAATAAAAAAAATATTACATTACATTAATTAGGACATTAGTTTGTAACTTGGTTATCTCAACTTTTATTTGACATCATATATCACATATACCTTTTTAGTTACAAATACTTTCTTGACCCTATCGCAGAAGGTTAATAGTATGTATAAGCGCAAGGATAATAATTTACTGACAATCAAAGAAATACAAGTGTTTTTATAAAGTTATTACCAATTTATTTATGTAAAGTATAATAATAACATAATGTTGTGTAAGTGTAATCAATATAAATATATTTTTGTAGTGTTTTATTGATAACATTAGTTTTGGATTTGAGGTGTATTAAAACATAAGACTGAACGTTTTTAATGTTTACCGATAATAATGAATTTATTTGTATATATGCTCAAGAGGACTGTTTTTATTTTAAGGCATTATATTTACTAAATCCAGATAAATTCTATGAAAAGACGAGGTACCTTTTCTTATAACTTGTACTACAAAAGCCAAACGACCAAAAAGTGAGAAATAAGCTGTTTGTAAGCCTACATATAAATTAAAGCAACAATATTTATTTATATGGCGAGTGTAATTAGTTTGTGATGAGTAGTCAAGAAAAACAAGATTTGTATTCTAAAAAATAAGAATGTATTTTGAAGTAAATGTGTTTTAAATTTTTAAAAAATTACAAATTTATTAATTTGATTTAACTAATATTATAGTAAGAACACAAAAATATCGAATTAAAATGAAATATATAAAGATTTTAATTTAATGTATGTATTATAAAATGCGTGTGTTCACGGCCTAGTTTAATAAGTTTGTTTTATATTTTATGGACTTAAAAAAACGTTAATATTAAGAAGATTTTCAATAATATATTATCACAGTACAAAAGTGCATATTAATTAATCTAAACTTGAAATCATTGTTTTAATGTATTAAATTTCTCACATAATAAAGATATATTTTTTAAAACTGCCATTATTCATAACTTATATTTATTTTAGGTGTGAAATAAACTGCTTTTATTTAATTTGTTATTGCAGTGAAATCCAAAAGAAAAGTTATGTTTTAACATAAACGTATGCATGTCATGTGTTAACGATAGTGTCTAAAAGACTTTTCCCAAAAAAAAAAAACAAAAAAAATTATGTCTTGGTTGAACGAGAGTCTATAGGTACATTAAATCTGAATTAACAGTATTATAGATTTTAAGTTCAACAATATATTTTTTTAATTAAAATTGTCGAGAAAAGAAAAATAAGAATTTAAGTAAATACCAACAAGAGTAGTAACAATTCTTTCTTGTTCAAAGAATATATGTGGTGATAAACATTCGTTTATAAAACTAAACCGTTGTAACTCCTAAATAAACAATAAATTTAAAGATTTTACCGTGACGTTATCATAAGAACTAACGAAGATAATTTAAAATACAGAAACGAGATTAAATATGTATCACGAGCTTTTAAGTTTGTTATGTTGATATGTAAGTAACCTCAAACAGTTAAATGAATATACAGAAATGTGAACACCAGTAAGTATTGCTTATAACAGTCATTTTGCATAAAAAAATAGTCTCCCATGTTAAAAAATACAATAGTTAGGTGCACACAAAAAAATTGCCACATTATTGGCGTCCTACCGTGAATAAAAACTGTCAGGAGCAGTTTTGTTTAATTTTCACCTTTGATTTTAGTATGTATATGTACCTGTGTTTTCAATGGAATGATATTTCCATTACTATTATATAGTAGTAGAACCGTGTTTTTTATTCAAAGCAAATATTATAATCATAAATTAGCTATTTATCTTAAAATTTATTTTTCAAAGTAATCAACTGGTTCTCTCATTAAATCTTGTTTCTATATTTTTAGTTTGCAAACTCTCTATGCCAATTTTCAATTCTCATATTATTTATTTATTTTATTTTGAGATTGTTACGTAACATCTTATGTAATATGACATTTTTACATAAAGATTTCGTTGATATACATTTGTCAGTGAGATAATAGTTATCTTCATCGACGTTCCTAGTGTCTATCTTTATAAGAATGTAAATAAATCAGTTATTATCTTTGATGTCTATTCTTGATATTATCTTTTTTTATTGGCACATAAAACTCAGTCTTGAAAATAAGAAGCGTTTTGTAGTCGGCATATACAAAGTTCAAATTAGTCAAAGCTGCGAAGTAGTTGGTAAGCTATAACGGCTGGGATCGTTGAAGCTCCCTCGTATGCCCAACGACCTAGCAGGTGGATGCGCAAGCGCATGCATTTTCTCCGCATGCTCCACATGCTGCGGAAGTGCCGCACGACGTGTTTCAGGCGCGAATAACACTAATAGAGCTGCTGAGATTGAGCTGATGCCATATAGTAGTGCCTGAATAAATACACTCTGCAAATAAAACATTTACAGTTCAATGATAAATGACAAATCGGATAATTGGAGTTTGCAAAGATATTAAAATAATATAAGTTGTATAATATATTTTTACATGGTAATTTTATACTTTACCAAAAGTGGAGTCTGTGGGGCCAGAAGAGATCCTATACGCCCAATAAGCGACACAGCCGCCATTGCCGAAGATCGTACCTCAGTTGGAAATAACTCAGCCGTGAAAACGTACAGCGAATTGAAGGCAAATGTGATTGATAATTTCCCGACAAAGAATAAAGCTGTTTTAGTATTGGAATGTGCTGAAAATGAAATAAAAATTGTAAGAACCATCCAAGTTATTTATCTTTTTTGTGCCAAACATTGACTTTCAATCATTTTTATTTTCTTTTTTAAGGTACCAATTTGAAATTTACGACAGAAACTTGTACCAAGATGCAAACACTATTTTTCACTATTTTTGTATATTTTTTATTTGCAATTTACCATTTTTTTTATTTATGTTGATTGTTTATATTGAATAATATTTGCGAATCAAGAAATTTAACATTATTTAAGACTTTGCGTAGATACATATAATTATAAGCTAGTGTATAATACTAAATAAAAAAATTACTGTCGATGTACTTATAATACAAACAATTGAATGGATGTATATAGACTTACATATAAAGAAAGGCGTAACACAAGCGATTCCGCAAACCAAGAAGGCAACGAATATGCTCTGTTTACGACCGAAGCGTTCCAACGCCATCATGATTAACAAAGACGCCACGATCTCCATAAACATGCTAAGGGCGAAGTTCACATATTTGTCACCGGACATGGATACCGAATTAATTGTTAGTCCATAATAAACAAAGGTGACCGATATCCAACACCAGCAACAAATGCAAAACCGGAGCATAAGTATTTTAGATTTTAATAAATTCAACCATGGATTGTTTTTATTTTTTACTTCATCAGCTCCTGTTTCGCCTTTTATACTATTTATAAGATCTTCATCTAACACAACCTAAGGAAAAGTATCATGAGGAAAACTATTTAATTTTGGTAATTATTTTATTTTACAAAATCTAACTAACCTTATTCCATCTTGCAGCTTTTTTTATAACCCTGATACTTCGATCCTTCTTGTTGGTTGCATGCAGCCATCTAGGGCTCTCGTCTAGAATAAACCAATATAGGGGCAGAAATAAAGCTGGTGTGTGTATAGCTCTTAGTAGGTTTCGCCAATAAGGGACTTGACTAGCAATCAGTGCGAATAGCATGCCACCCAGTCCGTATCCTATACCGGTCACACAGGCAAATGCAACTCGTAATGAGGGACGAGCTAACTCAACAACTATAAAAACAATTTAATAATTTTAACAGTGACAATATAGGACAAAATGCTAGGTTCAAGCATATATTACTCGACTTACTCATGACATAGACGGCACTATTGAAACCGTAACCTAGAGCAGCTTCTAAAAACTCCATTGTAAGATAGGCCGCATAATTTGGCATGAAAGATTTTAGAATACCCATTACACCAGCACATGCAGCAAAAATACAAAAGGCTGTGCGACGTCCATATCTAAAAATGTGTTTCGTTTATCCTTTATGATATTTAAACAAGTAACTAATATTTTTATAAATCATCTAATAATATAACTTACCTATCGGAAATATATCCAGTGAGGACAAGAGCTAGAGGTAGAGCACTGTTTCGGATAGTGCCAACGAGGGTTCGCTGCCATTCTTTGCAAGCCATGGAAAACTAAACAAAAGATAAATGAAGTCTAAACTTTTGAGAAAATAAATATCCATGTATTTTTTAAGAAATTAATTACCTCAGCGTAAATAGAATTCATTTCTTCATATACAAAGTCATTACATTTTATCGTTCTGTTTAAATAATAGTCTTTTATGTCACAGCTAATTTGTTCGGCCTGTACCGGCTGGTAGCGGTGGCAGGTTTCGTTTGGAGTTGGTAATAGATCTTGTATTGTTTTGTTCGCAAAATAACCACTTTGTCCTTCACATTCTTTCACTAAACACCTAAAAAATTGTTTCCAGATTTTGAACATACAATCCAAGTTTTTGTGATCTTTTCAGGGATTTTAGGGAAAGTAAGAGTCCAATATAAACAAAAATCAGAAAGAATTAAAATAGACAATTTGAATAAGGAGCTAACTTTCGGTTGATAAGATTTTCTTAAACATTTTAATATTTTGTTAATGCAAAAATTGTAATATATTCGGAATTTTACCCAGACGTGATAAAATTAAATGTAAAAATATTTCACAAACCTAAAAGCAACTTGATCTGCGACAAAGACATAATTGAGAGAATACATTGCTGACAACATATTTGGAATGCATAGCAATAATAAAACATAGCGTTGATAAAACCCGAATGGACCAAGTTGTAACACTGCTTTTTCCAAAGCATCTTCGGGACTAGTGCAATATTCTTCACCTTTTAATTCACTTTTTCTGCTTATAACGTCACTAGTCGAAATAAAACTTTGACTTCTATTAATGTCCTTCTCAGAATCATTTACGGCTGTCATTTTGTCTTAATGTTCTACTTAACATATTATTTATTTTTTATCAAAAAAGTTATATAAATCACTTTTTATTTATTTACCACGGTAATTTTGCTTGGAAAACAGTTACATAACATTACTATAAATTTTGTTATAAAAACTATTTTCTTTATAACTCACTCACTATTATTTTATTAATATTATTCGTCTCAAATGTTCCGTGTGGCACCACGTGCCACGCGGTGTATACTAACGTCAAAACTCTAAGGAAAGAGTGAAACAGGTGTTTCAACGCCACTATCTGTCTTTTTGATAACGTTACTTACATGTTAAAGAAATATTGCTTCATAATATGCTATAGAAGTGATCCGTTCAATTGTATTGTTATATTAGTTTTCTTTTCCTTATTGGTTTTATTTGAGATTTCAAAAGAATAAAATGCTTTCATTTATTCATTTCAAATATATGTTACATTACAATCATATTTTTTTTCAACGAAACATCAGAGAAGGGGAAAATTATAAAACTGTATAAACTCGTATGTATGCATTAAGGAAAAATCAGAAATGGCTTAACATAAGAAAAACATTTATTAGATTAATCAGATGAAAAATCAATCTTGTGTAATTTGAACACGTGGTTCATGGTGGCAATAAGATGTTATTCTGTTGTTATCTTGTTTCACACAAGACTTAGTATTATGTCTTTAGTTTATCCTTAACATATTTATGCAAAGTGGTTTCCTGTTTACATCCTATATATACTATTCTTACTCTTTTAAAAGCATAGGTTTTACAAGTGAGTTTGTTTCATATGTAAAATATACATATACAGATCTTTATTTATTTCTGTGTAATACTTAAGTCTAGGCCTTTTAAATTTTATACAAAGATATTTGTAATTTTATACCAAGATATTTGTAAGTCCTATATATCTTCTTCTAGGCGGCAATTACAAAAATCGGAATAAATAACTTTGTGTTGCGTTTTTTTTTTAAATAATTTTATGTTTTTCATTAACAGTTGTGACCTTTTTTAAACCTCAGTTAAAATATACCAATCGATGAAAACATTTTTTAAATATCTTCAATATAATATTAATGAAAATTGCATTAAAAAGACCAAATAATCCAACTATAGTTAAAGTGCTCCCTTACAAAAAAAATATATAAATTAACAATCGTTCATAGTCTTATAACATACTTTAAATTTTACGTAAAATAACCTATAATTTAACTTTCTCTTTTGTTTAGAACCCTGGAATGTTCCTTAAGTGTGAAATTAGTACGTTTGTGTATTTATAAACAATTTAGAAGATACATTAACTTTCTGGAAAAAAAAATGATTTAGCGACTTAAGAAATTATAGATTTTTCCTTCAATGACAAATTATTTAGGTATTAGTCCACTGGACACACTCGTATCATACAAAAACCTTTTGAAAGTTCTTACATTCTCTTACATTTAAAATGATTTGAAATACTATTAAATATTTTTCATTTCTTACATTTATTAACAATATTATTTAAAATGTAATAAATAAAGAAAAAAAATTGATTAATACAAGGAAACTCCTTGACGAACACCTGCTCGAAATCTATCAGCAACATGACTAAATAAGAATTTTGAAATTCCCAAATCTCAGATAATATAATATGGACACAACATAGGAAACTGAATGTGTTTATTATACATGATGATACGAGGCGAATTAACAAGAAATATGTTGATAAATTGCAAAACTATAAATCCCATCTAAAAAACTACTTACACTGATGAGATTAGTTTCTATAAAAAAATGTATGTTATAGAATAAATAAAAAATATATTTAAGGTTACGAAACGAGCAAGAAAATAGTTTTTAAAGTTGAAACTATACGTGGATTATGATCCCGATGTACTTATATATCTTTACAGAGTTAATTTGAATCTGGATGTGGGAGTACTATTACTCTGTGATTTTTCACCTATAATCATGCGTTTATTTTTAAATTGGATGCTATATTAAAAATTCCATGTTGTAAAAATATAACAACAATTTATTATTATCATAGGATAATTATAAATATAATTATAGTATCATACGGGTATTATTTTTATTTTTTTTGATTACGTGTATTATCTAGAAATACTTTTAATACTTAACCGAATGAGTCATTGACTCCCAGAGTTATCTTAGCACCAGCTTTTGCAGCTTAGTAATATAAGGTTCATGTATTTTTAAACGTATAGCTATTTTTGTCGTGGCATAGTTGGACGCAATGTATTTTTATACACATGCGATCCTCACGTGCGTCCTGGGCTATAAGCTCAATTACTCGTAACACATGTTGTTTGTTGTACAGTGTAATTATGTGGCTATTTAGATATCTTTTAATTATCAAGATTATCAAGATCATTATTATAAAGATAACGAAGAAATGTATAATGCACATTTTCATTACACCTAGGTTATGACATTATTGTATGTATGTTTACATGTATAAGTAATGGGCGAAATGTTAAAGATTCAGTTTAAATAATTGTTAAATTTCAGCTAAAAGCAGTTAAAATTCAGCTCAATCACCAGTAAATAAGAGATTGTAACCTTATCTCATTTAATTAATTTTTTTGTCTGAAAATTACATAATTATTTTAATTTATATGTCAGTCACGTGTGGGCTCGATTTTTTTCATAGCGATAGGTGTGTATCATTCTTCCACGTGCCCAGCGAAGCTTCCTCGAGTGGTTTGCAATTTTACTGTTTCTTTAATTGAATCTTAGTCTTTTAAGAGAACCTTAAAGTTCAATTTTGCTTAACGTGATTAACGGTGAGCGGGTAAGTCAAGAAAACAGAGATCTCCTTTCAAAGCACTCCTGACGTTGGTTAGGGCATTACCGCGCGGACCCTCTGGCCGGCGGGACGTATAATCAGATATTGTGATATCAAAACTGGTCGTAATCGCCTCGTCCAGTATTTATTAAATAAGCCAGTCTTTCAATTTAGTATAGTGAAATCTAAAGGATTTCCTTTTTATTTAAAATTGGTAACTTTCGGAGACAGTGATGGATAAAGACTGTGTGGGCTGGGGCTGGTGGCAGGCACGTATTGCATTGCTACTGGCACTGCCAATACTCCTCACCGGCATGTATGGTACCAACTATGTATTCCTAGCTGCGCGTACGCCGCACAGGTGAGATATAAAAACTAAATCTAATTAATACTTTCAAAGTAACAAATTACATACGGATTAAAAATTAAAGATCCGAACACTATTAACATTGTATTTTTGTTGTCGATAATGATAAATAATGTGAAATTTTCAGTTTTGGTTTTAATGAAATATTTACACAAATCAAGAGATATGAAACAGTTTTAAATAAAAATAACTGCAAAATAAAAAAATAAAATTGTGATGAGAAAGATTTTTTAAAGTTCAATGCCACTTATACATACAAAAGCGATGTTTATAAGTAAAAATATTACTTATAAGTGTATAATTATTGGCTGTATTAAAGGTGTAATTTATTACAAACAGGAAGGTTTTAAACGTACTTATTTATTTTAATTCAAAAGATATTGGTTTTTCTTTTTTGAGTGAGTTATTACTAAAAAGATCGGTATAACAATTTTCTTCTATCTAAAATCAAAATACAAATCGTGAGATTGTGTTGTATTTCTAAATTTATATTTAGAATTTAAAAATACTAACTTTCAGAAAATCACAAATTATTTAAAAATTTGAATTATCATATAAACAAAACCCTTACTAATTTATATTTTACCCGTGGATTAGTAATTAATATATATGCAGAAAACTAAACAACACGTTTAAGAAACTGGTTTTAAGTAATCACGACGTATAAATTGTACTACATTCGATTATTTTATTTCAAGATGTAGGTTTTCTTTTTTAGTTTAATATTTTTCAAAATATTATCCAAAAAAATCGTAGTAAAATACTTTTTTTTCGTACAAAATTCCGTACTGTAAAATATCAATGAGGTGTAAAAAAATTTTGTGACTGAACGTGTTGTATGTCAACTGTAGTAGAGCAACGTCCTGAAACGTCAACAGGCATGAAGTCACTGTGACATATTAGTGTGATCTATTTAGGAAACTTATCTTTTGCCAATAAGGAAGTTGCAAATTATATTGCCTTATAAAAAATATGAATAAAATCAAACGACAATCACAATATTTCTTTGACCTTATACTTTCAAATCATCCACCCATTTTTTAATAACAACTTATGATGAACAACATCATTACGACGCTTCCATCTATAAGAATATAAAAAGCAAGTGAACTTTACGGTATATTTACTGCGTGATAAATATTTAAGGTACAAAACATGACATTACAGATGTTGAGATTTTATTTTATATGCAATTTTTACCTAGTAAGCTATAGAAAGTGACTAAAAAACTGCGTAAACTGTACATACAGGACTATACCAAAACGTGATTTTTTTTATACAATGGTATCATAAAAAATGTTTGTCGATTTCGTGTATTCCAAACAGCAGTAACGCCATAAGTTATTTTCTTTTTAAACTGACTTAAAATCACGAGGTAGTTCCGGATTCGACTATTTATTTATTTATTATTTTTTTAGCTTTGATTTTTTAAAAACATTAGTTGATATCTATTTGGTTACAGCTATTTTTTATGATATCATGAACGTTGAAAACTGTACAGAGTTTTGTTATTATTATAACTACATAATAAAAATAAAATTACTATTATCATATAATTAATGGTGTGTTAAGTTTTCACAAATACGTGATTGATTTTATGTTCATTTTTTTGTGTCCTTCTGAATGGAATGTAACAAAATGGTTTGGTTTTTTGATTATTTTTTCTTTACATTTACTGAAGTTACTTTTCCTAATCGAATTAATATACACATTTTTTTTTGTATAGGTTTAGATACAACGATAATGGTAAATGTAAGAATTTAAGTAGGTTAAAGGTAGAGTCAGGTGGTGCAGGCTGAAAACAAGTTTGTCATTTACCGTTTTTCAATAATAAAACGCAAATTGGATTGGTATTTATAAAAAGAAGTGAGATGATTTTCGTTGTAACAACAATAAACTCGAAAATTGACAAGGAAGTGTACTGTTTTAAAGAAAATAATAATGAAATCATTAAGACCAATAATTTATTATTTAAATATGTAATAAAGTTTATAAGAGTTATAACAAAGTACTACCAAACTGCCGTGGTAAGTAGTGGGATATTGATTAGTGTTAAAAAAGTTTAGTAATATGTAGTATAATTTTTTTTATTAAAATATCGATAAAACGAAAGTTGTAAAGACAAATAAAAAAATACCAAGATTGTTTAGCTCGTTTACAACGCAGTAAAAACAAATATACAAATACAATTTGTAATAACTTTTAATTAAACGGTAATTATAATGATTAAAATTGTTTTAGATACACTAAGCAATTAGTTTCATCTCATTGTAGTTGTTTATCCGATTATTAATTGAATTAATGTGTGCAACATTTATAATAAAAATACATAAGAAATAAATTTTTACGACATGGTAATTATTTACATTATAGTCATAGGAATGAACGGGAAATATTTTTATATTATATCAAGTCTGTTTGTTTGTCAATTTTAAATTTATTTAGCTTATCATTATACATGATTGCCTATATAAAAATTCGTTTAAAAAGTTTTAGTAACTATAACATTTATTTTAATTGAAGTAATAATGTTTCTTTCTTCACTTATAGCTTCTGTTCAATTTAAGAAAAACATATATTTTACAGGTGACATAAATCTTAAGTACATTAAATTCCAGAAGCAGAAATGCTAAATTTACCTTAACTTCTACATTGTTTAATAATTATAATAAATATCCTTTCCTTTAAATGGAAGAATGATAATAATTCATGACCAGATGCTATTCATGCACATTAATATTTATTTTGCGGTTTTTAAATAAAACAAACTTGACTTTCCAGATGATATACACTTCCTGTAATTAAATCTTTTGTTGCTTGCCAGCATTATATTTCAATATGTCGAGAACGCTGTTTTTTTATTCCTTTATTATTAATGATTATATATGAGAAGTACTAAAGCGACTGAGGAATGTTTTACATAGTCAATATTTAACATGTACTATAAATTTGCTAAAATATCAACTAAGATGCGATAGAAAGTCATTTTTCATTACAATCCTTCGGTAAATGTGTGGCGTATTTTTGGTTGGTTAAAACATATAAATTATGAAAATAAATTTATTCTTTGAAGAAAACTATCATATTCAACTACCGTTTATTTATACTATCATAATAATTCTTTGTCGGGCTGGATAAAACGAGAGGTTAAAATTTATCTATTCAGATAAATAAAATGGCTGTTTATATAACCCTATGATCCCCGGAGGTTGGGAGCAGACAAACTTAATCATTGAAAGCGAGCGAGCTATCGATGTGGACCAGACGCGTGTTCACGACTCTACTACATGACTAATAGAATTTGGCACAAGCAGTCTGGGTCAGAATTAAGTTTATCCGGAAAAATAATTTAATGACCTTACTTGAGACTTTAAGAGCGTTTATTCTAGTTTTAATGAATTTAAAAATCTCAGAATTACATGTCATCATTACCATCATCAGCCTATCAGACCCCACTGCTGAGTAAAAGCCTCTTCTCACATGGAGAAGGTTTGAACACTAATAACCACGCTTGCTCAAGACGGGTTGGGGATTTCAAACTTATAAGTCCAGGTTTCCTCCCGATGTTTTCCTTCACCGTCTGTCAGTGGTGTCTAAATACTCTTAAAAACTACTAATACTACATGATTACATTACTACATAATTAAATGTACAATATTATAAAAATATATTTTTATTACAATATATTTTTATTAAAATAGTTTAGAGTTTCTTTTATACATGAAACCACTAGACTTGCAAACGTCTCCTTCACATTTGTAGGCGCGGCACAAGCTCAGCTCTCACTCACGTGACTCGACGCCATGTGCGAGAATCGATCAAAATAAACTATATCGGTCGACTGGTTTTTCGACCGGTTTATCGATTACAGGATTTATGATAAACATGTAAGACATTATTTATTTTACATCGATATATCTAAATATTCGATTTATCACCCTTCATTCGTTTCATGTTTTAGATAGGACATGTGTTATGAAATTAATATTGTAAAAATATTACAAAATAATTTTGAAACCTTTTAAAAACAAAGGCAAATTTGATTTAAATAATTTACCACCCTCTACTTAGAATGAAATAAATATTATATTAATCACAATAATTGACAGACAAACTTAAAAATCCTATCTAAATCAACCTTATTTAAATGCCATTTAGGGTGTAATTGAAGTATTTAATACATTTCTATGTGAGAAAAAAATAATTATATATTGAAATTATTATTTTTTTAGAGTTATAACAAACAAATAATTATAAAATTTACAACGAATAATTGAATTTTTTCATAATAGCGATAGCATATAATTTTCAATTACTTTATGTGGTTACATTTCCAACAATTTAATGGATACAGTATTGATGTAACATATTCTGGTCTCTGTGTCTTGATGTATATGCGAAAATAAATTTAAGTGTCGGAAGAAATAACTAGAAACAATTGTTCTAATTCTTTATACTTTATGGTTTTAAATAGTGGAGAAATATTTAATCTTTACTGATTATTGAAACTGGAGAATTCTTAGTAAACAAATTAAATATTAAAATTGATAATAATGCGTCATAATAAATGAATAATAAAAGAACAATTATTATATGTGTAGTATAATAATCGTCTTTCAGTTTTAGTATAAGAAGATTAATTTATAAGAAGGAGTAAGTATGTATATTTCTTCAGTTTGTTTTTTAAATTAATTTTTAAAGTGAATGCTTTTTCGCATAAATTTAAAGTAGTACACAGGTATATCAAGTATATTAAAATAATTAACACATAAAAACGGATTTTAAACTAATATTACAATAATATGGTTGTTGATATCAGTTTGTGGTTTTCTTACAAGTCATGAATTTTGTTTGGGGTCGTCGATAAGGTCTGTTTTATCGGCAATAAACCACGTAATTATGTTTAGGTATATTAAAAACACCAATAGGCGGACATATTACCATTTCAAGTCAGTTTAAAACCCATCAAAATCTATTAGTGGTATTTAGTTTTTGTCAAGAATGGGAAAAAAATAAACATATTTTCATACGGCAAAGTAAAGTTTTATAAATAGTTAGAATATATTTAACATTTATAATTAGCGTGGTTGTAAATACTACTAATGGTTATTAAGATACTTATAATGGTATCAGTAAATATTGGTGTCATGGTAGACGAAACTTAATTGTACCTATTTTAAAAAGGTACAAAAACATTTCCTACACAAATTTTCCATTGCAATTCTCGATTAGAAAAACTACTATTTTGCTTTCATTTACTATTTAATCTTTCTGTGTCGTATAGTTTTTGCTTATTGAAATATTCCAGTAAAATCTTAGACCGTGAATTCGAAGTTTACTAGACGATTTGTTCGACGGTTTCATTTTTTTATCAACGTGTAATCAATTGGTTTATGTGACCTTTATTGCTTAATTTATTTAATTGGCTTATTTTTTTGACACATTTATTTTGATATAGATGTAAAAGGAAGATAATGTTCATTTAAAAGATCGAAAGTGCGAAACATCAGTAACTAGTGTTGCCCAAAATCGGTCTTGGTTTTATTCTTGCATAATATATGCTTGAAGAAGACCAAGACCGCCTAATTTTAGCAAAACCAAGACCAAGATTGATTGTGCAAGATTTAAGCAAGAACAAGATCTAAGCAAGAACAAGACCTTGTGTCTTGCAGTTAGGACTGCGTGTCGTTTCAGGGATAAGTCAGTATAGGAGATCGGGGTTTACGCGTAGGGACTCTATGAGAAGCAAAAAATATATGTTTTTTTTTGGAAAATTGACTTTGAACGCTAGGTACCATAAAAAAAACGTACATTGCGAATGTAAATGTCCATTAAAAGAAAAAAGAATGCATCCCTAGTTTTGATCATCGGCATTGTGTCTGATAGTGAGCGATGCCTTATTGGCATCAACAAAGGTCGGGTACTGACTTCTCAAAGAAATTTTTGCAGCTTCTATTGCGCATGAAAACAATTATCGCCGCCGCACCTCACGCACAATATTTGGAATTATTTGATTGGCGTCACAGAGTACAAGTATTCAAAAGAATAAAATAAGTTTTCGGTTTTTTCGAATGGACACGACTACATTATGCTGAACTGTTCTGTGTGATTTTAAAACACAAAGCGCTTAAATATGTCGTCCTTCGTTTAATAAATATTATAGACACTTTTAATACACTTCAAACGGTAATAATTTTCTATAATAGTCATCGAATAATATAAAAAGCTTGCAATAATATTTATGGACTGTTTAGGAACCCGAATATGAGAGCACTGTTTAAATAAATAAATTGATATATTGACTGTTACATCACAATATAGTTTTACTCAAAATATACCTAACCTGTTGCGTTGTGCTAATATGTAAAGTAACGTTTAATAAATAGCGACAGGCTAATAGGTAATTGCTAGATTCTCAAGACTCTTGCTGCAAGACCAAGACTGGGAGTACAGTACCAAAACCCAGACTAGGAGTATGGATGCAAGACCAAGTCAAAGACTAGCTAAGTCCCGTCTTATTCTTGCATTTAGGCAACACTATCAGTAATTAGCAAAGAATATTATAGTTCGTGGATTTGAAAATAAGAATTCGTTATTGCTAATTGACTATGAAATTTTTTGGAGGGTTTTATGTAAGCTTTCAGTTTCATACACAGTTATTGACCCTAAATAATCGCTAGTTAAACTTGCAAACGTTAAATTAATGCAAAATGTTTTTCATTCAATTATTTATTTATTAAATATTTCTAGGATCAAAATGTTTTATTGGTAGTTCCTTTTCGATCATATTTATCAAATTCCTTTTAGATCGTATTTGCTATGTACATTTACGGCGGTGAGAATGTTTTATATTTGGTGATTTGTCTGTGAGATATTCTAAAGGAAAACGTCCATAAATATACCAAACAAACCCGTTTAGTTTTATCCAGTAGTTAAGTGAGTTCAAATATGTACTTGTAAGGTGCAAGTTATTTATAGAAGTCATATTTTTATGTACCTGTTTGGGCACATTGAGCTGAGCTGTCGCAAAGACGCCATGCAGGCAGTTTACATTTTAACAGGTGATTTATGCAATATGCGGGTGTTCACAAATATTTCACTTACGCAAGCATTTTCACAACTAGGAAGAATATACGGACTCAATTTTGCGATAAAAATATTATTCTAATAAAATAAATTTAACTAAATATTTAAATTAATAGGTCGTTTATGTTCTTAATGAAAAGAATCAATATGGGTCCAGTAAAGGAGGTCATTTAATGTAGCAACATGTAATTTTAACTAAGTGTTAATGTTAGATTTGAAAGATAAAGACCATATTTATTTTATAAACAATTGTGTATTTGTTTTGTTTTTTTGTAGTAAAGATAGAAGCCAGAAACATTACTTTTTAACTTACGGCATGCTTACATAATCAAATAATTAATAAACGTGTTAAACTTTATGTGACCTCTGTAATCTTCATTCTGGTTTATAATCAATCTAATATAAGTGTTTGTTTTGTTTATAAAAATTATTACTTTTAAGTAAATTAAACAAATCCATATCGAATTGTTTTATATAAGAGATGAATTGTAGTTTTGCACAGCGCGGCGTTTCAAAATGTTATAGATCTTTTTGTTAGATAGCAATCACACAACAGATGGTAGTGCTGACATTAAAGTTATTATATTTAGAGACTAGGAGTAGTGGTCAAGCCAGTAATTAAAATTAACATAGTAAATCTAAAAATATCCATGAGAAATTCGGTCACGTGACTGCAATTTTATTAAACCCGACTAAAGAAAGTTAGAGTGGTACCCCGATATTTTATTAACTAATACAAAGTCATTTATTATGTATGTATTACATGTTGTTCCCTGTTATTAAGCAAAAAAAATATTTTTGTTTATATGATGGTTTAAAACCGACACTTTGTCCTAATTAAAAAAATTGATAAAGATGAAAATAATTTATTTCTTGTTCTTTCCAGGTGCCATATTCCAGAATGTGAAGACAATACAACACTAACGGGGCCTGTGACACAAGAAGCGTGGTCACCATCTTGGTCTGCCTGGGCTTTACCACCAAATTCTGAATGCCATCGTCACCCTACACTTGTTGGAGTCTGTAGCGAAGATGGTTTCGATAATACCACTTTCCTGGATTGCGAAGAATTTGTGTATCAGCATCACACCAGTATTATGGCTGAGGTAAGTGCAATCACATACATGGATGTTGGCCGGGATGGAGAAGGAATAAAATATCTATTTCTATCCTAGTTACCCGTGAAACACTATTTTAAATGAAATAAGTACTATTTTACATATGTTCTTATTTTACCTGTAAGCGTTTCATTCTATTGGTATATTATAATTAATCAATATGTTTTTTTTTATCAACAGTTTAGTCTAGCATGTCAAGAGTGGAAACGGACTCTCGTTGGTACAGTGCATAATGTTGGCATGTTAGTTTCGTTGCCAATCATGGGCTACGTTTCTGACAGGTTCGTATACATTGTGCAAATTAAACCTCAAAATACTCTATATATTTGTTGAAATGAAGGATATATTACACAAACTATATTTGCTAAATTTATAAGCTAATTTTACCCATATTTATTATATATATAAAGTAATAAAATAGAGTATATTTAATAAAGTATTTTCTCTGTTACAGATACGGTCGTCGAGCTGCATTAGTGACTTGCGGCGTGGGTGCTGGTGTTGTTGGACTAATTAAATCTTTTGTCAATTCATATCATCTTTATCTAGCTTCAGAATTTTTTGAAACAGTTCTAGGTGCAAGCGTGTACCCAGCAGCTTTTGTACTAAGTAAGTATTTTTTTGTAATGTCTCATCTAGCATGGTAAACAATTTTTAAACTATAGTACTCGTAGAATTCTATGATTTATTTGTTTTTATATTACAGTGATTGAATGGCTGGGAGTAGAACACCGAATCCTGGCCAGTTTGCTTCTTGGAATTCCTTTATCACTTGGGGCCGCTTCTTTAGCACTTTTAGACTATTTAACTGCTTACTGGCGAACTTGGGCGCGATTTGCATACCCACCTTCCTTTTTACTCCTTTTGTATCCATGGGTGTTACCAGAGAGTGTAAGATGGCTGGTAGCTGGAGGGAAAGTTAAAGAAGCAGCTCGCGTTATAAAGCAAGCGGCAAGAGCTAACAATGTTTCGTTACCTGAAGGGACGCTTGACAAAATGTTGTCAAAAGATCAAGTAACCGATAAAGTTTTAAATATTGTAGAAGAAGAAAGTATATTTAGAGCTTTTATTAAGTAAGTAACAAAACGATATACTATTACAGTAAAGTAACGCCTAAAGGAAAAACATTAACACTTAAAAATAACTATTTGTAATTTATAACTCCTGTATTTCTGTTATAGGTACAGCGCATTACGTCGTCGTTTGCTCGTCTGTTTCGCGTGGTGGTTGTGTGCAGTGTTCGTATTTTACGGGTTAGCTGTTCGGTCTCATGCCCTTGCTGGTTCCGCCCATGCTAATTACGCATTGCTCGCCGCTGCAGAGTTGCCAGCGCTGATTCTAAACACGCTGCTCTTAGATCGCGCTGGAAGACGACCTTTGCTTACCGCTGCTTTCTTGTTGACAGCTGTTGCGCTAATTGCAATACCATGTCTGCCTGACCGTGAGTATTATAATCCATAGTATAACAGTAAATAATATTTAATTCAGAAATAATCAAAGTTAAAATCAACTTTACTTTTAATTATAAGTGTAATTTTAGATATAACATATGTACTTAATTACAGATGAAAGTGGTTTTGGCGTAGCATTATTCCTTGCTGGTAAGATGGGAGCTACAATGGCTTTAAACGCTCTGTATGTGTATACCGCTGAATTGTTCCCAACGCGTGCTCGTCAGCGACTGCTTGCGGCATGCTCAACTTGTGGCCGTATTGGAGCAATTCTTGCACCACAAACGCCGTTGCTTGTAAGATATCAATTATAAAATCATCAAAATAATAGTTAAATGAAATGAAGACAATGACGGTTCCTCGTCATCAATAAATGATTCAAATATAAATGTTTTTTCACCATATCAATTGTTTAGATTTTTAAAATTGATGTGATGTTGAATAAAACATTATACATCTTGTCCATTTATTTGTAGAAAATATATAAGGATTTAATTCGGTTAAATAAAAAAAATATGCATTATATATTTATTTTTTCAAAAAAAGACTTTATATACAGGATATACTGTGTCATTATTTATCAAAATCTTTATGATCAGGCTCAGTACGGGGCATGGGTTCCGACGACGTTGTTAGGCGCCCTACCGCTAGCCAGTGCGGCCCTGACTCGGTTAGTTCCCGACACATTAGGCCGTCGCCTCCCAGACTCCTTCGCAGACCTTGACTCCTCAACATCTGCTATTTCTGTTTCAACTGCGCTACCCTAGCCCGATGTTATAATATATACTGGAGGGGTTTGAAAATTTTTTAACACATGAAATTATTGTTATGCTCACCTAAAGTAAATTCTCATTAAAATATGTATATTTTATGAGATCAATTTCAAGGAACTGAAAAGATCATGGAACTGTATATTAAAATAAGTTATTATAACAATTTTAGATAAGGTATAACATATTGCGCACTAGGTATATATAAGTTGTCTATTTCATTGTTGACAAATATAGCCTTAGGCGTTTTATAATTTGACTGTTAGGACCGTTGATATTTTAAGTTTAATTAAAATGGTATTTTAAATTATATTGAATATAAATGTATTACAAAATGACGAAAAAAATTATTAAGTCGCTCTCATTACTTTATTTTATTTTAAATAATATAAATTTTACTAAGCATATAATAGTTATGGTTAATAATAATACTAAAAATAAGTTATTTCAAATTGTAATATGATTAATATTGAAATCCATTTAAATTTGCTAAGTTGTTACAGTGAAAAAGCAAATTTATCCAACTAGAATAGGATTAACATTAAGATCAAAAATAGTCTTAAGATAAGTCTAAAATGACTTTAAACAAAAAATAACGCAATATTTGCTCAAACTGTTGTTTTATTCATGGCTGATTTTACATTTATTGGAGTTATTAATTGTAGTCCAGATTTTACCTATGCTCAAAAACTTCTGGTCTGGATCTGGTTAAAATATTTACATGAGTACCTTGGGTACCTTTTATTTACTTATCATATATATTGAATAACATAATAACATATATATATATATATATATATATATACATATATAAACCCGGTTAAAACAAAAACAATATAAACAATTCTATGATATATATATCGGATTTATTACATATTCCTTGTTTTTTACAAAGAGACGCGTCAGTCTAGCTGACTTTACAAATGTCACTTCCTTCAGCCGTTCCATGTTAATTTAAAACTAAACTTCAATTCTTCTGAATGTCCTTATATTTCTTGAAGGTTCTAGATTCTTCTATGGTCCGCCATCACTGAACTATCCGGTTGTGCCTCCAGAGGTCGTATCTATACTGAAATTTAAATATAGTTCTATTCTCCTTTTGATTTAAATTTTGAATTTGATTTCATTTTACTTTTAACAATAATATGAATACTAATAAGGTTTAATAATAATAATTGATGACAGCATCAAGTGACTGTTATGTTGAATTTCGTCATTAAAGCTGATAGCGACGATATATATACATATTATATTAACATGGAAATCAATTTTTTCACATAGACTTATACTTTTATCAGTGTATTTTAACTTAAACTTTGAATTTTTTTAATGCAAATATTTTCCTTTCGATTTCATTTTCCTATTTTTAATTAAAGTAAATATAAATTTTCAAGAACAGGTTTAGTAAAATTACATTATGCGATAATTAATTAGTTTCAAAATGCCCTCATCTTATTACCTTACAAACTAGGAGAAACAAATATTAAGTTCGGAAATGAGATTTTTTTTTTGTTAACATTTATATACTGTTTAATTTTGAAATTAAAACTTACGGAGGGACTCCATTAATAGTTATATAAACTAATTAGATAAAAACAGTTACAGTTTTGGACAAATGTTGAAAACACCTTTCGTTAATAGGGAACGATCTATATTTTTCTTTTGACATCTGAAAAACGAAGGAGAAATAAGTAATTATTGCTCATATCAAAGCCGTATATTTATTGCGCAATAAAATAATATCAAGAATGATATACAATTTTATAAAACATTAAATTCAATTAAAGTAAGCAAAAAGCTGTATAAGAAGATGTAAAAATGTAATAATTTTTTTATCATTCAAAGGTATTAGTTTAGAATAAATATATATAAACAAAGACAATAAAATAACGACAACAATAAATGACGGGCGACCTTTATCACAGTCTAAATATCCGACCATCACCTGTTTTATTGACTGACGCGATATTCCATTATTTTATTGTCTACCTTCGACACTCTGATATGACTATTCTTCATTCAGATACTTATCTAGCCACAATATTTTATACATATGATCATTTCTCAAATAACAGCACATCTCGTTAATCGTAATAACGAAACTCTTTGTTCTCAAAATCCAAATAGTAAGAATCCATAAAATATATTTTATAAAAATAAAACAAATTTCATAATTATATATAGGTATCTTATCTGTGATTCAGTTTAACACTAAAAACTATTAGTTTTTTTAGCCAATTCTTGAGCTATAGGAATTCAGATTACTATATGTTGATAAAAGTTATTTGATACTTATAAAAAACTTGCAGAGATTTCAGCAACATTAATTATTCTTTATTATTTATTGTTTGCTATCAAGAGTCTTTTGTTCTATTTTATTTTAAAGAACTGCTTTCTTAATATTATATTCCCTCACATCCAATTTCCGACTTGTTTGTGACTGCCATTTGTCTTTGGATTTATTGAAATGTTAACTCAAGGGACACGAGTGTGAGCAAAGTGAAATTTCGGCTATATACATACATATAAAGTTCACATTTATTTTGAAAGTTATTTTTATGATTACTGTTATTATAGTGTAACGTATTTATATTTGTTAGCAACATAAAGCCTAGATAAATTTTGATGTTCATATGTCTATGTTAGGAGATGTACATATCTGTAGAGGAATAGTACGTACAGATAAAAATAACGGTATATATATGTATACACACACATATATATATATGTTATGTAAAGGATGGCAAACGAGCAGACGGCCTACCTGGTGATCAATAGTCTTCGTCGCTCATGGACATCCGAAAAGTGATGTTGCGGATGCATTGCCAACCTTAGTTGTGGAGGAAAAGGCAGGGGTGGGATTAAGGTAATGACAGGAAAGGGTGGAGACAGGGAAAAGGCAACCGGCTCTCTCACTCATCGGACGAAACGCAGTCAATAATGACTACTTCACACCGATCTTTTGTGAGAGGGTGCTGTACTACCCCGTCGAGCCAGCCCAGATTTTAGCTGTAGTTACTTGACCACAGCTAGGCTCTACCACCCTTTATACTTTTGAAATCAACTAGCTATAAATAATTATAACTAATTAATGGCTTGATAGTTTACTAAATCTCACAGGATTAGCAGATTTAAGTGACTGATACTTTAAAGGTTTGTTCTGAACATCATCAACTACACAAAAAATCCATAATCTACTTATTAATGCGCTAGTGTGCATCCAAAACAAAACATAGGATTAAAGTTATCATTATTTAATGTGTTACCGTCTTTATCAACAGCGCTATCACAACATTATTATTTCAAACCTCAAGTAAACATTATACGTACACCGAGAAACCACTAATGGATATTGTTGGCTCACAAAATAACCATAAACAATCAAAATGTAGCTGAAAATGAAATTTTAGGTAGCTTGCCGTCGAAAATATGAATGTAATTTACCACTCCGCACATGGATCGAAGAATTCTTAACAAATACATGTTAAATAATTTGTTTGTTGTAATTAATGCTAATTAATTTGAAAAAATAATAATAATATGCATGAAAGTTTCTTAGATTACAAAAACAGTCTTTGCGGTTTTCGTTGTGACTTAGAGTCAATTTTCTAAAAATTTCAGTGTTTTTCATCATAAATTATATGTATTAGCAAAATAATTTACTAAAATTTATTATGGTGTAAATCCACTTTATCTTAAAATTATTTTTATTTTGAAATAACATTGTCTTAAATGTAAAAATGTAGCAAGTATCTAATTGAGACAACAAAAAGAACATTTGTGATGAACAACAAATGAGTAATGGCAAGGGAACCTTTATGGGCACATTTACTTTCGTATAATGAAGAAGCATTATTACATTTGTTCCCCGAAAAAACCTTTACTGAATACAATATTCCTTAAAAATCCGGTACACTATAGAAAAAGAAAGAGAAAAGCTAAAAAAGATTGATAAACACAGGAGTAACAACATTATTCAATAGAAGTTATCCTCTCATAACGGTTTTTTTTAAGTTTACTTTTGTATTATCATACCATGTTTTTGTTAACACAAACATATTGTCGTAGGAAAATGTATTGTTCTGTCTGCAAATAAAACATTAAATGTCAAAACGATTTCGTAACAGCAATTACAGCGTCTGAGAGTCGAAATTAAATATTTGTTTCAATGTACTGCATACGCTTGATTGAAGTTTGTAAATAAAATCAAATGTAGCAATACCCAATCAGAGTAGGTGATTGACAACAATGAGACCCTGACCTATTGTGGCTTTCTATCCACCAGTTGCATTGTCTGGTACCCTATGAACGTATTTTGATCAGATAGTTTTGTTCAGTGTCATTTGTGTTGATCACAGCCCAACATATTTTTGACTCCTAGACTTTATAATTGTTTGTGATCGGAAGAGCTTATTTAATTATGGTCGAGTCTAAGGATGTGGATACGGATAGACTGATGCGTGAATTAGGTCAGACTGGACGGTATCATCTACGTGTTTATGTGCTGGTAGCGTTAGCAGCTGTTCAAGTTGGATTGCTGCACACTACTTACATATTCCTTGCTGGAGACGTCCCGTACAGGTAATTATGGTATTTTGAACCATCATGGGACAAAAATAACATATTTTAAAACAGTATTTCAAATTAACAATAGTAATATTATTTTAAATTAATAATAGTGTTTCACTTTTTAGAATTACTACTATTAAATAGGTGTACATATTAATTTTTTTGCTGAATTATAAAACCACCAATAAACAAACCAATTTTGTGATAAACCTAAGACAAAAACATCATTATAAATATTTATTAAATCATTCTTTTCAACAAAAAATATCACCAGTTTTATGAAAACTGTAAATACTTGAATATAAATATCTGTGCCCGTAAAAACGCTTTAAATTTAATGATTGAAGTATGGATGTAATTTTTTTAATCAAAAGTATGTGTAAAGTTAATTTAAAAAATCTTCAGCTATAAAACTTTTATTTTCATTCACAACAAGGCTGTTTGTTTTTCATTAATCCTTTAGTCTGGTGAAGTTAATGCTTTTTATAAAAACTGGGCTACTTCCTATAATATTTTTACCAATGTAATTTATATAAATAAATAAAATTTTATTTCCAGTTTCAAAAGAAGTTTTTTACTACACGATAGGAAAATGGTATTACGTTTAAGTACATAATAATATGGTATTATATTTAAATTCCTAGTTAAAACTTTATTGAGCTCATTTTTTTAATTACTTATTTTACGTAAGGTTAAAAAAATACTTGTATTATTAAGATACCGGTAAATATTCATACAATAAGTCATGTTAATAATACAAATTTTTGGGTCGTTTTCAAATGTAGCGTATATTTGTCAATGCTTAAAGATGTCTCAAATGTTTTGTATATAAATAAAATTTTATTGGTAATGTGAAACAGGTGTGATTTAAATTGCCGTGACAACTTAAAGAAGTGATTTAGTGAGCGTAAAGTAAAGTGATTGTTAGTTATAAATACTAGTATAACATGTACATATTACTGTTGTGAAAGTAAAGTATTGTAATAGTATTGTGTATTAATGTATTTAAAAAAATATATTTAATAAGCCTATGGTTTTTATTATTATAAAGAAAAAGAAAGCTTTTCTTTTATTCTCCTTTTTTTTAAATCGATGCAGCAAAGTTTTTAAATGCATTTGCTATGGAAATAGTTTTGACTTAGTTGAATTTTTAACATACCACTGAAAGTTCGTACGTTTGAGTTTACTTTTTTAATAAGAGGAGCTGAAACAGCTAGATCTATTTTAAGGTTTTTTCACTTAATAGATAGATAGATATAGAGTCACGTTTTAACTCAATTTACCGGTTAGCACCTGCTTTTGAATGGACAATAGGCTGCTATACCGTCTATCATTCCAGTCGTGTTATCAGTATCGGGGGTCGGCTAATGACATCGTGCTCTGGTGCGTATACTGTACAGAATTAAGAATTAATTTTTTGTTCTGTTGTTATTTGTCCGATAACCAGCATATAGATTCATTATATAAAAAAAAGATATGTTAAAATTAATCATAGTATAACTATCAAAAAAAAAAAAACAACAGAATATGTACTAGTTAATCATTAAATAAGAAATTACGAAACTGGGAAAACAAAAGTAACCAAATAATTATATTGAAAAGTTGCTTACACAAGCTTACGCTGAAACAATATATTGAATAAACGATGAATTGTGTATTCTATAAAAATCTGAATAAAAATGTTTAGAAGTTTTTTAAAGGGGTTTTTCATTTATTTTCATTTCTGTTTAATCTGAAATATAAGTGTAAACACATGTTTTGTCTGGTAGTTATATAGTATTACAATGTGTATTTTGTAAGAGTAGGAATTATTTTAGTATATTGAAATAAATTAAGATTTTGAGATCAAATTGAAATCCACAATTCAATACATGAGAGTTAATAACAGAAAAATGAGTGTTGCGGAGAAAGTGGATCACAAAGATATAAAATTCGATTTAATTCCTAATAAATTTAGTGTTATTAAAAATTATATTATGTGTCAAAATACGTGTGAAAAAGAACCACCAAAATGAAAACTTATCAAAAAACAAAATCGACTAGGTGGTAAAAAAATTAAATAAAAAGGATTTTTCGCATGAGATTCCAATTATTAAATATTTTGTATTCAAAGAAGAAAATGTAAAGAAGAAATATTTTGCTGCTACTACAAACCAACAACCTTTCCATGAGCAAAGTGAAGTAATAGTTTTAGTATTTCTTTTAAGTCAATTGACAAACAAATACATTAAATATTGAAGTAATAGCCATAGTAAAGATCATAAAAAATAAAAGATTTTTTTTATTTGCTATAAGTTTTATATTAGGTGTAAAATAAATTATAAAATAAAAAGAAAAACCTTTTTTGTGAGAAGTTGAATGCAGACAACGAGTATGCTTTTAATTCCATAGAAGGGGAGCAAATATGCATTCGTCTGTTTCAAATACGTTGGGTTTATTCATATATCTACAAGATAAACTCGCGAAAGAAAATGTTAAAACAACCTTTACTTCCTCAACTTATTATTTATGTTACTCACATTGTCCTGTAAGTGCTTTTAAATTGAGTACATTTTTATGTGTAATAACTACGTGATATTATTATTGAAGCGTCAAAGGAGATACTAATTGTACGTGTTTATATACTTAAATTAATCTAAAACAAATTATAGCATAGGAATTTATACATTATTTTACATCATTTGTATAGTTTATAGATTTTATATTATACTTGGTATTACGTTTTATTTAAGTATTTTTTTCTTAGGTTTGAATGTTCAACATAATACATATTTTGTGTCCTTGCCTATTCTTATCTTCTCAAGGTAATGAATATTATATTATTTATTTTTTTAGGAATGACTAACATATGGTGGGCTTAAATTTTAATTTATCTCGAAAAAAATAATCATGTTATAAAAAATCTGGTATTTTGATATACCTATCATCAAGGCAAAACTCTCGGTTACATTTGGTTGTTATTGTAGCGAGGTTGATTCATTATCAATGACAATACGTGTTTAAAAATCTTCCTTCCCACAGTTAAAATAATATGTTAATAGCAATAAAATGACAATGTCACTATATAGCTAGGTGATTACTTAATTAAATATAACAACCAATGGGAACATCAATCCGGAAAGATTATTTAAATTAATTTACACAAAAGGTGAAAACGCAATGTTTGAGTGATGTTTGTATCAGTTGTAAGGTTGTGTGCGCCCGCGTCGTACGCGATTGCCCAACTGTCAGATATCCAAGAGAAATATAAAAACGCGCTCATATTTATATTTTTAAATTATTGAAAAATAAATAATAAATATATTTGTATACAAGTAAAAAACTGTAAATTTAAATTTGTTTTAATGGTGACGTTAAGTGGATATATTATACATATAAACTGTTCAATATGAAAAGATCTAAAGAAATGGAAAGCGGTGTGGGTTTAGACGTAGATGCATTGATGCAGGAACTGGGTCAGTTCAAAAAGTTTCATTTGTTGAACTATGTGCTGTTATCGCTAGTACCATTTGCACTTAACCATTACGGTGTTAACTATGTCTTCTTAGCAGCTGATGTTCAATACAGGTGAGATTTCTTGTTATGTTAATATTTTATTCATTGTCACTTTAAAACTTCCTAATTTATGTATGTCTCATTGTTTTTAACAATATATCTAATAATAATTACTAAATACAGAAGTTTATAATCTCACATAAGTGAAATTGAAAAAAGAAATAATAATTAATGTCATGTACCTACCATTAATTCCGGTTGTTTCCATGTCATTAACAAAACCATAGAAATGAAAAACTAATTTTAATCAATTAAATAAAGCTAAGATTTTCGGATGTACTAATCGTTTTATATTATTTTAAACCATATAATCCCGACCTCTCGATCCCTTTGCGGAAACCTTGATCACGGGCAGACGGTTGCTGCAAACGAACCGAAACGTTTCGAGTACCTATGTGGTTTTAAAAATATGAAAAAGGCGTACTAGGTATATTCAAAAATCTTAGTTTTATTTAAATGAATACTCACAAAAATAATCTAAAACAATGGTCTAAATCTATGAAGATAATTTATAAACTTTTTATATTCTTGAAATAGTATTAAGAAAGAAGTAATAAATAAAATGATTTTGAAAAAACAGAATGCATCCGAAAAGTTTCTGATGGCAAAGTAGAAAACAAAGGTAGACAACGCGTATGGTAAATCAAATATTTAGGTAATACGCTCGCTTCAGTTTTTAAAAGAATATTTTACATATTTGTATGTAAAGAAAAACCGAACGTAAATATTTTATAAGTTTTTTGTTGTCTTTGGATCATAATGTAATTTTAATGTATGTTACTGCGATGCCAGGTAATATCTTTGAAATAATCAACTATTGTTTAATGTTCTACTATTATATTCTTCTTCAATTCACGGAATCTCATGTGGTTAAAAATAAAAGATATATAATATGAGAACAATTTTTAATTATCTATCTTAATAACATTACGACATAATATTTTAACAAGTACATTTTTAATTAAATGGTATTAAATAGTAAATGAGTTAATGGCTTTTAAATATCGAAATTACTGCGTCGAATGAAATTAAAGGTAATTGAGATAATAGGTCTCGAACAAAGTTTGTTGATAATGAGGATGTTGTTTGAATTCTTGATCGCGGTGAAACAATAATACAGACAAGAAGGCTTTGATTAAATAATTATGTCAACCATATCACGCTGGATTTTTATATCTTGTACAGAAATGACGAATAAAATACTGCTTGAAAGAAATTTGGTTTCTAGTTTATAAAAATAATTAGTTTTTTTTTTTGGTGCATCAATCATCGATTTCGAATCATGTTACCTCTGCCTTAATATTTTCTCAACGTACAGAGGATTTTATTGCAACTATTAAGAGACAATTGTGATCTGGTACGATAAGATTAAAGGAGGAAACCGAATGAAACTGGTTAAAGTTACAATAGTTAATTTACTATGACCTTCTGCCAGACGGTGTTCTTAAATAAGACGGTGTTCTATAATAATACAGTTAGTTAACTATAATTTCATTCAGCTTAGTACAATATGTCCTAATTTTTATTTTATGCAATCGCCTTAACAATATGATTACAGAGAACAGTTCTTCCTTAATTATTATTGTACAATATAAGTGTTTAACACAATGAAATTAACATCTCTCAAACTTAACTTTGTAAAGTTGTGTTTTTATAATTATTTTTAACAAAATGTATTTAAAAAATAAATCCCCATTTCTTAATTCTTAACTATGATTTTAATAAAAATTTAATTCAATTAATTTCCAACCAACTTAGTTAAATTATACTTTTCAACAATCGTGGTATTGTTGAATATAATGTATGTAATATAAGTTATGATATAAAAGAGTTAATACAGAAACAGGCACGTCAAATTGATTGTTTATGAAAATATTTAGTGGTTTTGAATACAAGCTTGTTTGAAAACATTGTTTTAATGTCTCGTTATGTTTTGTATATTGATTATGTTAACATGGGGTAGATCTATGTTTTTCGTTGTTTTAACTATTACTAGATATCATTATTCCTTTAAGCTCCTAAACATCACGAAATTTGAGCAATGCTAAATAACATATTGATCAAGTCTATAATAATTTATTATTTCTCCACTTTACCTTTTTTGTTAATTAATAATATTTTTTTAGAAAATCTTAAACCTAGATGAAAAATAAAAGAGTATTCTAAAGTATATGCAGGTTGTAGATAGCAGTTGTAGATGATGCATGACATTTATATGTTTTTTTATCCTCACACAGATGTCTAGTACCAGAATGTGAAGCAGCAAATACCACCGAATACAATCCAATTTGGTTAGAAAATGCTTTGCCACCGAATGGTAGAGAAAGACGCTGCAAAGTGAAAGTTCCATTGGAGGATGGATTCTGCCAACCTGATCACTTCTCTGATAAGTTACGATCCTGTGAACAATGGTTATATGAAACACATGATACGATAGTTGCTGAGGTTAGTCCACTATACATACATATATGTATGACTAAATTATACTCGCAAAATAAACAAATAAATGTTGATTTCTTTTATTTTACTCAAGAAATTTATTTATAGAAATATAATAAGAAACATATTATTGAAAGAATATATAAATTAAATTAATAGGAAGAGATATTTGAGTTATAAAAGTGTAAATACGAGTAAGTGTTTAAACTGATTTCAATTTTAATGTTCGCTTTTATCTTTTAGACAAGGTAAAATCAACACGTGTATGACATTTTAACACATTTTTATTTTTATTAACGTGACATTGATATTTTATGGGGTTTGTTTATTAAATTTATAAAAACATAAATACATTCTAAATAGGACATCAAACAAATAAAATTCTAGATCTTCAAAGATTTTATGAAGACCTTCAAAAACAAGGAATGTAATTAAGAACATCATTAACGTAGAATACTTTGACAATTACTAGATTATTAATGAGTTCATAATAGATATTAAATAGATTTAATATATATTTGATGCAATATTGTCTTTTGTATGACGTGGGGGTTACTTATTGTAAGTAAATATTTATGAAGTAGAGAAAAGTTACCAGACTGCGTTAATTTCAAACTCAAATTTTAATTTTCCTTTATTTAAAAATCGAATATCGTAATAAATATAAATTAATATATATGGTTTGCTTGATAAAATATGACTTAAAATTTTTAATTCAATGAATATGGTCAAAAATTCTTGTTATTATGAAAAATCGGAAAGCCATTTTGTTCATTACTGTTTTTTTTGTGTTTTATTTCATATAAAAAGCCCTACATTCCATACCTTAATAGTATATGAACTAAATTTACTTAACCCAATCTAAATTTTTAAAAAAGTCAAAAATTTTATAAGTTATATAAAAACCTGTTACTTGTGACATTCCACACTATCAGGCTATATAAGTTTTCTTTTAGACAAAAAAATATTCTACGAATAAAATATGTATACAGTTTTCCGCGAATAAACGGGGAATTTATGATTTAGTGTTCTGCATTGGTCGCAAAAGTATTGAAATTCAAACTAAGGTCTTTTTATATTTAAAAATAGATAGCAATTAGTTTTAATAACATTTGTATTTAGATAAAAAATTATTTGTTTCGCATCATGTTCTCGTTGTTTTATTTTACCATAGTTTTGAATACAAAAGCAACTGTTTTTAGTTTATGTAATGAATAATTCTGCTCTCTATTTTCCGTTTACCTTTAATAATTATCAAGCAACTTCTCTTTGCCACCACGTTAATCTAGAGTTTTAGATATTAGGTTTACTAGGTACATCTTGAAAAAAATTTAAAGTAGAAATACGTCAATTAACATTAATTTAATCGAAAAATATAAGCGGGCCTATTTTAATAAGCTACTTATTTTAAAAAATATATTTTTTGTGAAGCAAAGTGTAGTTCTAATTTGAACTACACTTTACTTCACCTTTATATAGAATTGCGACGTGACGTAATATTTCTGTAAAATAAATATTATTATGAGAATGCTGTATAAAGAAAATACAAAAAGTCGTCTCTTACATTTTTAATTTCATTAATTATAATGAATAAGCATATTCACTTAATGAATAGTGCTGTTGAAGTTCTACTTCAAAATACAGTATATGTCTTGGATTAGATTAGATATTGAGAAAATGAATTAGACTTTTCAATAATAGAATTTGTTAACTTCATGATATAATTTACATAATGTTCATAATCTGTTTTTTATATTTTCAGTTTAATTTAGCATGTCAAGATTGGAAGCGAACCTTGGTGGGCACAATTCATAATATTGGTATGCTCGTGTCTCTGCCTATCTTCGGCTTTATATCAGACCGGTTTGTTGTTTATAATATAAATAGAACTGGTAATTTTCAATCGATGCATTGTATTAACAACACCTGATTTATTAATACACTAAGATAAAACGAGCATCAAGGACATAATAAATAATTTCAAATAACACGAAAAATTTATGTTTAAAGTTAGTAAGCCATATATGTAAGGTACACTTGACATACATACCATGGACAACACAAAAATATCATAACCAAATACCATCATCAAAATATATGTGTATTGAGCTGTATATATATTTGTAAATTTTTTCTGAATAATGCTTTTAATATAATCCCATATTACTTTAAATGACTCGTAAGAAATCATTTATGCGATTAAATGTAGATATAAGAACCATGACTCGCTAGCTGCTAATATTGTGAAATAATAAATATATCTTGACACATTCCAACTATAACTTATTTAATATTAAATAATTTTGTAATAAGTTGCTTCTGCTTTTATAAATAAATTAGTTTTGTAATACATTAGTGACATATTAAAAAAAAATTGGAATTTTAGCGATTTTTTAAGTTATTAACGGCTATAAAATATATGCTTATTCCAGCCGTAATACCTTATTGTGTGATTTTTATAAATATTAGTAGAATTTTTAATATATTTTTTATCTATTCTTTTTATGTAGATGGGGACGCAAGCGTGCCTTAATATTAAGTTCCTGTTTGTTAGCAATTATAGGCACTATGAAAGCATTTTCTATCTCATATGAAATGTACGTAATAGTGGAATTTCTCGAAACCGTCGCTGGCGCAAGCACCTTTCCTGCGGCCTATGTCCTCAGTATGTATTAATATATATATATATAATTAAATTTAACCGAAAGAATTATTTGATATAGATTTTTTAATCTTATATTTATTTTTTAGCTATAGAATTGCTGGGACAAAATAAACGCGTTTTGACGACAGCATTTCTGGGTATAATGTTAGCCCTTGGAGGAATAAGTTTTGCTATGTTTGCAAAAACCTTTCCATATTGGAGAACTTTTATCTTAGTGGTCTATCCACCGTCTCTACTTTTTCTCTCGTATATATACTTCTTACCGGAAAGCATCAGATGGCTTTTATCAAAGGGACGTAAAGAAGAAGCATTTAAAATAGTAACGAAAGCTGCTAAAATGAACAATGTAACACTTTCCGATGAAACTATCCGACAATTTACTGTTGAAGAAAAACAAACCAAAGACGTAAAAACAGAAACAAACGAAGAAGAGAAGCAAGGTTTATGGGTGCAAGTTATAAAATCCCCCCATTATTATGACTCGTTTGGCGATTTGTTCATGGTGGTGGATAACGTGTACCTTTGTATTTTATGGTCTGGCAATAAATTCTGTATCTCTGGCTGGAGATAAATACACCAACTATATGTTAGTTAGCAGTGTAGAAGTTATTGCGGTAGTCACAAATGCCTTGGTGTTGGATAGAATCGGTAGAAAGAAAACTTTAATGATTGCTTTTCTTGTATGCGGAGTTTCTTGTGGGTCGATTGCATTTGTACCCAAGAGTAAGTATAAAACGTGAGAATAAAATGTAACGAACTACATATAAATATAAAATATATATTTTAATAAACGTTTCTTGTTTAAGACATACCCTGGTTGGCAACTGTCTTGTACTTGGTGGGCAAAATAGCCATTACACAAGCTTTTAGTGGCATTTATATGTATACATCAGAACTTTTCCCGACCCATGCGCGGCAGTCACTGCTTGGATTTTGCTCTATGATAGGAAGAATTGGATCCATTGTTTCACCTCAGATGCCTTTACTGGTAAAATGGCTATTATTTTTAATTAAATAAAATTACTAGGGAGTATTTTCTAAACTAAACGACTTAAAATTATTCATTTAAAATTATTGTTTTCTTAAAGAATCACAAACATATCATTACAATGAATAAAAATAACATATATATATTTTGATTAACTACATCAATGAGTTTATTTTTACAGGCTATTTATATTGACTGGCTGCCATCAGTGCTTTTCGGGGCCACTGCTATAATAGCTGGCGGCCTAATGATGACTACCCCTGAAACACTTAACACTAAACTTCCAGATACAATAAAAGAAGCCGAACTTATAGCAAGCAAAAAAATAAATCCCAAAAGTGCTGACATACAATTAACATAAAAATCCTAAAGAAAGTGACATTAACAACATGGTGAAAATAGAAATTAATTAAAAGATGTACAAATAATAATTAGTAAGAATTGTGATAAAAATATTACATTTATATTATTTATTGACAAAATTACAAATTATTACGAAATTTTCCGCGATAAGTTTGTAATAATAATAAATATTATTCCCTAATATTATTATTGACTTTTATCTATGTAATCGATAGAATATTTGTTACTATTAATAATATATGTATTATTATCGATTAACTTTTGATGTAGAAATATTGATACATTTACATTTTAGATGGAGGTTTTAATAAAAGGTAAAGAAGCTTCTTGAACGCTTGTATACGCTGGATAAACTATTGAGCAATGATAAATATACATACTGCACCATTATGTAACCCACATACGTATAGCACCAATACTCAATATTAAAAAACGTTGAAGTTCAAGTTTCCAAAACTTACAATGTTACAATTTTAATATTTTTTCCAAAATTTACATTGATAAGTAATTTGTATGATATTTTAATGAAATTATGTTGTCGAAATTAGCCTACATTGAATATAAAAAAATACAAGAATTCCATGCATAGCAATCTAGAAGATATTATACAAGTAGCCTATTATCACAACCTATTTTTACCAAAAATAATAAGTGTATCCTGTTAAAAACATTAAAAAATTTAAAGGGACCTATTATTTTCTAATAATATATTGTTGAGGTCTAAATACTTACATTCTTGCTTTTCGTAGAATAATTATTCTACGTGTAAATAGCGTTTACGAATTACAAAATTTATTGAGAATTAGAAATTATGAGAAAGAATTGTTGTTAAATTTTCAAACATCGTTATTGCGAAACATAGGCCAAATCCTCATAAACAAGAGTTGATCGTAAACCTACTCTGGAGTCCCGATTTAAACTAGTATCCAGAAGCGATCGCCCGCGATGGTCGCTTACGGAGTTCAGTTAATTAGTCAAATGTATTTCATTTATAAAATAAACATAAAATTTAAACTTTAAAGTTTAAAAAAAGGTTTAAAGATATAGAAATTTTTCATAACAATAAAAAAAAAACAATAAATAAATGCTTGTGTTCAATTAAAATATAAGAATATTTTATTTAAAAAATTAACGATTTAGTGAAATTTTTATTTCTTTGTAAGTATAAATATTATTAATGGCAGATACAACTAAATACTAAGGTACTCTTTCTTAGTATACCCTCTTCAATGTCTATGTTTAAAGAATATTTATAATCAGAGTGTTAGATAGAACTTATTTTAATTTGAAAGGATAATTATAAAGTTCGAGAGTCCAAGGAGTTAAAAAGATGTCCCGGAGAGAGACAAGAGTAGAACGTGCTGTGTGTCCACCACCTCCACCCAGCAAGTGCGCTAAGGTGATATGATATGAGCAGTAAATTTAATTATTGTACACATTTACCTCTACATATGTATAAATTTGCCTGCAAGCTTCTTGAGTTCTACTTTGAATCATTAAAAAATGGAACATAAAATTCCACACACCTAGTTTTTTATGTAGAAATCTCATTTTTCAACGTAAATTGACATAAACGAGAGCGTAGCAATAAATCAAAATAAAAATGAGGTGTGGTGAATGATTTGATTCTAAATATATTTTTTCAGAATGTAGTTATTTAGTTTTGTAAATATTCTGTTGAGAACCCAATCATCAATAATAATTATTTATAAATCCTATTCATTTAAGAAGCTCCAGGTTTTATAGGACATAATGTACAAATTATATCAAATTACCTTTTAGGTGCTGTATTACACATGGAAGCTATGTTCTGTGGTGTTTTCGCACTTTGTAATGATTAGTTTGGTGATAGCTTACTGTATTCTTGGAGCTGTGACTTTTGAAAAACTAGAGGCGCAGAATGAAAGAGAGGTAAACTTTACTAACTTCATACGCATTCTTAAATATAACCAATTTATTCAAATAATTTATACAATGTTAGCAAGTAATAAAACAAAAGGCGCAAAAATGTGTTATTGCTATTTAAAAATGGGGATTAATTACGATATTGCATATTACTTAAAGGTTAAGAAGAATATCTCACAAATACGTGGCAATACCACTCATAGTATTTGGTTCATGACGAACAGAGTTACATATCTCAATCAGACAAACTGGACTGCAGAAGTCGTCGATATGTTGAAGGTTGGATATTAAAATCTTGATGTATTTAAACCAAAACAAAGAATCAGTTTTCATGCTGTTAATTTTTCTGTTTTAATGTATAAAATTTTCATAGGATTTTGAAAACGCTATTCTCTTAGAGATGAAAGTTCGTGGTTGGGATGGAAACGAGAGCACAGAACAGATACAATGGACCTTCACTGGAGCACTCTTTTATTCGATTATTGTTATTACTACTATAGGTAAGTACGATATTCTTGATATTAGGTTATTGATTTTAAGAGTTATTATACATTCTTTCATATTCAAATTTTTATTATTACTACATCCTAAATATTTTTATGATTCCATAAGTTTCATTTAACTAATTAACCAATTGAATCAGATACATCTTATAATGACATTACTAAAAGGTTTCTGGAATCAAAAGAAAGGAAATGTTCATGATACTGTTTTATTTAATGGAACTCAATAGTGAATCCAGAAAATGTTTAGTTCGAGTTATTCCTGCATAGCAATATTATATCAAAGGAAGTCTTGCGCGGGAGCAAATATTGGCTGGCGGCCAGATTGCCTCTATACATCAATTTTTTTATATTTGGATTTTAAATTGTGACGAATTTTGTGACCGAGAATATTTACCTTCTAACTGTAACTTTTTTCGCATTTACAAATATTACACTTCCAGTATGAATGTTTCGTTTATTATTATTTATGGTTTAGTTTGATTATAAAATAAAAAAGACAAAAAATGTAGGGTTTTCAACTAAATAATATCGACTGAAATAAATAATTACGAAACAAAGATTCATCAACAAACAGGATTGGAACTTACAAACATCCAATTTCAATTATTTACAATATTTTAATGAGCAATACATGAACATTTAGTTTTATTTAGCTTGTTTACAGAATCCGTTAATGATAATTTTGTGTCATTATTCTTGCGACGAGAACAGCCTGGAAAATGTAATAGTGAAATTTACAAACAATTTTCATTTATTTTTTGATGGATGAAGAAAGCTTACGTATAATATAAATGAACATATTATGTAAACACTTAGACTATATATACAATTATACAAAATTGCAAACTTATTATTATATACAACTACACATACTTGCAAAACTACAGATTTTCGTTACTTCGTTAATACGGTTACATTTGCCGCAATTTTTACTTAAACCCATCACTACTAGCACTCAATTAGTCGTAAACAAGAGTGTTGCTAATATTAAATAGTCACTAGTTTGACATTAAGTTAGTATTTTCACAACATAACACTTATTTACCGAAGTTTCTTGGTCCTATTTGACCGGTAGGGCCACCTGGACCTACGAGTATTTGTCTTCCAGGACCAATAATACCAGTTGGCCCACCAGGACCGACTAATAGCCCAGAGCCTTGTGAAGATTGGTATCTGGTAGGTCCTATAATACCGGTTGGGCCTCCGGGTCCAACTAGTATACCTTGGCGTCTTGGTCCTATTATACCTGTAGGACCGCCAGGGCCAATGAGAATTGGTTGCCTGTAGATTGGTCCAATAAATCCGGTAGGACCCCCAGGGCCCACTAACACTCCTCTTTGAGCAGATGCGCTTTGTCCCAATTCTCTATTGGGACCGTTTTGGCTAATCAGAACATTTTTTCCAATTTTATCATTCGATGGTCCTATTATACCAGTTGGTCCACTAGGGCCCACAAGAACAGGTTTATTGATTCCAATATTTCCGGAGGGTTCATTTGTCACCGTTGGCCTTTGTGGTCCAATAATTCCCGTGGGTCCATTTGGCCCTACAAGAATTTGTGGTTTTGGTGCGCCATTGAAAGGTGTTTGAAAACTATTTTGTTGTTCAAATCTTGAATTAAATAATATATTATTGTCCGCATAAGGCCGTTGTGAAAATGAGCCTGATAACTGTTCTCGGTTAGGAAGAAGCATTGGGCGATCTCCATTAATTTCATTAAAGTAATCTAAAATATGAAAAACAGGTTTCAGCGTTATTATTTAGTCTTAATGTTTTTTTGAAATATATTTTAAATAATATTTATAAAATAATTATACCTGACTGATATGGATTTAGGCGATTATAACAGCAAAGATATTTGTTCGGACCGCAAGCATTCTGTTAAGAAAATAATATTAATATTTTAGCATAATTAAAGTTGAGGTTGTGTAGTTAAATTACATCATAGTTATAATTTTGCAACTTCAATGTATATAATTTTTGAGTCATTTATTATTTTAACATTAAAATTATATTTTTTAGTAATTTAAAATACTATTTTACTTACTGCAGAGTCGGTCTGTATTTGACAATCAGGCACGGTAACACACTTACAAAACTGTAATGAATCTAACGTACCATCTGATTCATATCTTTGGTTTCTGAAATAATAAATGATTTTGAGCATAATTCAAGTAGTCATAAATTATTGTAGAATCCATAAAACTGTACATAAAAATTTCTCTTACTTGTTTCCTCCCTCAACTCGTACAGGATAACGTCCGGAGTCAGACGGTCTGTTATAAAAGCCTTCAGTATCTTTGGGTCTCTCGAAAGGAATCTCATCTGCTTGCGTATTTCCACGGTTACCCCTAAAATCGAGATCACACATAAGACATGCATAGACAATATTAGTAGAAGGTAATTTTAAATCGAAGAAAGAGATGCTATAATGTTTGTTTTTGCAAATAAACTAAATGTTCGTTTAAGTGCTCGTAATAAAGTTATTCCAAGGTCGTATTCTATTTTGTAAGTTTACATCACTCTTGTTGGTAAGTAAAAGTAATGTTTGCATAACATGACCAGCAGTATCGATTGTTGAACTGTTGCGGTTCAAAGACGTTTGCCAATCAGGTAAAATACTTAGTAATGGTTCCATGTTTTTATTATAATGTATTTTTTTACATGATATGTGATTCAATAATACATAGGAATATTTTAAAATTCGTACTTGTCACTATAATCAACCTTGAAAAAACCAACAAAAAAACTCTGCTGTTCCTATTTTCAGAACAATTTACTATATTAAAGACAATATTATATTGAGACCAAGTTTACAAAGCTATACAGTACACTTTTATTAACAATTGTTTTTTAATATGGAAAGTTACGAATCTTTAAAATTTTTAGAGATAGTAATTAATTTTATTATAAAAATATACTTTTATAGCAACCTATAATTTTTTTTACCTTTTGGAGAACAAACCTTCAAGAAATGAGTACGTATTTTTAATGTTAGTCTAACATCGTTTTTTTATCTTATTACATATTCATAATATTCACATGAAATGATAAAGCTGATAGGAAGAGAATGAAATTTATATCATAATTGCTTCATTACGAATATTTTAAAGTAAACTTGACTATAATAAATATTATCTCGTGATACTGTTCACTCAACTGAAATTTTTAATGAATAAAAAAATAATAAAAACTAATATTACTTAATAACTAATTAACTCTAATGCAATGAAGCAACTGTATAATTTTAATACTTTATCTTTCGCAATCTTTTGCCGGCCCCGCTCTATTAGATTGTGGTATTCCCCAAACTAAATAAGTTAGATTAAATAGTTGATTGACATTAAACTATTTCTTTCATTTTTGATTATTACTTTTAAAAATATTGTTTTTATTTCTTTTTATAAGGAATTATCCATTATAATATTGATACCCTTTCAGTTATTAATCCTTAAGTTTTGTGAAATTTATAATTTATGAAGCAATAATTTTTCTCTTTTAATTAAATTCTCTAATATATGAATTTTTCAAATTAGGACATAGTTAACTCACCACTCTTTGGCGGAACCTAAATGTACATATGTGTTCGAGATTTATGACAGCAATAAATACTTTAAATATAAAGTCACTTCAAAATACTTTCAATAACGTTATGGAAATCTAATAATATGTTGTTTGTTAATACATATTTTAAAAAAATTATCATGTACATGCATGCTGTAATCATTTAGATTAAGAGTAAAATATTAAATGCAAATAAGGTACTTATAATAAACCTAGATAATATTTACCACGCAATCTTATTCAATGTGTGATGATACGTAATAGGCATTGTTATTAAACAATTTGTGAGATGCAGCAAACCCGGCCAAGGTGCCGAAACTCACTGGTGTGGAACTTTATATATCCACTTTGTTCTATGTATTGAAATATTTTTTCCTTTTTACTTACGAAATTAAGGTATCTTTGGCATTTGGATGTTACGAAGAAAGGTGTTTTGAATTTATTGCTTTTAATTAAAAATAATTTAATGATAACTTAAGCGTACCTTTTATTGATATCAGATTTAGAATCGATGAAGGCTACTTTAGAATCAATGCGCACACTATCTTCAGCTGCCATGTCAGGCCAGCGCCAACTTTCAGCGCTGACTACGATGACAAATAATGAAATAATACCTGCAAATTAAAAAAAAATATATGAAAACACTATAAAATATATATGTGTGTATTTACCATTGTAAACTATACTTCTAAAACATGTGGACTAGTAATTATATAAGATTGAGTGACATCATGGCATTGTCTTCTATAATAACATCCTATATTCAACCATAACACGCGAAGTGCACTTACTTGTGACTCACTTCAATACAACCCTTCGATGCTAATGCAAAACAATGTGTTCTATCTAGTTCAGTTATTGCATTTTAATTATGACTTTAAACAAATGTCGCATTAAATGATGTTTTTTTTAGATTCTTGATCAAAAGTATATTTAAAACATATTTTTTATTTTTTTGGTTATACATTAATTTTAGTATTTTGAAAATATTATTATGTACTTTTTTATATAAATGGCTATATCTGAGGCCATTAGATCTTTAAACGACATGTTAGTATTATTACTGTGGACGTGATAGACATTTTAATATTTGATGAAGAAGCCGACCGAAAATCTTACAACGAGAGTATTTTTTTGTACGTAGGATTCTTTTAAATTTTATTCAGAGACATGATCTATGCATTTATTTTTAAGATATACACTTTTCCAAATAATGAATTGTTACTCAATACAGAAGTTGAAATATTTTGGATGTCTGATATAATAATCAATCACAAGACAATACTACTCGATAAAAAGACAGAATTTGATGGGACTTTATATGCTTCATATACTTTAAGCTTGAAGCTTTCGTAAGATGCAAATATTCAAATGACCGAAAATGAAATTTTAATATTAGTGGTGACTCATAATTAGAAATATAAATTAACGAGTCCAAAGTACTGTAAATGTTTTACGCATTTTATTCGTATAATCAGTTCTAATATTAATACAATTTAGTTACGTTAGGTTTTAATTTTATCTATAGACCAATTAGCAGAATATGAGTAAGTATATTTGCGCCACATGTTTTGTGTACTAATTGATTAAGTGTTCTTTATATTAAGGTTTTTTCAAAGTTATGAATGTTGTCTGGATTTATACGATATTTTATCATAAATATGCAAAACAACATAATTGCCAGAACTTTAATCCTTATAGTCAAAATATAAACAACATAAATGGCATGTCGCAAGGTTGACCATTAAATAAAATTTTGGAGTTCGAAGTAGGTCAAGGCTGTATTATTGGTTTCAAAGTGGTTTTTGATGTTGTTCGATAATAAAGGGTCTTACGAATTATAATTTAAAAAAAGAAATGAATGAAGCAAAGAAAGCATTAGTTGTTACACGTACGTGAAAGCTTCTATAGTTATTAAAACAATGTACATATATTTTTATCTTTTATTTTGCTTAATTATATTTAATAGTTAATAATCAAGTGTACTTACCCAATAACATTTTTGTAATATTAATTTAAGTAGTCATAACAAAATAAATGATAACAATAATTGGTAATTTAAGTCGCGGGCGCACCCGGTGCTAGCAACTGCAAGACTGTGTAGCTGCGACTGCCCACCTTAACATCTTATTAAAGTTCTTTTCATTGATAGTTATACTAATGTTAATCTTTTTGTACTGTTGCGAAAATATTTCAAGGAAAATGGCTGATGACTCACGTAACAGATTAATTGCTCTAGATAATGATCGGGAAAATAAATAATATATATTGGAAATCTAACGTTGTGGACCTATTTTTCTCAAAGCAATAATATTTTCGTTTGATAAAATAAATTAACTGGCAAGTTCCTAATTCTTACGTAACGCAATTTTAAATATGATTTGTATTTAAAAATATTTGATAATTTTTTAAACGAGAAAAAAATATGTTGAAAATACTATTTAATCGATTTATTTCTATGACTAATAAAATGATGGATCATGATATCAAGCGTTTTCTTACAGTTTAAAAATAATAAACGTCAATTTAAATAAATAAATAAAAAATAAAAGGTAAAATCTTTTAAAAAAGGACGGATTATAAGAAACCTATAATATTAGATAAATAAGTTGTACGCGAAGGTTGTTTCGCCATAACAGGATTTTAAAGTTGGGGAAGCCCTAAGGTCTTGGTGACCCAGATATTCGGTTTTAACCACCTCGGCACCCGATGAAGTATCTTTGCTAGAAATGTCATTTAAATAGTTTAATAGCAATACTTTATTAAATTGCTCACTTTTAATGATATCATTTTGAATGGATTCTTAAAAAATATTGTCATTAGCTTGAAATAATTGTTTTATTCCGTTTGCTTCAAGGTTCAATCCAAGTTGATCAAATGTGTGCTTTTGGGTATAGGAATAAATTTAGACTCTAAAACTTTTTTGACATTGTTTGAGATACGAATGATATTTGCTTCATTGAAAATCACGCAGCGTATTATTTCTCTTGCCGAATAATTAACTACACTTGCTTCTTACGTTTACTTGTTAAAAAATATTTTTTATGTTCACATTAAATATGTAATACAATAACTATTTATGTAATAATTATACAACAAAATATTATTTTAACAAAACATTATCATGAAATCCAGATATCAGTTATCATTTTGTTTAGTTGATTTTTTGTATTAATTAAAAATTATATAAACTTTTTAATTTTTTATCAAATTGAGATCAAACTTTAAAAAAATAAATAAAATGAAATAAAATTTAAAATATTTCATAATTTTATGATATTATTATAAATTTTCATTTTCTTTTAAATAACATACATAACATAAATGACAATACAGTAGATTTTTTTATATACATATATAATTTTTAATTTATTCGAAAAAGTGAATAGTAAACTAGTAACCACGATTTAAAGAATGTTAACAGTTATAATTTATTTCCTTAATACATCAAAAAGTAGATTGCATCGGCCGGGAATCGAACCCGGGCCGCCCGCGTGGCAGGCGAGCATTCTACCACTGAACCACCGATGCTTGATAGATAACACTATATTTTCAACAATATTACTTTGGTTTTCTTGTCTATTTGATAAATATTCACAATCTCATTGCGTTTTTAACCTAGAAGCGCTTCTACTTTACTACTTATATTCTTTATTGTATTACTATGTAACATTCTGTGTAATTACTTTATAAATTACAAATTTCTTAAATTATATATGTCGTTGCAACAACATTTAAAACCCTTACAAGGTGTAGTTGTTTCATAAGTATTTTACTTTAGAGAGTAGATGTGACATAAACAAATCACTAAAGCCATTGCGTTATGTAGTGATTTTATTTAACAAAATTATTTATTCTAGAGATCGTTGTATGATTTGTATTAAAGAACAGTAAAAGTTAAATCGTCCCGTGATTTGTAATATGTGACGTTTAATCGTTCTGTAACTTTTAGTAAAAAGACAACTTAATTAATAACCAATACGTAATCAATGTTAAGCAATTATATTTTCTATAAACTGTTAAATTGCTATTTTAAGATTGGATGTTTTAATAATCCATTACTAAAACTAATGCAAGATTATCTAATTACAATTGCGAGTAAAAGTCTAAAATAAGGTAGTGACAGGGTTTGTGAGTGTATTAATAGTAAAATGAAAATGGAAGATGGATAAGCTGACTGTTGAAAACAGTGATTGTGACGGCAGCATTGAAGACGTCACACTTCTTAAAAGTCAAATATGATAAGGTTCTTCGACATATATTATTATGTTTTCCTCAAGAAATGGTCGAATATTAAAACCTTTTGTATCTTATTTTGAATTAAAAAATAAAACGTATGATACTTTTTGCTATTTTATTGAATCAGGCTCTAATTCTAGATACATATTTAAAACTTTAAATCATACTACAATGTACTGTAATTTAAATATGTTTAGAATAATAGGTAAAATGTTTTAAATTTTAATTAGGGTATGGTCACATCGCTCCAAAGACACAGACAGGAAAAGTTGTGACAATTTTTTATGCGATTCTTGGTATACCTTTGATGTTGCTCTGTCTTTCCAATATTGGTGACGTCATGGCTTCATCCTTCAGGTACGTAAACATATGATATGTTATTATTGTTATTAATATTATTTAAATAATTTTACTTCTTAATATTATCTTCCAGGTTTTTGTATTGGCGTGTTTGTTGTTATGTTTGCACTCGACCACCGAAACAAAGACGTCACCATCACAGGTAGTACATATTTATTGACATTTTACAGGGTGTCTAAGTGTCAATAAAAAAACGTTTTTAATTAAAATAAACTAAATATTACAGATATAAAACCGCTAGAGGTGGAAGCATGCGAGGTTCTGTGAGACGTAGAAAACCGTTAGAGAGATCACATTCTGATACTGATTGCCGGTTGGTAGTTTTATAAACGTCTTAGGTGTTACTAAGATCACAATATATAATTACTGTGGCCATAAAAACTTCCTTCAGATATCGTGATAGTGGGTATAGCAGCGCGAAACCACGTCGTGCTCGTCCCTTCCCAGCGGCTGTTGCCAGTCCACCCCGAACTAGATCACAACCACCTTTAAATTCCAGACCTGGTAAATTCCTTCTTGAAACTAGAGGTCTTCATCAGTAGTTACGGTCTTATATAAACTCTAGTACATATTTGATGTAAAAATTATTATGATTATTCGTGGATTTTAAATTATGCAATTATTATTAATATATAATCTTCGTGTCATCAAAAGAGATTGTCACATGCTAAGTTTTGTTATGACAAAATTCAATTATTGTTTTTAATGCTTGCGTCAGATAAAATTCGATCATAATGGACATTGTTATGAATATTCTTCCTCTTTGTTTTTTCCTTCAGGTTTAAGAGATTTTGAATTAGAAGATCGATCCCCTGTTAGATATGAAAAATATGGAAGGGAACCATATCAAGATGATGAAGGTTATTCTTATATTTATTTGATAATTGGTAGAAATTGTCCATTCAACTAAAATTTATTATTATTTTTCAGAAGATTTTCCAAAAATTTCTTTACCTTTACATGACTTGCATGCTGCCCTCAAAGATTTGGAAGATTATCAAAGTAAGGTCACTTCGAAACCAGAATTTCGAAGCAAATCTTTACCGAGACCATCAAAATCGAAACCAGATTTTGGACCTCGACGTGATTTTGATGACCAAAGACATTTTGATTTTGAGGAGGAAAAAGAAATTTATGAAATGCATGATCTACATGATGTTGATTATGAGAATTATAGAGAGAGAAAAGCGAAGGAAGAAAGAGAGAGAAGACGTAGAGAACGAGATGATTATATATATAGAGAAAGGGATTATGATCCTGAAGATGATGATTTTGAGTTTGACATACCCAGAAACAGAAGAGTAGCCATGGAAAGAAGGTAGTATTATGATAAGTACGACTGTAAACGATAATAGAAATGTAGCGCTCGGGTCAAAAATATTCATGTAATTGGTTAAAAGAATTTTCGTGGACAGAAATAAACAGAACGATAGGCTTTTGTTGAATATGGTGCATAAAATCTTAGAAAACTTTTTCCTCATTTATAAATAGTTGGGAGCTAAAATTGTAAGGTTTCCAGAGATGAAAAATAATATATAACGTATTTTTATCATACACAAAATATTAAATCTAGAAAAGACAAATAGAGTAGCAATAATATGATGAGTTTAGTTTTTTTTTAATATTTTCCAGATTTATGTCACTTATATTATAATGGCATGTCATATATAATACACTGGTATATTTTTAAACCATAATAAATTCCTAAATTAAACAAAGGTTGTACAGTTACAACGATAAAGAGAAATTTCAATTGTAATGGAAACTCAGTTCCCGTTACAATTACATTCATCAAGATAAATCTACATATCCTAAAATATAAAACTGTAATATCTTATTACAATAATAAATGTTGGCTTTAAGTTTTCAGTTGTAAAACCTTAATATTTCAAGCTAGTATACCTATATTTCTCTTCAGAAGAGATCGAGGAAGATCAGAATATATAGAAAGAGATTTAGAAGAATTCACTGATAGACGTGGGCGTGGGAGACGTGCTAAAAGTGCCGTAGACTACGAACGCCGATGGGAAGAAGATGTTAAAGATGTCGAGAGAGGTCATGGGCGAAGATTACGACGTCTGCATACTGTAGATGATAGTGTACCGTTGCCTTATAGATACGTAAGAAAAACAATAATGTCCTCATAAATAATACCATCTATATTATAGAAACATGGATATATCGACTTCTTTTGTTTCTCTTGTCTATATGTAGACGCCGACACCGGAAAGAGATGACTATAGTGACGAGCTACCACCATTACGACGCGATCGCCCTGCGGGTTTGTCCATGAAATATTTACTAATAGCTTATAAAATATAAATATTTATTACTATACTTATATAAATATTTCAATTTAAATAGCTTGGGGTTCCCGTCAGTCAGAAATATATGCTGTATCAGTTAAGGAAGAAGTGAGTATTTTATATAAAATATATTTATTTTTTGTATAAGCAAGATTAAATGTTGTTCGTGTCTTTATACTCGTATATGAGTGTTATAAACAATACAACATACTAGTTCTTTCAACATGCTGATTGGTTTGAATAGATTCAGATAAACGTTACTGTTACGAATATACAAATATGTAACTTGATGAGACGTGTAGTAGACAGAGGTATTATTGAAATTTTGATATTTAATTTATAAAGATATAAATATTTATTTTGCAATATTACTAAGAAAATTTAAATATCAAATAAAAATATTTGAGAAATTACATTCCTTTTTTAGCTTTATGGGTTACGCGTATAAAAATTGAAACATATATTGTTTTCTATTATACTAAATTGTAGAACAAATATAACTTCTACATTATTTTCGTCGAATACTATAAGGCTGGATCTACACTATAAGTTCGATCATGGCCTATTCGCTGTCCAGTCTCGGTGTGTAGGTCCAGGAACAATTTATTCATTCATATACTATCCTTAACAGTCCCAGTTAATTCTCATTCCAGTCACGATTCTTGACGTTTTTTTTTGAGCAAGATCGAACTTGTCACGACATGTCATCAATAGTTTGAACTTTCAGTTATTAATATATATAAAATCATGAAATTGAAATTATGAGGTTTATTTTATCATAATTATATTATGTCAATATGATTAGATATTACCTGTATGAAATCAGAATGTGAAAGAGTCGTGGTCAACCTTATAGTGTGGCTCCAGCCCAAATGATAGAAACACCATTTTGAAATCTCATGATTTAAAACCTGTTATATGTCTTATAGTGAAGAATTTATATTATAGATAAAACCAGTACCTATTTGGCTTTGCGTGTTTCTCGTGGCATCCTACATAGTAGCTGGCACGTTCCTGTTCAAACGATGGGAGAAATGGGAGTACCTTGATGCCGCTTACTTCTGTTTTATAACCCTCACTACTATTGGTTTCGGAGATTTCGTACCTGCACAGGTAAGCTGCTATCGTTTTTATATATATATTTTATTACTTACTATTACACTTCGTATGTAATTTGATTATGCTAATGTAATAGGTAAATATTCTTTTAAATGAAACTAATATTTTTCGGATTTTACTTCGCGTTTTATTTTGGATAACTACATACTCCCGACGTTTCGGCTACTTTTCAGCAACCGTGATCACGGGCAGACGAGATGTGAGTGTCTGTCAGTTGGTCTGGTCATTTTATCTCCTACCGCCATCGATTTCTTAATTGTCTTGCGTACCGCTCTGGATGCCGGCAAAATGCGCTCACGGTGTCTCGAGGTCCTGCGGTGTGGTCACGGACATGGGATTTTATATTTTTAAGAAGAGGATTGGGATCCTCCACCAGGAACACCTGGGGGTGTTTGATAGGTTCCAGCCATCTTCTCTATTGAAATTGGGGTATTTTTTAATTTCAATAGCCTCGCGGATTAACCTTGGTATATATCTGTCTTCACGAGCGAGGATATGTGGTTGATCAAATCTAATGTAATGGCCTGGTTTGTCCAATGCATGTTCGCACACTGCTGACTTCGACGCGCGCCTATTCCTGACGTCTGAAATGTGTTCCTTAGCCCTTGTACCGATGCTTCTCTTTGTCTGTCCGATGTATGACAAGCCACAGTCACAATCAAGTTTATATACACCCGCTTGTTGTAAAGGAATGTTACTCAAGAGTACCAAAATAAAACGCGAAGTAAAATCCGAAAAATATTACTTTCAATTAAATGAGTACTCGCGAAAATCTTAGATCTCATTAAATATTCTTTTAGATACCATTTTTATATCAAGCGATCAGTGATATAAGTTGCAGATAGTAATTATATATTTTTTAATTCGTTTAATTATGAATTAAATTTATTGATAATTCGATAACAATCTTCATAGAATATGTAATTATAATTTCCTTGCAGGGCCAGAGTGGAGCAGCGGGGGATGCAGTTCATTCCATAGCTCTTTGTTCTTTATATCTTCTTTTCGGTATTGCTCTTTTAGCAATGTCGTTTAATCTCGTTCAAGAAGAAGTAAGAGCAAATGTTGCCGCAGTTGCGATGCGACTTGGAATTATCAAACCTAGAAATAATGATGATAATTATTAAGTTTATATCATTAGGTTCATTGAATTTAATGTAATTTGAATAGTCTTATGTAAATGAATAATTTTGATAGACTTTTAAAAATGTATATTAAATGAAACAAAATAGTACTCTATTTTTTTCTGCTAAATATTATTAAAACAGTTAAATATATTTTAGAAAATTATAAATGTTATATTGCACTTTTATAAAAGTTGGTTAAATGTAAAAAATCTGTGATTGATATAAATGAAATATTTTTTTATATACATATATTACATATGGCGTTACGATAAACAAGATTGGTTGTAGAAATTTAATTCAAAGTAAAAAAATATGGAGAGAAATGAATTACAAAAAATTATTTTCATTTTCTTTGAAAATCTCTCAAAGCAATGCTAATACGTTATACGAGTAGAAGACGAAATAATAAAAAACCATGTTTCAAATTATGAATGACACTCTCATTTAAAAACAAACAAAAAGCATGTCAACTAGATACGTGGTTTTGCTCGTTTTAATGTACAACGTTATTTTGCAAATTAAAAATATTACACGTAATTATTATTTAGTAGCTTATTTTATCAGAGATTATCTGCTTTGACAGATGGTTGTAAAAGTACAATAATTCTTAATCAATTAAATGTCCATGAAAATCACATGATAAAAACGAGACAATAAAAATAATGTATGTATATCAGAATTAATATCATATCAATAATAATATCAGTTATCTATACTGAACTAAATCCTATTATTACTCGCAATAAAATTGAATAATACGTTGCTAAAGCTTTAAATTGTGTTCGTTGACGCAATTAGCACCTCGTATTTTTCTAAATTAAGATTAAAGAGGTGCTAAAAATGTCTAGTGAAGAAAGTGGTGATGTGGAAAAGGGGAAGACAAATATTGATCTAGACAATATTCTAGTAGAGGAGGTTGGACAAATCGGGAAGTATCAAATTGTAACAGTACTCTTGGCTGCACTTCCAGTTATATTTTCTGCTTTTGCCTCCGGTGAATACATTTTTACAACTGCTAGGATACCTTCCAGGTAAATAATCACTTAATTCATAATTAAAAATAAGCAATTTACTTTAGCAAAATAATCGATCAGGGGCGTTTTTAGTTTTTATTTATTCTTGAAATTATGATTGTGAAAAAACTGGTCAACCATTTGAAATAATTGGACATAATACAAAAAGAATTAACCTCAAAAAACAAGCATCGCCTAGCTCTAGTAAAGTGCTATTTCCCAAAAGATTCGTATTTATGGTCAATGTATCAAAGATGTAACAACTTTAAAGTTATAATTTAAGTTTGGGTACATGATATATCGTTTTCAGTAAGATTATATTGAGTGGAATATGTTTATTAGAAGGCATCGGATTTTGTTTTAAAGTTCTATTGCGTAATGATATTACGATAGGTAATTTTTACATCTATGTCTTAAATTTTTTTTAACAATTTTGAAGAAATTAGATTTTGCTTCTGATATTGTTAAAACTAGTCCAAAACTTTTTAAGACGTAACGTTAATCAAAGCTATTTGCATTATAGGATTGGATATTGTTTAACAGAATTAATAAATCCTACCAAAAGAAACACAATTTATTCTTACTTTAACTGCAAGTGGTTTTTTCTTGTTTTGTAATATTGTCAGATTGTCAACTATAAGTAAATGTAATGTAATGTCCACTATATATTTGAGTGTTTTATAATAACATAATACAACACCAGTAATTAATACTAATAGTAATACTAATACTACTTGTAATTATGGGAATGCTACAGTATATGGATTTTTTTAATGAAGTATACTTTTAATAATATATAAATACTAAGACCGATAAAACCTATATTAAAACCTACATGGTCAGCTCAGATTTTAGAATTATTGAACAAACAAGGTTGTTACCCATTTTGTAACGACTTTACTTCCCAAATTTACAGATATCATTTAAAAATACCTCGCTCGATATCATTTAAAAATACCTAGACAAAAAAGTTTCTTAAAGTTTAATTAAAATGGAAATGAATTAATTTACTATCCGTCAGTGTCTTACCGTCCATATTATACAGTATATGTATTTAACCAATTTTATTAATATACTTTCATATTATAACCTAGTTATTAAAGGCTGCAGGATTACCAGATCATTAATAAAATATTCAACTGAAATGAAATCCAAATACTGACAGCGGCAATTAGACAAATACGAACGTTAACATTACATACACTGATGTGTATGTGTGTTCACGCAACTTTATTACTTTTAAATTAAACATACGTAGCTAAGAAAACGCCACATTCTAGGTGCCGCATACCACAATGTGATACGGAAGATCCCATTTACGCTCCTGATTGGATTCTTAACGCAGTGCCAGGGACAAGTTTGACCGATTTTGAAAATTGTGAAAGATATGTCAATTCTTCTCAACTGCTACCTTCTACGAATGTCTGTCCAGCTGAACTATTTGATCGAACACAAACTGAACCATGTGAGGATTATGTATATCAGAATACACTGAGTGTTGTGTATGATGTAAGTTGTTGAATATATTTTTTAATTTAAAATATTTTACATACACACAGGAATGTAACTTAAATAAATAACAATTGAAGTTATAAATGTGATTATGATTTGTTATTTACATTTTATAGTTTAATATGGCTTGCGACGAATGGAAACGATCTCAAATTGGTTCAATTCGTACCATTGGAACTTTGTTGGTACTCCCTATTACCGGGTACATCTCAGATCGTTGGGGTCGTCGGGTTGCTCTTACCATAAATGCGTTTAACACTGGCTGGCTTGGTCTAGTTAGGTCGTTCGTCAATTCGTACGAATGGTTTTTAACCCTAGAAGTTATTGAATCGACAATCGGGGCTGGAGCATATTCATCGTGTTATATTTTAGGTTAGTTAATTGTTTCTTTTATAAGTAATTTCTTCTTTATATTTAGTGTTTACTAGAATCAGAATTTTATATATATTTTTAGTGACCGAGTTAGTTGGACCCAAATATCGAGTACCAGTGGGAGCAACTATATCTACAATGTTTGCTTTAGGGCAAGTAATTCTTGGTCTTATAGCTTGGGGTGTACCGTCATGGCGGCCTCTTACTCAAGTATTATACGCTCCACAACTTCTGGTAGTATTATATTTCTGGATACTTTCGGAGTCGGTTCGTTGGTTAATGAGTAAGGGACGATATGAGGAAGCCGAAGCGATTCTGCAAAAAGTGGCAAAATGGAATAATAAGAAGCTTTCAGAGAAATCACTGCAGGCATTGAGAGATACAGCTGAAGCTGAGAAATTAATTGTAAAACCTAAAGAACCATGGCTACCTATTCTAGTATTCAGATCCAAGATCATTCTCTCGAGGTGCTGTGTTGCACCTATATGGTGGATAACCAATACCCTGGTCTATTATGGAATGTCCATAAATGCCGTGAATTTATCAGGAAATCGGTATTTAAATTATGTGTATGTAGCAGCTGTAGAAATTCCTGGTTATTGGACAGCGATTCTTTTGCTAGATAGAATTGGAAGGAAACCTGTTCTGATTGCTGGTTACTGGATATGTGCTGCCTGTCAACTAGCATTCGCATTTATTCCTTCTGGTAAGTTATATTAGTTTAGTTTAATCAGTCATTTAAACTTGTATGTAGGTGAGTTTTAAAATATTTTTATAATAATTTAAAATTTTTACATTTTATTATAAACCAATAGTATTAAAAATAATATATGTAACAGTCAAGTGTGGAGTATTATATTATCGTAATCAGCTAATCTATACAGTTTTTATTTTATTTTTCAGGCTACCCGACACTGTCACTTATTTTTTATTTGCTCGGCAAGTATTGTATTGCTATCGTGATGACATCGGTATATGTATATACTGCTGAATTATATCCAACCAAGTATCGACACAGTCTCTTCGCTTTCTCTTCAATGCTTGGTCGCCTTGGATCTATTACAGCACCTCTGACACCCGCACTGGTATGTTTAATTTTTGTATTAACTCATAGATGCTTTTAAAGGTATTACCTAAACAAGGAATTATTTTCAGGCCCTTACAGTATGGGAAAGTTTGCCCTCAGTGCTTTTTGCTTCTTTTGCGCTCTTATCTGGTCTGCTTATATTCACAACGCCTGAAACTCTCGGTACTAAGTTACCAGATACTATAAAGGACGCCGAAGAACTCAGCATGAAAAGAAAATAGGTCTTGATCTCATATTTTTTGTTTTAATTCTAATATTACTGTCTACATATGTACATCATTGCTTAAAATAAATTTTATTATAATTTAAAAGGTTTTTAGCGTAGTTCTCTTATGTTAGCCACCTCCTGAGGTTAGTAAATGACGGAATACACTTAAAAATTAGTAAAACTCTTGTCAATTTAACTCATTTCGCTGTTAAATGCCATGATTGTTACATGACCTAATTATTCTAGTCTGCGTGTTCATTATGCCCATAGTATCATGTGTCGTTTTCGCCTGTATATCGACAAGTTAAAAATGCTATTTATAATGATCACAGTATTTTTTAAAAATGCTAGTATAGAACAAATAAACGAAAACATTATAATAATACCACCAAGGTGTCACTGATTACCTGAACACTTCTAATATTAACTATGCACCAAAAAGAAAATTAACTCCAGAGTTTTTTAAGCGACTAATAGAGTTCAGGCTAAGAAAAGATGAAAGACATAATTCCTATTATCAAAGGGAATTTCTCAAAAAATATTCTACACAAAAAGATAGGATGTGGTTAATAACGGGGGAAGGAAAAAAAAGAAAAGTGAGTGACAATGTGGAGAGGATTTAGAAATTGAAGTCATTTCCAGCAACTAAGAAGATACAGATTCATCTTGTAGTTTAATGATATATAGCAGTAAAAAAATGTTTATTTACTTATACAGATATAATATCGTTTTTAAATAATTTCAAATGTATAAATATTTTTGTTACAAAATATTTTTATGTTATATGTATATTTCTATGTTATCGTGTTCACTGATGAAAATGTAGAGAAAATTCTGTCACAGACTTTAAATCGCTTAGAATAGCAATACTGAGTATTGTTTAAATGTTAATGAAAGTGTTTAAAACTAATATCTTATCTATGAATAAATCAATGGAATTTTAAGCACGCTTCATAAAGATTTTAATCAAGAAGATAAAAAAAATGAGTCGATTTAATATTAAATGATGAATTATTCTTAGTCACATAATTTTCCAACTATCCACAGATAAGATTAAATTAACATTTACAAAATTTGAATTAACATTTATAAATGCTAGGAAATATTACTAAATTTATACATATATTAAACTTTTTGGAGACCGAAAACCTATTTATGATTTAGAAGAACTATCTTTATGTATCCCAGATTAAGTAGAGCTCCAGTCCTTAACTTAAGCAATTTTTAGGATTATTCAGAGACCTTAAAGCGGACAGTGTCGAAGAATTCAAATAAATAGATTTTCAAAACGTTGTTCGAGTATAAATCTGTAATAATATGAATAGATATTGCACTGTATAATTATAGTTATTTAGGGCGTTGAAATTTTTAGTAAAGCTATGTAGGTCTATATCAATTAAAACTTATAAAAAATTAAATTTGACCGAGATTTGGTCCAATCAACGTGAGCTAATAAGAAATTGAGGCAAAGTTGTTTTAACATTATACTTAAAACACGGTACACTATGATATCAATATAGACATACAAATTATAAATTAATACGTACGACTAACTATAACAATCTAATAAATTAGTTACTTTTTAAGAAATATATGCACATTACAATGACCACAGAAGTGTATGGATATTGATAATACTGATTGAATGAAATTACTATAAAAAATGCCCAAATAAATGGATTACAATATGCCGACAATGAAACTGTGGACAAAAAATAATTGATATGAAGTGAAAGTACGTAAATGTATGAATTTATATGTTTTATATTCTTAAGTCTGATAAAAATAAATGAATTTAGCCTAATTCAAAGTTTTGGTAAAATACAAGGATAAAAATTATGTACCCTTAAACTCCTACAGGAATACTAAGTCTTGAAAGCTCTCACTGTTTAATTATGACGTAATTATTTATTCACTAGATTGATATTTATTGCAACAGCGAAAAATAATGATTATACTGCAATTAACTGATGTTTTGTTATTATAAAGTTTGTGTGAGTAAATATTTTACTTTTATTGTGATTATAGACGATAACAAAATAATTGTTTATCTAGAAGTTACGTTTATTAAATTTAGGATAAAGATTAAATTTAAAAGTAAAGTTTCCCATTATAGTTATCTGGTGAAGGTTTTCTAGTTTCTTGAAATGTTCAATGGAGTCCTTTCTAAGCTGCGACATATATATTATGTCGGCAGTGGCGGTGTTACTCTATTCACGCAAAAAGGGCTGTACACCTTACATATAAAACATCTATATCATATTTAATTCCCATTAAAGTAAAAACACTGAACCATATAAAGGTCCAATTTTTTATTATCTTATGAAAACTTCACTCAATAAAAACATATCATTTGAAAAGTAGTTATCATAAAATCATAAATTAAACAGATTCTTGCAATTTATACTGTCCTTGATATACTAAAAGTTTGAAAATTGTAAAATGCACACATGATAAAATGTTCCTACCACGTGGTGGAACTAAAAAGTTTAGTAACTACATACTTATACTGTCTTGGCGACTTATAACATCGGAAGTCTGTCCAAATATGATCGGATCGCGACGACTTATTTTTTTTGGGTAGGTACATCAACTGAGTGAGAATTGAATACATAAGCCCAAGTGAGATTGCTTTATAGGATTAAAATAATCGTATTATAAATTATTTTAACTACAATTCATGTTTCTTAAAACAAAAATAAAGATTTTGTAAAAATTAATGGCGATAATTATCAATATACAGGGTGACTGGTGAATTACTATCAATATTTAAGGAGAATACTCGGTACATGATTCTCATTCGAATTATGTAAAAAAAATAGGTACTTAATTTTTGACCAAATTTCCTTATAAATAAATAAAGTGTGGACACGTTCCAAGTGTGGACGCGTGCGGCGGCGTGGTGTTGTATCAGCACGCCGCCGCACGCGTATGTGTGTGTGTGTGTATACCTAATCTGTAGGGTGTTCACACGATGCGTAATTAATAACATAACTTTTGGTTAACTTTACTTAGAAGTTTATTAATATTTATGTTATATTAATTTTTATTTTGTCATATATGATCGTCAAATATCACGTCCTCAAGTATCGATAGTAATTCACCAGTCACCCTGTATACATGCGTATAAGTAAAGTATATGTATAGTGTTACGATACTTAATTATTATGATTATTCATACCGTTTTATTGTTTTAGACAACAAATGTTTACTGAATAAATATAAGTGAGTCTTGGACTTGGAGAAATGCAAATAGAATTCATGAGCTGCTAGCAGATGTAACAACTAACACTTTAATTAAACTAAAACTATAACTTTATAGTGTTAGTTTATTTCTTATGTATACTCCATTAAATTTTTGAGTGCAATAACTTGAAAGACCAGTTAATAAACTTCTGTAATACTTCTATATAAAGGTACTATTCTAGTTTCTTTAGACGAAAAATTTAATTCATTGATGTGATATTGCACGATTTCTGGTCAATTAAATAAAATTGCCTATATTCAAAACTTGCATTTTGATGATGCATACGATTTGTCGTAGTAATATTTTTTCACAATATTTTATTTTATTAATTAATACTATAAGTATAAATTAAATCCATAATTATCAGCTTAAGAAACATAAAATCAGTAAATCTTAATTTCCTTCTACTGCATAGTGAAAACATATTTTTTAATTGCTTATGTAATTTACATCTTTTCTATGAAGTCTATGTAATTTCATTTTAATTCTACATTTTAGTCACTTCATACACCTGTTGTCACGTCCCACAAACTGTCAGGCTGCTGAGGCTTGTCTTGGCTCGCCAGACGTTTTAAAAGAACCCCATACGCCTCCATAGTATCATTTGGGAATTTTATTAACATAAGTAAATGATAAGATATAGTCAGCAACATTGTGGTTCTTTGAATTTTCATTATGTCTGATTAAGGTAACGGTTAACTCATTTTTTAAAAATTAGTTTGACTCTATGTTAGTTAAATTCCAATCTTATTGACTCCTAGATTATTTTAGGTTGTGTGATCTGATATCTTTTAATTTTGGAATGTGGTGTATGAAATTTATGGTTCATAATAGAATTTTTGGTATTCACGTAAAGCTTGAAAGTATGTCTTTTAAAGAGCTTAATTGTTTTTAGATTTTTCATTGTCGTTAAGGTAATAATTAAGAGGTAATTTAAGTATTTTTGTTGTGATTTTTGAGAAATAGCAACAGGAGAATCTATTTTCTCCCTAAATTTTCTATTACAACTCGGAGAAAATATTGATATTTCATTTTATAGTACAAAGCGTAAAAAGATAAGTTACTGATTGTTTTCTTAAGTTACGATAAAGTAAAACAGGACATACGTAATTAAATATGTTTATTGGAAAAAAATAAATAATACTTACTGAATTTTGAAATTGATATGTTTTGTGATGACAAAAATGTATTCTTTTTGAAAAATAGAGACTATTTACTCGTAAGCCATGGTTTTTAATACCTTAAACTCAAGAAAAACATAAGTTTATTACGACTGTCGTGTTTGGTTCTATATCACAAAGTGGCAACAATATTAACAATAGTAGACTGGTTTTATGCTGTGGTTTAATACTCACTGGAAAATTTTCCCAATGTCACCGTATAATAATAGACGTTATAAAGAAATTATTTCAACAATAAGGTAAGGTGGAGTTTGTCTAGCAGAATGCTTTAAACAAGACAAAGGTAAATAACTGCTAAGAATTTGTTTATGAAAATGCTGACAGGGTTTTGTGTATCTTAGAATTTTGTGCAAATAATTATAATCAACAAAGAAAATTAAACATAGAATATAAATGGAAAATTATTTATCGAAGAAAATTTAAATACATAAATATATTTTATTTCAACTTCTTGTATTTTGTTCATATAAAATATAACAAATTGTTTTTTCTTTGAAATAGCAAAAGTATAAATTAAAAAACTAGGGTCTTTCAACAAGGACGGGTCAGTGTTAAAATTGAACAAAACAAGGTGTGTGTGCGATA